TGGGGAGGCCACGGGAGAGAAGTGAGGGGAAGGGAGGTAGAAGAAGAGAAGAAGGGCAGAAGGCGGAAAGATGTGGAGGCTGTCAATATCGGGGATACGCGTGAGAAACAGCCATCAGGCGACGAGTATGAAGGCGGAGCTCAACGTTTCACAGCAGTCGGACAGACGTTTAAGTGAAGACGATTGAAGTCGACTCAAAGGAGCACAGATTGACATCACCTACCGTTTCTGCGTCGAGAATCAAGACTTTAGGGCCGCTGACGTCGTTGAGAATCTTGTTGACGTAATCACGAACCGCAGCTATCAGCACCATATTGGCTGCTTCGCGCGATCAGCTTATAACGAACAGTTGCTGTACGACTTGAAACTGGTCTACGCACGTACGGTTGAGATCGTTTTGTGGGAATCGTGTATGTAACGGTTATGTTTTCTCAGCGAACGAGTGCCCTGGTCGTCAGAAGCACGTTGCTTACGAAGATTCGATATCCTGGGGTCAAAGACTGTCTAGTGAAGAAGTACGAGCATCTAACAACGTTACACTTGCTAGTAAACGGTCAAACGGTCGATTACCGAAGCGCGTCGGCGGATGTCGAGCAAATCGGCCAGGACAATACCAAAATTCGTCTCTAGATGTCGTCGCGACGAAGACACTAGTACGTCAGCGTATAAGCGTCTGAGCAACACTGGAACAGCGGGAGCAATGAAACAGTCTCAGATGTCACAGCACCAGACTCATCAGTTTCCAAAGCGAATTCTACTATCTAGGCTCATCAGTTTCGGAAGTCCCTAGATTCTTGAAACATCGAGGTTCTTGAGAGCGTGCTTATGAACACACTTGACGGACCCTGAACTCTCAATCTGTAAGTGTCTAGTGAAATAAGCGGGTACATTTTCGGTTCACAAGGATCCGCACCAAGCGAGAGTGATATTGGTGGAATAAATTTCGTACCTGAGATCGTTAAAACACGCTCGAGATTCAAAGCGTAGCGAAAGTGCTTGGAACGGTGGAGTGGCGGAAAACGAACGCGGGAAGTTCGTCTGACACAACATATACCTTTTGAAGGCGGATTCGAGTATAGAATAATTTTACAGACAGTACTACTGTACAGACGGAACTCTAAACTTCTATACCGGCTATTTCGAACTCCCACCATGCCTGACATAAACGCTGCATCTCGCCGCAACGCGCCTTACACGTACCCTGCGATGCAACTCACCATTGTATCGCGTGCATAGCCTCGTCACTCGGCTGCACGTGTCATTCAGCAGGCATTCCCGGCCAACACGCTCAGAACCGAGCCTGGTACATACTTGGCACCAAGCCCAGTTCCAGGCCTAGCACCAAGCCTAGCACCGAACCTACCACCCAGCTTTGACCCAATCCATCACTGCACGTTCGCGCCCGTTGGCCCGCCGCCATGATCGCACCACGGATCGCGTCACGCGCGGCTCGGCGGGTGTTAGGTTCAAGTATCATACCTCGCACTGCTCCGTCAGCATCCGATTTGGCTGACGTGTTTGACGTGTCTCGCGTGGCGCCATCAGCAGCAGATCTAGCTGACGTGGCCGACGCATCTCGGGTGGCTGACGTGTCTCGCATGGCGCCGTCAGCTGCAGATCTGGCTGGCGTACGGCGGATTTCTACTTACCGTGCGTGTTCGTCCGCCTTACTGGCTTCTCCGGTACCTGTAGCCCCGAACCTACCGTCTCCATGGACGAGCCCGTTGACTCGGTTGACTTCGTCGAGCCCGTTGACTCGGTTGACTCAGACACGCGGGTCGCAGTTCGCGTCAGGGTTCTCCATGCCGCAGCCGAAGCGCCTCGAGGAGATCATGTCGGTGGACGCGCTGCGAGCATGCGAGGCCGACGAGATCGCCGCCATGTGGAACAACGTACGGCGCACACGGAACTCGTTATAAGTATCGCCTGTAAAGAATTCGCGTTATAAGCAGAGTCGGCTTGAAAATGTCCAGCACCATTTTGGTCGCACCCTTTTGTGCAATGGCTTGTGTCTAATCATCCCTTTCTCCCCTTTTTCCCAATTTTCCTTTTTTCATGACTCCATTTCTCCAACAGCACCACCTGGGTCGCACGCATGTCAGCACCGTGATTTCCGCTGCTGCTTTCGAGACGTTGCAGCACCGAGCAAAAGTGTGGTGAGTGCAGAGGCCGTTCTAAAGGGTAAGACGAGTGGGTCAACGAGGGGCGAGTGGGTCAACGAGGGGCGAGTGGGCTAATGAAGGTTGGAAGGGATGGTATTCGGGGAAGTGCGCGTGCATGCACGTACACGTGTATGTATGCACATGTGTGTTCTTTATGGAACGAGGACTTAATGCCCCCATGAACGTTGCCCATGCTATCAGCTTATCCCTGCCTTCCCATCTTTCCTCACCATCTTTCCCCCTACTCCATACCATTCCCTACTCCATTTCCCCTCCTCACGTATCCTGCTCTGTTCTTTCCCCACTGTACAGCCCTATGTTTGTGCTACCAGTGGCAGGAAGCAAGGGATTCGTCACCATGCTCGCACAAGTTACTGCCATCACACCATGTCGGACTCGAGCCTCACCACTCCCCTCTCCTCCCCACTCCCCTCTCCTCCCCACTCCCCTCTCCTCCCCACTCCCCTCTCCTCCCCACTCCCCTCTCCTCCCCACTCCCCTCTCCTCGCCACTCCCCTCTCCTCCCCACTCCCCTCTCCTCCCCACTCCCCTCTCCTCCCCACTCCCCTCTCCTCCCCACTCCCCTCTCCTCCCCATTCCCCTCTCCTCCCCATTCCCCTCTCCTCCCCACTCCCCTCTCCTCCCCATTCCCCTCTCCTCCCCATTCCCCTCTCCTCCCCACTCCCCTCTCCTCCCCATTCCCCTCTCCTCCCCATTCCCCTCTCCTCCCCATTCCCCTCTCCACCCCGTCACCCTGTCCTCTCCCCCCACTGTCACAGCCCTATGTTTGTGCTACCAGTGGCAAGAAGCAAGGGATTTGTCACCATGCTCGCACAAGGTGAGGCCCTCACAACATGAGCTGACTTATGAAATGACTCAAAAGTCAGGCCTTCATAACATGTCGGTTTGCATCTTGCCTCGTCCCTTTCTTTTCTCTGGCGCTCCTCTCTCACCTCTCTGTAGCTTCTCTCATTCATTTCTTTGGAATTCCCATTTTCTTTGCCCGAAACTTTCTACAGTCACATGTGACATTCACATAAAACTCTTACCCTCTTCTCCCGTGTGTTCCTCTCCTCTCCTTACAAGAACAGTGTGAGCCCCTCCGCTGCACTTTACCCTCCTATACAATCACACTCCGTATAGTAGCACAACTCCCTCCCCGCCCCTCTCACGTTCCCCTCGTTGTAGTCATCGCTCAGATGCCCCGCCTCTTATTCGCCAGTTTGGAGGACTAAAAGCTTTGCGGCACCTCTGCAGCACCCTCCTTTACAGTCACACACTCCCACATTATGGTCATTCCTAATCACTCTTATCCGCTTCATCCCTATCCCCTTCATTATAATCACAGCTCAGATGCCCCACCTCTTATTCACTGGCTTGGAGGACTTCAAGTTCCGAGGCCCCTCTGCAGCGCCATTCTTTACAGTCACACACTACCCCGACCTAGCAGCTGAGAAAGGGGTAGTTCTGGTTCGGGGAGACGTGGTCCTTCCAAATAAGATGAATGACGATGAGGTGAGAAGGCAACACAGTCGGATGCTACGAACTACGAGCACTTTTTAGGTGCCTAAAAAAATGTCCGGGAGGGAGCAATGGTTGAATTGCAGGTGAGTGAGAAAGGGGTGGTTTTGGCCCTGGGAGAGGTGGTTCTGCCGAGCAAGCTTAATGGCGATGAGGTGAGAATAGTGTAGGGTGTTACAAGCTATCTGTGGAGTTGACTCAGTATGCAAGTGCACATAGCTAACTGCGGAGAAAGGGGTGGTTTTGGTCCTGGGAGAGGTGGTTCTGCCGAGCAAGCTTAATGGCGATGAGGTGAGAATAGTGTAGGGTGTTACAAGCTATCTGTGGAGTTGACTCAGTATGCAAGTGCACATAGCTAACTGCGGAGAAAGGGGTGGTTTTGGTCCTGGGAGAGGTGGTTCTGCCGAGCAAGCTTAATGATGATGAGGTGAATACGCTGGGGTGTTATACATATTTACTGCACACACACACGCACACACACACACACACACACACACACAAACACACACACACACACACACACACACACACGCGCGCGCGCGCGCGCGCGCACGCGCGCGCGCATTTAGTGTACATGTATACATATTTACTAGAGGCTTGACAGCAACCCTTGGTTTTCTTTGTTCCAGGCTCGGACACTTCTAAGAGATCTGCACTCTTTTTACACTGAGGACTCGCGCTACCGCCATGTAGAAGCTTTCAATAAGCGACCTGATGAGTTTGATTATCGTGCTGTTGTCAGGGCACTAGGAATTGTTGCTGCAGGCTGGTAGCGAGCATTACAAAATTTTCGCTTTGTAGAAGCATTCAGTAAATTTCTAAGTAATGAACTTGCTTGTCGTGCTGTTGTTAGGGCGGGTCCGACTTTGCACATGTACGATAAATTTTCAGCTCAGTTACCACATTTAGGCATGTAACAGAACTACAAGCGTACCAGAATCCACTTGACGCGAAACTGTACATATATGATGACATTTTGGAAATGTGCCCGGGGACGTGCAGAACCCGTCCGAAGGTTCATGTCAAACTCGTTTCGCGTCAAACACGCCAAAAGGTAACACCTGTTTTCGCTAATTTGTTTTCGCCAATAAATCTCCCCTCCGTCACAGGTGCGATAAACCTCGCTTTATTGGGTAACCTTTCATCCCAGGTACTGTACCCCGCAGCGTTACTGTACCTTGGCAAAAGTCCGAATTGTGCACTCGGAACTGGACAAGAAATGTTTGGAGTTCGCCCTGGGGTACAGTCAAGTTTGACTAGTGCATTGACGTAAAAATAACGAAAAAAAAACGGGATTGTGCAAAGTTGGACCCGCCCTTACAGCACTTCAAATTGTTGCTTTCGGATGGGAGCAGTTAACACGACGAGAGCAGATGCTCTGAGTAGCAACAAGAGTGTGTGAACACCCAGACTCATGCACAGGATCTCCTAAGCAAACCTGCAATATCAGCTGAATCCGAGTGCCAGCACAGCCTCCTTCAAGCTTATATACAGCATTTTATACACGTGTTGCTACATACAATTATGCATGTGATCCTAAAGCGCACCTCAACATGGCAACAGGCCAGGACAGTCCACAGCAGTTCCCTCAAACTCCAGATCAGTGGGATAGTAATAACAGTGTTGCTGTGTGAATCCTTCCTCACTTCACTTACCTGCCACAGTAAACCTTGTGCGGTAGTAGTAAGAGTGCTGATAATGCTAGTGACGGGAAGACAAGAGCCAATAACCCAACAAACTCCCCCATCCTCCCCTTTCCTCCTTACGATGCAGCTCAGATGTTCAAGTCTTGAGACATAAGGCACTACCGTGCTGGTGCCCACCTAGTGCGATAGTATTAGTGCTGAAGGTACCCCCACCAGCTGCCCCGTACTCCCCTATCCTCTTATCGTACGGCCCGGATAATTGACTCGCTACCGTGCGGGAGCCCACCTTGTGCGATAGTAATAGTGCTGGCGGTGGTGATGGTGGGATGAAGGCCAAAAGCTGCCCCAGCCTCCCTTGTCCTCGTTATTGTACGGCCCAAAATAAGGCCCCGTGCTGCAGCCACCATGACCAGCACCAGAGGCAGCACCAGCGGCGCCAGCAGCAGGATTTCTCCCATGAGAATTACACCCGCACACAGCCGCAACGACTTCGAAAACAGGCGAGAGCAGGAGGTCAAAGGGGAACGGCAGTGGTGCACCGTGGTACACCCAGGAGCGAAGCGCGAAAAAGACAAGTCCCGAGAGGAGGAACGAGAGGAGGAGGAGCGCGAGGAGGAGGAGCGAGAGCGGGAGCACCAGCCTGCGTGGGTTGCGGTAGAGGGAGCGGATGCGCGGGCGGAGGGAGGGGAATCGGCGATCCAAGTGCAGGGTGAACTGGTGGAGGTGGGGTTTGAAGGGGAGGTACGTCTGGTGCAGGTGGTGCAGGTGTGGGGTGACGGTGGTGAGGGTGTGGGAAAGCCGGCTGGAAGAGAGGGCATCTGCTGCGTGCCAAAGCGCCGCCCACTTGCTGGAATCCTCTGGCTGCTTCGACTGAGTTGACTCGGTTGACCTGCTTGTATCAGCTCCACTCACCCCTTCTCGATTCAATCCCACTCCCTGCGCGCCTGCTTGGATCTTCTTCCCCACTTGCTGTAGCTCAAGTGAGAGGCTAGATATGTGCATCACCGAGCAAAGCAAAGCTCCCACAGAGGCGGGGCAGAGAACGTGGGCTGATTCCTCGATTACGCTGCTGCTGTTGCTGTTGTCAGGTGATTCTTCAGGTGATTCCTGCGCAGCCGATGCCTCCTCAGGTGATTTCTCAGGCAATCCTTCGGTCTCAGATGCATTGGCAGGTGCAGGTGAATCCAACTCGCCAGGTGGTTTCAGCAGAGAGGGGATGGACAAGACGGGCCACGAGGAGGGGAGGTGCAGCGAGGAGAGGAGGAAGGAACGGCAGTGGGAGAAGGTATCAGGTGAGAGGCAGTGGGTGTCAAGGAGAGCAATGGGCGGAGCGCCTTGGATGTCTGCAAGAATAAAAAGGGGCAGGTATGAATAGGAGGGAAGGACAGGGTCAGAAGGAGAGAAGGCGAACAGTAGCAGTACGAAGAGGTGATCTCTGTTGATGGAGAAAAAAAAAAAAAAAAAAAAAAAGCGACAGAAAGAACCAGCAAATCTGAGACTCAGGGGCTTACATCTAAATGCGAGACGAAGCACATCGTACTGCTCCCGGAGCTGCTTCACAAGAGCAGCAGCAGCAGCAGCAGCAGCGGTAGAATCTCGCCCCACCTCCTTCCCCTCCTCCTTCTCACACCTTTTCTCTTCCCTTTCACACAGCAATAGCCGGACTTCGTTCAGGTCCGTTGCAGAGAGCACAAGCACGGCCACTGACACGTGCACTGGTGGCACTGGATTGAAAGACGAAGAAGAGGTGACACCTGCCGCTAAGGTGGCATCCGCTGATTGGCTGCTAGTCTTCAAATTGTCCACGTCAGCAGTGGCAGCAGGCAGTGGTTCGAGCCCAGACGCCAGAATATCCGCCAGCAGAAAATCAGCTGCTGCTGGGGCAAACGGCACCACCAACAAAGATGAGCTCAACTCCCCCACGGCAGGCAAAACCCCCAAAGAGCCTTCTCCTACAGCCGGCCTGAGTGGCAGAGGAGCGGGGGAGGTGGCACCTGGGGGCGATGCATCTGTGCCTGCCGGAGAAGGGGGGGTGGCACCTGCGCTGTGCAGCAGAGCGCCAGCCAGGCGCTGAGCCAGCTTCGCCTGATCGTTGCTGCTGGCGGTAGCAGCACCAGAGGCGGAGGCAGAAGAGAGATCCGCCTCGACCAGCAGCAGAACGCTCTTCGTTTTCTCCTGCTCCTGCGGTATCTCACTTCCTTCACTCTTGTCATCCTTCCCACCCTCGCTTAGAATCCCCTCGCTCCCGTCCCCTCCCTCGTTCGCAGCGTGAGAGGCGGCGTCAACGGCGTCTGGACAAGCTACGGGAGCAGCCACCGGCCCCTCTCCAGCCGTCTCCTCAGCTACCTGCTGCTGACGGTCAGCCGTCAATTCGGCCGTCAGCTCAGCCGTCTGATCAGCTGGCTGCTGATGCGTGAGGTGGCCGTCATCTGACGTAGTCTCGGGCACGTAAGGGCGCTCCATATCCACGGGATGCGAGCCGACGTCAGTAGGAAGAAATTCAACGTCAGCAGGTGGGGATTCAACGTCAAAAAGCAGGGAGTCGCCGTCAGCAGGCGGGGAGTCGACGTCAGCAACAACACTATCGCAGAGAGCACATACGTCGCCTGAAATCTCGATTCCATCAGAAACCAGCACTCGTAATCCGTGCTCCAATCGCTCCGCATCCTTATTTTCTGACTGTTCCGTGTCCACGCCCTTCAACTGCTTTGTTTCCTCGTCTTCCAGTCGCTCCGTGTCCGAGTGTTCACTGTCTGATCCTGACGGCGACAGCGGCAGCAATTCCCAAGACGCCTCCACGCCTCCCTCGCCTTCCGCGTCTCCCTCGCGCACCCGCGGCGGCCATTTTCCTGGGAGTAAACAACGAGGGAAGAAGAAATAGAAGAAGATTTAACAAACGTACAGGGGGGTCTGGAAAATGACGCACAGTATATACAGGCTAGAAATGGACACCTACATAAGGAACATACAATTCACAGCATGGGACCAAATAGGACAAGCACAACGCTAAATTATTCCGTAGTTTGGTTAATCTAAACTTCGTAATACGCATCGCTGAAACTCTGAAGTGAATGGACACAATAGTAGTTAACTCACCTCCACCCATGGCGCTCCGCAAGAAAATCAGAGTCGTCAACCAGCGGCTTCCACGGGTAAGCTGAGAACACGGCTAATGAAGAAGACTACGCTCACGGCTCTAACTCAGCCACCTACGCCGTGGCAGTCCAAAATGACCAGGGACTGCTGTTTCAGGGCAGGCTAAAAGGGCATGGAGCACTTAGAGCGACGGTGCACATTTGCCACCCAAAACCCAGAACCCTGGCGAACTGTTACTGCGGATGGAAAGTGTCCGCACGAAATCCTGGTTTTCGCCAGCCAGCACTTTCGCGCTGGCAAGCCTGGTTCAAAAAAAAAACTTCTGAACCCAACACTGCCAAAAGTTGCCCGTCGCTTTAGCTTGAGACAATGCGTGAATTAGGAGGCGCTTTGAATAAATTTCTGCTTTCAGCAGAGAGCTGTTTTGGATAGGCGTTGTTTGTATCGTCCTTCACCCTACTGCGCCACACAAAACCGCGCACAGCCGTGCTCAACGTCCAAATTCACGCCCTCTTCGAATAGCCCAGATGCACACCACACACGCCCTCTCACCCTACACCCTGCCATGCAGCGGAAGGCAGGTCTGGTGTGGCGAACTTCGCGGGACGCTCAATTGACCGTCGAGCGTGAGATCGGACGGTCAATCATAGGTTTGCTATCTCTCTCGAAAATATCGACGAGCGCGACATCTGGTTGTGGAGTTCGCGAAAGCTTCGGCGACCGAGTCATTGGCTCGGCGATGTCGAACCATCACTCCGTCGGGTCACCCGAGACTCACGGTGTGCCGTAATTGGCTGCATATGACGTGACTAACACGCTCGACACGGGGGCTTGCTCCAATGGATTGCGTTTCTGTTCCGTCAGCGTCGTGATTCGATACAAGACTATCCGTCAGTACATTCACTGCATTCAAGAACTTGCATTATCTTCACTTATCAACTACCACAACCTAATGATATCACAGCAAGATGCAGAACACGTGGCACCTGAGCTGTTCTCCCAAGAACGAGATAACATACACTTGGTTTTAACGGAAATAAGTGGTTACAGAGTTTTCTCAAACGTATGCCTTGGCATTGTTTTCTCTGGCATCTTTACACGTCACGACTCATGACGATGACTCTCTACCAACAGCTTCCAGGTTATCTATGGACATGCTCCTTGCAACATCCGCCATGTCGGTGGAGCGAGCAGAGTACTCGGCTACAAGACGCGAGAACATGGATGTCTTATCCTCCAGGAGCTTAGCCGGCTCGTCACACTCGGCTACAGTGCCTGCATGGGGCAAAGGAGGAAGTACACAAGCACACATAAGCATATGAACATCTCTGTTAAGAGAATGCACCAATGCCATGCAGAATTCACGTACAACCATACAAACGCATTGCATTAGCTCGATTTGCCATTGGAGTACTTGCAACTTGCTCCATGACCACCACTACTATGCAAGTGATAACCACGGCAATCTGATGCACAATACCTTATACACCTTCTAAGCACCTCATCATACTCTCTGGAACACAGAATAAAGAAGCTACAGCACCCACCTTGGTCCATGACGACCACTTTATTGCTGTCGATCACAGTCGCAATCCGATGCGCGATGCTGATGATGGTGGCGTCGCCAAAGCACTCCTTTATCGTCCGTTGGATCACCGCGTCGGTCGCGGAATCAACGGACGCCGTTGCCTCATCCAGCACAAGAATGCGGGTGCGCTTCAGCAAGGCCCTCCCGAGACAGAACAGCTGCCTCTGCCCCACACTCCAGTTCTCCCCTCCTTCCACCACTGGAGAGGGGGAAACGTATGAAGAGGAGGGGTTGGTGAGAGGACTGACATAAGAGGAAGACGGTGGGATTCCCTGAAGAGAAGTGAACCTTTGACTGGGCCATACCTGTCTATTTTTGGGGCGCCTTAAACAACCAAACACCTCTTGGACAATACCGGAGCAGCACCACAACCTCTTTCGAACAATGACCCCACTCCACCCTTCACAATTCCCCACTCACCTCGCACCCCCCGCTTCTATTCCATGCCACAAATCACCTCCCCCACAAAAAACACCTGCCCCCAGCTTCTCTATTCCGCACGTCATCCTTCCCCCTCTCACCTTGCGCCTCCAGCTTCTCCTCCATGCCACGAACCACCTCCCCCAGTTGGCACCTGTCCAGCGCCTCCCACAACCAGGATTCACCCATACTGTTCTGTTCTCCCCCCCAACCACACTGTTACAACCCTCACCTTGTGCTTCCAGTTTTTCTTCCATGCCACGAACCACCTCCCCCAGTTGGCACCTGTCCAGCGCCTCCCAGATCTCCTCATCCCGATACTCCCCAGCCGGATCCACATTCATCCGAACCGAGCCTTGGAACAGGGTCGGGTCCTGAGGAATGATCGCGAGCCTGCTCCTCAGGTCCGTCAGCCCGATCCTGGTTGTATCCACACCATCGATTACCACCCGGCCTGCCGTTGGCTCGACGAGCCGAAACAGAGCGACGACGAGCGTTGATTTCCCGCTGCCGGTCCTCCCGACCACCCCGACCTTCTCTCCACCGTTGATCTGCAAGCTCACGCCTTTGAGAACCAATGGGAGGTCCGGTCGGTACCGGATTTGGAGGTTTTCGAAGGTGATTGCGCCGCGGTCGGGCCAGGAGGATGGAGGGCGGTGGGAAGGGATGGAGAGCGGTGCTTCGGGGGGCACGTTGGGGTGGGAGAACTGGAGGATTCGCTCTACGGAGACCATCTGGTTCTCAAGCGCGCACCACACCCACACCACGTAGAAGAGGCCTTGAGAGAGGGCGAGACCGTACGACAGAGACATGCCCGCTAAACCTGTTTGAGAACAGATAATGGTAGTGAGGGGGAAAAGGGAGGGAAAAGGAGGAAGGGAGGCAAGAAGAGAAAGGCATGAGACATGGGCATGTTGGGGTGGGAGAAGTGGAGGATTCACTCGACTGAGACCATTTGGTTCTCAAGCGCGCACCACACCCACACCACATAGAATTCGCCTTGGAAAAGGGCGAGGCCACACGACAGAGACATGCCGGCCAGACCTGTCTGGTAAAAGGGGAGAAGGGAAGGGAAAACAGGAGGATATGGTATATAGGAGAGCGCTCACAAGAGCCACACCACGTAGAATAGGCCTTGAGATAGGGCCAGGCCGTACGACAGAGACATGCCCGCCAGACCTGAGGGGGTGTGGGGCAAGCAAGAGAGTTAGGTATGTGGAAGCATCTAATCTCAAGGGCGCACCAGACCCACACCACGTAGAATAGGCCTTGAGATAGGGCCAGGCCGTACGACAGAGACATGCCCGCCAGACCTGAGGGGGTGTGGGGCAAGCAAGAGAGTTAGGTATGTGGAAGCATCTAATCTCAAGGGCGCACCAGACCCACACCACGTAGAATAGGCCTTGAGATAGGGCCAGGCCGTACGACAGAGACATGCCCGCCAGACCTGAGGGGGTGTGGGGCAAGCAAGAGAGTTAGGTATGTGGAAGCATCTAATCTCAAGGGCGCACCAGACCCACCACACGTAGAAAAGGCTGGAGAGAGACAAACAGGTCTGTGTGCGCGTGTTGTTACCTGGAGAAATGACTGAGGGGGGCAGCCACACGAGCATGAGGGCCGAAAAGCACAGCAGCAACGCCCCCAGTAACTCCAAATGCACCCCCAGCCACACGGTGCATGCACCGTAGTGGAAGGGCACTCGGTTGTTGGACTGTATGTTGCTGGAAAATGGCTGGATGCTAGGGATTGTCTGTGCTTACCTGGCAAGATCACCGAAGGACGCAACCACACGAGCATGAGCGCCGAGGAACACAGCAGCAGCGCCCCTAGTAGCTCCTTGTGAACTCCCAACCACACGGTGCATGCGCCATATCTGAAGGCCACTCAGTTGTTGGTTTGGCTGCTTGCTTGCTTGGTACCAAAGCGATCTCTGTGTATGCGCTCACCTGGGGAAATGACTGAAGGAGGCAGCCACACGAGCATGAAAGCCGAGAAGCACAGCAACAGCGCCCCTAGCAGCTCCAGATGCACGCCCAGCCACACGGTGCATGCGCCGTAATGAAATGCCACTCGATTGTTGGTGTCCACCCTCTCTGCGCTCTTTTGAGCGAATCGGGGCTGCTGGGCGAATGCTCGAATCACTGCTGCCCCTGACAGCGACCTGAGAGGGAGAGAGGAGGACAGACGGGAGAAAGTGGGGTGTTGGGATCAGGAGGTTGTTGGTGTCAACCCTCTCGGCGCTCTTCTGAGCAAATCGGGGCTGCTGGGCGAATGCTCGAATCACTGCTGACCCTGACAGGGACCTGAGTGGGGGGAGGAGAGTAAGAGGGAGCGATAGGGAGGGGGAATGCTGGGCGAATGATGGGATGACAGTTGTCATCTGGCAAATAGTGACCTGGGGAGGAGAGAAGAGAGAGTGTTTGCTTTTGGGAACTCTCAACAGCAATGAGAGTTTTGAGAGTTTTGAAAACAAGTGTTGATCGAGATGCATCAAGCTAGTGTTGAACCTGAAAGGTCACAAGCCACGGGCCACCAGACCTTTCAAGCCAATTTTAGGTCGAATAAAAACAGAGTTGCTTCAAGCTTGGGGTGTAGAACAGCTCTGACCTGAAACGTCACAAAGCATATTCCACCAGTCCGTTCAAGCCAAGAGGCTTTTCGTCCTTACTCGCTGAAGTGCTCAATGATGGGCGCCTTGGTAACCCCGTTCAGACGAGAGAGCTCCCTCGATGTCATTAGATAGTACTCCTGAGAGAAAGGGGGGGGGGATGAAAATTTGAACATGGAAATGGTATTCTTAACACATTTCCACTTCATAGGAAGCTTGTTAATGGGCGCCTTGGTGACTCCATTCAGACGATAGAGCTCCCTCGATATCATGATAGTGAATCTTTAAGTGAACAGGTATATATATAACACAGATATAATATTTTTAGATCAATGCTGACTGCATAGATAGGATTTTAAAACACGAGGATTTCTTTTCTTATTGAGCATAGCTGAGTTAACGTTTGGTATGACTTGAAATTTTCATTCATCTCAATAGATTAAGGGTAACGAAGATTGTGATGATTGAACTTTCATGCATACGACATACGGGGTGTTACAGGTGTCTCTCACTGGGAAGGAGAAGTAGAGGTATGTAAGAGAGGGATAATGGCGTAGAACACAGGCCATGTGATGTTGGAGGTGATGCGAGGGATCCAGGTATTATGGGTGTTAGCAGTCGAATTCTCTCACCTGGAAGGAGAAGTAGAGGTATGTCAATGGGATAATGGCGTAGAACACAGGCCATGTGATGTAGGATGTGATGTGAGGGCTATGAGGGGCAGGTGCTAATTGTGGCTACGTGGTGGATTCTCAGCTGGGGAAGGTGTTACTGAGTGAGGGTATCTCTCACCTGGAAAGAGAAGTAGAGGTACGTCAATGGGATGATGGCGTAGAACACAGGCCACGTGATGTAGGAGGTGACAAAGAGAATGCCGAGCAGCTGGAACACCATGGCGAGCAGCGAGCCGAACTGAAATGGCAGGTCCAAGTCGAGTGCACTTTGGTCTGTAGAGGCCTGCATACGGACAGGGGGCAAAGGGGATGGGCAGAGCGGGAAAAGGGGGAAGGAGGTGACAAACAGAATGCCGAGCAGCTGGAACACCATTGCGAGGAGAGAACCAAACTGAAACGGCAGATCAAGGTCGAGAGCACTCTGATCCGTGGAGGCCTGGACACGGGGGAAAGCAAATGGGCAAGGGGGAAAAGGGGAAGGATTTGACGAAGAGGATCCCGAGGAGCTGGAAGACCATGGCGAGGAGAGAACCTAACTGAAGTGGGAGGAACAAGTCGAGTGCTCTTTGGTCTGTGGAGGCCTGGAGAGGGGCGGAGAGAAGGTGAGAGCAGGGGCAGGAGGAGAGAGGTGGTGAGGAGGATCCCGCGAAGCTGGAACAGCGCTCGGAAAACGGACTGTAGCATTCCTCGGAAAAACGCCTGAGTTGTCATCACTCCCCCCCCCCCCTACTCTAGTATTGCAGTACCTCTATTATGGCACCATCTCTCTGCTTTCCTTGTTGTTCTTACCCGGGATAAGATTCTCCCGATAGGAGTGGAGTCAAAGAAGGACATAGGGGCGCGAAACACAGTCTGCAGCATGCTTCGGAAGAACGCCTGGGTGGTCATCACCCCTGCCCAGTGCGACAGTACCTTGCTTTCACTGGAGAGATGTGTTCCATGGGTCTTTCTTACCCGGGATAGGATTCGCCCGATAGGAGTAGAGTCAAAGAAGGACATGGGCGCTCGGAACACGGTCTGCAGCATGCTTCGGAAGAACGCCTGGGTGGTCATCACACCCGCCCACGATATGACTGCACCTCTATTAGCGCACCCAATCTCTGCTCATGTGTTCTTCTTACCCGGGATAAGATTCGTCCGATGGGAGTAGAGTCAAAGAAGGACATGGGCGCTCGGAATACAGTTTGCAGCATGCTTCGGAAGAACGCCTGGGTGGTCATCACACCCGCCCACGATATGACTGCTGTACGCAGCAGCACAAACAGGCCGCTGCCCAGAGCTAATAACGAGTATAGCTTCATGAAGGCTGATGGGGTGATGGCTGAGGGGGTGAGGAATGAGAGAGGGGAGGAGTAGGAGGAGGAGAGTGAGGAGGAGAAGGATGGGGTGAAGGAGGAGGAAAGACTCGAGGCGAGAGGAGAGGAGAGAGGAGAGGTGAGGTTGCTTAGAATACTTTTGTTGAATCCGGCCCCTGCTGACGTGTATCCTGCTTCTGCTGAGCTGTTCTCCGCCCCTGCTGAGCTGTACGTGGCCAGCCACAGGTCAGATCCGATCTGCAGCGCCTGCCACGCCAGCTGGACCAGCAGCAGCAGCGGCACGTGCCAGCCGCCCATCGCTTTCGTCATGTACTGCCAGTATACAGCCAAAGAAACCCGCCCAGACTCCCGCTCCTCCTCACTGATCAACTGCCCATCCCCGTCCTCCCCTGCAGCCCCCCCTAAAGAACCACCGGCACCACCAGCAGAACCAGTAGCACCAGCAGCAGCACCATCTGATTCCCCCACTTCCATGTTCTCTAGAATCTGGTGGGATTCTGGGGAGGCTGTATGCAGCAGCATAGGGTCGGACATTTTCCGAAGCTGCGAGTGCGAGGCCTTGCGCAGCAGGTTCGGTTCCGAGCTTTTTCGCAGGTTCGGTGCGGATTGTTTCCGAAGCTGCGAGAGGTGCGGGTTGCTGTGGATTGGATCGACGGGTTGCTTGGGGAGGAGAGGAGCAGATGAGGATGCCGATGCAGGGACACCAATGGCATCTTTTGAGGTAGCAGGAGCAGCAGGAGTAGCCGCAGCAGCAGATGAGGCAGCAGCAGCAGCAGCAGCTGCATTGGCAGCGGCGGTAACAGCAGCGGCAGCAGTGGTAGCAGCTGCAGCAGTGGCAGTCCCAACACTCTCGAGCGCATCAGTGTGTGCCTCCACGAGAGCACTGAAGTCCGTTCCCTCTGCCAGCAGCTGGTCATAGCGCCCTGACTGCACTATGCGCCCCTCCTTCATCACCTACTCGTGTGGGGAGAGGGGAGTGAGAGGCAGGGTGGGAAAACTGAATGGAGGGATTGACAGGTTTCCAGCGCATCAGTGTGTGCTTCCACAAGAGCACTGAAGTCCGTGCCCTCTGCCAGCAGCTGGTCGTAGCGCCCTGACTGCACAATACGCCCTTCCTTCATCACCTGGTGGTGGGAACAGAAGGGGAGGGCGACGGAGGGACAGTAAGTTCATCAGTATGTGCTTCCACGAGGGCACTGAAATCCGTGCCCTCTGCCAGCAGCTGGTCGTAGTGCCCTGACTGCACGATACGCCCTTCCTTCATCACCTGCTCATGTGGGAAGGGTAGGGATCGGCAGGGTGGAGAGGGACAAGGGTTCGAGTGATAAAGAGGTGCGTTTGTGTGTGCTCCCATCCATCCACCCCTCCACGAGGGCCGAGTCCGTGCCCTCTGCCAGCAGCTGGTCGTAGCGGCCCGACTGCACTATGCGCCCCTCCTTCATCACCTGGTGGTGTTTGGGGGGGGGAGGGAGAGGGGAGAAAGAGGTGTGTCTGTGTGTGCTCTACCCATCCACCCCTCCACCAGGGCACTGAAGTCCGTGCCCTCTGCCAGCAGCTGGTCGTAGTTCCCTGACTGCACTATACGCCTCTCCTTCATCACCTGGTGGTTAAGAAGAGTGAATGGGGGAAGGGGTGACAGGCGGTTGAGTTAAGGGTGTGAGAAAGAGGCGTCTGTAAAAGCTTCCGTTCTAGAACCGTTGCGCACCAACTCGACTCAATTCGACTCAACTCGACGCGGAATGAGTTGCAACAGCAGCACCACATCAAGACCGCATCAGCACGTCAGCAAATTGTCAGAGATGAGGTCAGTATCTCATCATAATGATGTCAGCATCTCACCAGAATGAGGTCAGCAGCGGGAAGGAACTCCACTTGGTGCGTCACCAGGATGACTGTCTTCCCTGCCAGGCCCTTGAGCACATACTCCTGGAGGGAATAGTATTTGGGGGGGAAGGGGGGTGGGGGGAGCAGGCGGGAAGGGGAGATGGGGGCAGGTGTCAGCAGCGGGAAGGAACTCCACTTGATGCGTCACCAGAATGACTGTCTTCCCTGCCAGGCCCTTGAGCACGTACTCCTGAAAAAAGGGTGATGATGGGAAAGAAGGAGCAACAGATGAGCGAAGGGAGTAAGGAGGAGGGCAATGCGGCAGGCAGCAGCGGGAAGGAACTCCACTTGATGCGTCACCAGGATGACTGTCTTGCCCGCCAGCCCCTTGAGCACGTATTCCTGCAACAGAATGGTATAGATGAGGGGGGAAGAGGGCCAGAGGAGGGAAGGATGAGCGGAGGGAGTAAGGGGAGATTATGCTCCAACTGACCACTCAATCACCAGGTAAAGAGGCCTGAACCCCACAACTGCTGGAACCCTCCAGAACCACCCAGAACCCCCGAGCACCCCCCAGAACCCCCAAACCCCTCACCATGAAGAGCTCTGACCCAGTGTGGGCGTCCACGGCACTGAAGGGATCGTCCAGCAGGTAAACCTCCGCACCCATCCCCACCCCTGCATACATCGCCCGTGCCAGCTGAATCCTTTGCTTCTGCCCGCCGGACAGATTCACCCCTCGCTCCCCTATCTGTGTGTCAGCCCCCAGGGGGAACACGGATTGACCCATCACAAGAACCTCATCTACTAACTCACCATGAAGAGCTCTGACCCAGTGTGGGCGTCCACGGCACTGAAGGGATCGTCCAGCAGATACACCTCCGCACCCATCCCCACCCCTGCATACATAGCCCGCGCCAGCTGAATCCTTTGCTTCTGCCCGCCGGACAGATTCACCCCTCTCTCCCCTGTCTGTGTGTCAGCCCCCAGGGGGAACACGGATTGACCCATCACAAGAACCTCATCTACTAACTCACCATGAAGAGCTCTGACCCAGTGTGGGCGTCCACGGCACTGAAGGGATCGTCCAGCAGATACACCTCCGCACCCATCCCCACCCCTACGTACATCGCCCGTGCCAGCTGAATCCTTTGCTTCTGCCCACCGGACAAATTCACCCCCCTCTCCCCGATCTGTGTGTCGGCCCCCAGGGGGAACACACCAACTAATGACCCCTCTCCCACTCACCATAAACAGTTCTGATCCCGTTTGGGCGTCCACGGCACTGAACGGATCGTCCAGCAGGTAAACCTCCGCACCCATCCCCACCCCTGCGTACATCGCCCTGGTCAGCTGAATCCTTTGCTTCTGCCCACCGGACAGATTCACCCCCCTCTCTCCCCGATCTGCGTGTCGGCCCCCAGGGGGGAGAGGCGCAGGTCGGCTAGGAGGGAGCACACCAACTGACAACCCCACTCACCATGAAGAGCTCTGAACCGGTATGCGCGTCCACAGCACTGAACGGATCGTCCAGCAGATACACCTCCGCACCCATCCCCACCCCTGCATACATCGCCCTGGCCAGCTGAATCCGCTGCTTCTGCCCCCCGGATAGATTCACCCCTCTCTCCCCGATCTGCGTGTCGGCCCCCAAAGGAAACAGGCGCAGGTCAGCGAGGAGCGAGCACTGGTGCAGCGTGTGGTGGTAGCGGGCTCGGTCCAAGGGCTGGCCGAACAGAATGTTGTCCCGGATGGTGGCGTTTTGGATCCACGCGGACTGAGGCACATAGGCCGTGGGACCCGAGACAAACACCTGTAGAAAGGGCAGGGAGGGACAGGGGAAGGAGGAGGCAGGTGGGGACAGGGGGAGAGAGATTCACCACCCCTCTCTCCCCGATCTACGTATCTGCCCCCAGAAGGGGGAAGAGGCGCAGGTCAGCGAGGAGCGAGCACTGGTGCAGCGTGTGGTGGTAGCGCGCGCGGTCCAAGGGTTGGCCGAACAGAATGTTGTCCCGGATGGTGGCGTTTTGGATCCACGCGGACTGAGGCACGTAGGCCGTGGGACCTGATGCACACACCTGACATGTGCGAGCGAGGGATAGATAGGCGGAACGGGAAAGGGGGGGATTTGAACAAGCCATCACACCTCGACAGGATCCACGCGGACTGGGGCACGTAGGCCGTGGGACCCGAGATAAACACCAGACAGGGTGGGAAGAAAGAGGGGAGGAGAGTGGGAGTAGGGAAGGAGTGTGCATTCACTGGTGAATGTTGTCCCGGATGGTGGCGTTCTGAATCCACGCGGACTGGGGCACGTAGGCCGTGGGACCCGAGACAAACAAGGTCACCTTGTCCTGCACTTTCAGCACCTCTTTCATAATACAGAGATGACCTTGTTAGTTTGTGGACAGCAGGGATTTGAGACGTCTCAAAACCCTTCTTCAAACACATGACCTTGTTAGTTTGTGGACAGCAGGGAGGATTTGCCAGGGCGTGGAGGTGTGTGTGGACGAAGCAGTTTCCACTAGCTAGTTTCCAAGCAGTGGTCTAAATCCACGAACTCACCTTCCCTTGCAGCTTGGGCACTTCACCCAGGATGCAGGACAGAAGAGACGACTTGCCCGCGCCCACCGTCCCACACACCGCCACGCGCATGCCCCGCCTGATCTCCAGGTCAACGCCAGTCAACGTGGTCTTCTCTGGGTCCGCATCCCAGCTGAACGTGCCATTCTCAATCCTCACCACCACGTCATCATCACCTTCCTTCTTCCCTTTCCCCTCCACTGGCTCCTCATTCCCTTTCTCCACCCCCCTCTCCTCCCCCTCCCCATCCTGCTGCTGCTGACTGATACCCCCATTACCTCCATACCCATTACCATTCAGACCATCCCGCATTCCCTCTCCACCCATCCCTCCTCCCTCTCCAACCCTCTCCACCGCATCCCACTGCAACTCCTCATCAGACAAAAACCTCGAAAGCCGTTTCAACGACACCATGGCCTGCGTGACCGCGCTGATCACCGACGGGAACGACCGCAGCGGCTCCTGCAGAATCCTGAAAGTCGCAATCGCAGTGAAAACCGACGCCGGGGTAAGCGGCACACCGAGAGCCACCATCGTGCCGAAAGTCGCGACCGAGACCGCGAGAGGGGTGAGCCAGAGGAGGAAGATGTTTACTGCTGCGTAGGCCATGAATTTGACCAGCCAGGAGGCTTCGGAGTCGCGGAGCGATTGGATTTTGTCCTGGAAGTGCTGCTGCCACGCGTAGAGCTTGATGATCTTCATGGAGGAGAGGGCTTCCGAGGTGGCCTTCATGCGCGCGTCCTTGGCTGACATGATTTCGGTTATGAATCGGTGGATGCCGGATGCCACTAGAAGGTTGGCGAGCATGACTGCCAGCATCACTCCCAGGCCGGAGAGCATGGATATGCCCACCACCTGTGAACAGGGATTGAGGGAGGGCGGGAGGGAGGGAAAGAAGGAGAGCGGACAGGGAGGGAGAGGAGAGGAGAGGAGGGAGGGAGGCGAGAGAGAGGAGGGAGCGAGGGGAGAGAGAGGAGGGGCGTGTTTGAAGCAGTGATGAATCAATGAATGCGGGATGCCACTGCGAGATTGGCGAGCATGACTAAGCATGGATATTCCCATCACCTGTAGTGCGGGGGGAGGGCGGTGGAGAGGGAGGGAGGGGAGAGAGAGGAGGGGCGTGTTTGGTTCGCATGGTGGTGGTGATGGAGCAGTGGATGTTAGATGCAAGCGCAAGATTGGCAATAAAACTCACGTAGACTCACATTGGTTACAGAGAGTAGTAGGTGCAGGCACTCACGTGGAAGAGGATGACGAGGGCGCATACGATCTGCAGCGGCAGCACCCAGATGTTGTGCTGTGAGTCGACTCAAATTCTATCAGATGACAAACACTCTTGAGAGGATGGGGTTGGCAGCACTCACATGGAAAAGGATGACGAGGGCGCATACGATCTGTAGTGGCAGCACCCAGATGTTGTGCTGTGAGTCGACTCAAATTCTATCAGATGACAAACACTCTTGAGAGGATGGGGTTGGCAGCACTCACATGGAAAAGGATGACCAGGGCGCAAACGATCTGTAGTGGCAGCACCCAGATGTTGTGCTGTGAGTCGACTCAAATTCTATCAGATGACAAACACTCTTGAGAGGATGGGGTTGGCAGCACTCACATGGAAAAGGATGACGAGGGCGCATACGATCTGTAGTGGCAGCACCCAGATGTTGTGCTGTGAGTCGACTCAAATTCTATCAGATGACAAACACTCTTGAGAGGATGGGGTTGGCAGCACTCACATGGAAAAGGATGATGAGGGCGCAAACAATCTGTAGTGGCAGCACCCAGATGTTGTGCAACTCCCACATGAGGTCCGCTAGGCGCTGAGAGTGGGAGAGAGGGTGGGAAGAAAGTGAAGGGAGAGGAAGAGTGGAAGTGAGACTGAAGAGGTTATTAGGCGTGGCAGCACACAAATGTTCTGCAACTCCCGCATGAGGTCATATGCACATGCAATTGACTATCTCCCCAATTGGGTGCCTCCGCTTTGCCTTGCGAACTCACTCAATCCCTCTCACTCCACTCCACCCCTCTCCATCCCTCCTCTCCCCTCTGCACCCCTCCATACCTGAGCATCTGTCGACATGTAGTTCACAATCTCCCCAATGGTGTGCCTCTGCTTCGCCTTGCTGGACAGGCGCAGCCCCTTGCGGTAGAGTGCACCCAAAAAATGCCACTTCCATCCCTCCTCACCCCTCTCCACCCCTCTGTACCCCACTCCACCCCTCTCAACCCGTTCGCACCTGAGCATCTGTCGACATGTAGTTCACAATCTCCCCAATGGTGTGTCTCTGCTTCGCCTTGCTGGACAGCCGCAGCCCCTTGCGGTAGAGTGCACCCACCAACGCCGCTTTGATGTCCAGCCCAAGCACCTGGAGTGTGCATGCACGCCATGTGAAATAACACCAAGAAAACGCATGAAACTTTATTGCAGCCCCTTGCAGTAGAGAGCGTCCACCAGGGCTGCTTTGATGTCCAGCCCAAGCACCTGGAGCGTGTGTGCATGGCGTGGGGGTGGGGGAGTGAGGAGCAGAGCCGTGACACTTTAAAAATCCCTTCGGTCGCAGCGCAGCCCCTTTCGATAGAGCGCGCCCACCAGTCCAAGCACCTGGGGTGTGTGTGGTGAGGGGTGCTTGGGGTTAGGGTTTAAAGATGCTGGCAACAAGAGGAAGTCGCCCCCCCCTGCAGTAGAGTCCGCCCACCAGTGCTGCTTTGATGCTCAACCCAGTAAGCTTTGTGCTACCTCGTCTCACCTCGGACCTGAAGTTGAACTGGTGCTCCAGCACGATCTCAGACGCCTTGGACAGGAACAGAGCCAGCACGAGCACCACCTGCTCCCCTTGGGAGCTGAATGTGCCTGCTCAATGCTCAATTCAAGTGTACTCCCAGTGAATCTTTTCTACTCCCTCACCTCGGATCGGAAGTTGAACTGGTGCTCCAGCACGATCTCAGACGCCTTGGACAGGAACAGAGCCAGCACGAGCACCACCCGCTCCCCTTGGGAGCTGAATGTGCCTGCTCAATGCTCAATTCAAGTGTACTCCCAGTGAATCTTTTCTACTCCCTCACCTCGGATCGGAAGTTGAACTGGTGCTCCAGCACGATCTCAGACGCCTTGGACAGGAACAGAGCCAGCACGAGCACCACCCGCTCCCCTTGGGAGCTGAATGTGCCTGCTCAATGCTCAATTCAAGTGTACTCCCAGTGAATCTTTTCTACTCCCTCACCTCGGATCGGAAGTTGAACTGGTGCTCCAGCACGATCTCAGACGCCTTGGACAGGAACCCACAGCGTGCCTGACTGAGCCTGCTCATGTGTTTGATTCCTTCCGTGCCCTCTCTGCCTTCTGTGCCCTCTCTGCCTTCTGTGCCCTCTATGCTCTCCCACACTCACCTCGGATCGGAAGTTAAACTGGTGTTCCAGAACAATTTCAGACGCCTTGGACAGGAACAGCGCGACCACAAGCACCACCCCTTCCCCCGGAAACGCCCTCTCCCCCGCCGCAAACTGCACAAAGCTCGCCAGCAGCAGCGGCCCTGCATACATCACACCGGTTTTACCCAGCGCCAGCACTCCTGTCAGCACCAGCGGCCTCCAGAAGCACTCCCAGAGAGCCCGGGTTACCGTTGCCTTGGGCTGTGTCTGCTCTCCCTCCTCTTCTTTGTCTTCCTTGGTTTTTTCTGCAGTGGCCGAGTCTTTGCTGTCTTCTTGCTGGGTGTACGGAGAGGTGTAGAGTGAGGTGAGGAAGGATTTGAGGGAGTGAAGGCAGGATGAGAGGACGGAGATGCAGCGATAGAGTGCGGTGCAGAGGTTTTCACAGGAACAGGCCTGCGAAAGGGAAAAGGGGCCGCTAAAGAAAGGGATAAGACCTACTCCCCCGCCCCTTGCTGCTGCAGCTTCGGCAGCTTCAGCCTCAGCAACCTGCCTTGCCCAGCTGGCGTCAAAGGCTCGGAAGTTAGCTTCGGCGCGGTCGCAGGCCTGTAGGCTCGGCACGTCCTCCACAGCCACAGTCTTCTCCGCACCCGCCTCCAGGAACGGCGAGACCCATCCGAACGTGAGAGCTGAGAGCCAATCAGCAGAGGCGTAGAGAGTCATAGGAGGCTCCTCCTGCTGCTTCTTCTGCTCCTGCTCCTCCTCCTCCTCTTCATCCTGTAACTGTTCTAACTGTGACCGACGGCGCTTATCCCCCTGCCCTGCTTCTGCCCCTGACTCCTTCCCTGTCGGTCTTGAGAGATTCGATTTCCGATGCTGCTTCTTCTCCTTCCCTGCCACGTGGCTTTCTCTTATTGCCCCTCCACCAATCAGCAATGGAGTTCGTAGCCCATCCTCTATAGTTTCGACATCCGATGGCTGAGATTCTGCACGAGGAAGAGCCCATCCTGGCCGTCCATTCACTGCAAACGCCCCGAAAAGGAGAGCCACTGGAAGGGTAACCAGCGTCAGAAAATCGCTCCACACCCCAAAATTCCCTCGGCTATTTCCAGCAAGAACCCCTTCTCCTACTGCCCCTCCTGATTCTGCCTTCAACCCTCCAGGGGAACCAAATCGTAACACCACACCAGCAGAGAGTAACAGCACAGCACCCGCATTCGCAAACAGCCAAACCCTAGCCGAACCCACAAGCCTCTGATCCTTCCGTTTGCCATACAGCAGTAACACCCGCAGCGCCAGTAACCAGGTTACCACCTGCCCAGCTGCATACGCCAGCACATGGGGATACGCCCCGTGCTGCTTGCTGTCAGCCGGATTCACAAGCATGAAGAGAAGGGCAGATAGGATGAGAAGCGCCCAGGAGACTGAGAGGAGGAGGGAGAGGAAGAGATAGAGCCAGTACCCCGGTCCTGCTTTCCAGTGTGTCTCTGCCCCTGCGGTATCTGCTGTGTCAGGAGCACCCTGAACGTCAGACCCCGGGGGGCGGGAGGAGCGAGAGGCAGGAGCAGACGGGGCAGAGGGACGGGAGGCGGAGGAGGAAGAGGAAGGGCCGGGAACAGAAGGGGAAGAGGAAGGACCGGAAGAGGAGGAGGGGGAAGCGGGGCTGGAATGTGCGTGTTGGGGTTTGGGGAGGATGAGGAGGTGAGAGAGGGTGCAGATGATGAAGAAGGCTGAGAAGAGCAGGAAGGACGCGTGCTGCAGGCACGGGGAGACTGGGAGGTAGAGCAGCCACGGAGGTAGGTACCCTGGGCTGGTTTCCTCTGTCGCTAGGCGCTCTATTTGGTTCCATGTGACTATGGAGGGAGTGATGTTAGGGAGGGAAGCGGGGGAGAATTGGGAGAGAGTGTTGTGGCGGGAGGAGGGGAGGAGGAGGAGGCTGGGTGGGGTGGAGGAGAGAGGAGGGGCGGAGGAGGAGAGGAGGGGTGTGGAGAGGCAGTGCTGCGAGTAGGGGTCGTGGGGACCACAGAAGGACGGCCAAACTGGAGTCAGGGAGGGAGTGACGGAGGGAGAGAGGGAGCTTAGGATCAGTGAAAAAGGAGAAAGTGGAGCGCGAGTGGTTTGGGAGTAGGGGTCGTGTTTTCTCAGTTGACGTTACTAACTTTCCAAAGCATTAGACACATATAATTATAATCCAGAAGGATCTCACTGCTCGACGAGAAAGTGGGACTAAAAGAGATTGTGTAGACGTTTATTGAGGATTTGTATAGAAGGGGAAAACAAACAATTAGAAGCGGAGAAACTCACAGGTTGAGGAGAAAGTGGGGCCGGAGGAGATGGTGTAGAGGAACGATGACATCATCATGTGCGTTCCTGCTCTCAGGAAATCCATCTGATGGTGGGATTCGGGTAACGGGTGTGACAATAGCGATGGAATCAGGACGCTGTAGCAGGAAGCGAGAACGCCAACGGCGAAGAAACGAAAGCATTCTATGAGGAAAGCAGAAGCGGAACGCAGGGGTACAAGGAATCTAATATATTAAAGATGCCGAGTCGCCTAAAAACCCTCTACGAACCTTGACAGGCTTTTTGCGAAATACTTCTCGGCTCACATTTCCAGAAAAGAAATAGCTAAAATACGCGTGTCTGAACCGGCAAATCTAGCTCAGGTAATCATCCTCTCATTCGCGTACAATTCTCCTCTGAATCCGGAAAATTCTAATACTTGAATGACGTGGAGATCCTCTCAGCTCCTCTGGAAGCTTTTCACGAATCTGACAAACGACCCTCAGATGTGAATTCCACCTAAACCCACGAATTTGCAAATCCACGCCTTACTTTTCCTGATTCGACCAATCACAGGAGGAAAAACGGGCCGTGCGTGACCCAGCGCTCGCCTCCGTGATCCACCTATGAAAACGAGCCGCACTGTCTCTTTTCCCCAAGCCTTCGCAATTGCATCTCGGGTGTCATGCAAAAGCGCGACGCCGAGATAATAAGAGGCAGATTTAAACCGTTGTTTGCTGGCTTTACTCTGGCGACAACTGCCTCCACACGTCAGCTTGGTTTCGTCAGGAAGAAAAGCAATTCTCTAGGGGGGGTTGAGGGGGTAATGCTTCGGCGGAATGTGATAGTAACGAACGAAAGACCGCAACGCACCACCACCACATGAGTGATCCGACCAACCACAATCGAGGCTCCCTTAAAATTGTCGTCCGCCTATCAGTGGCTGTCAGTCAGCAGCAAGTGCGAGCATTTTCCTGGTCGATGGCGCGGCGGCGGGCCGATAAATGGAAGCCACGTGGCTGCCAACCCAGTGCTTTTCCAAAATGGTTGGTGTCGAGCATACCCTATATTACCTCGAGCATATTTCCTGGATAATCCATCCTAAAGTAATGAATCAATTTTCATTGAACATTTAATCACTCTCTAAAGAAAGAAAGAAAGAACTTTACTAGGGGATTTAGTAACCCATTTAATCACTCTCATGCCACTGTCATAAACAGCAAGGCTGCTAAAATAACAATGCTATATGGGCTGGTTATGAATGTAAGCCTCGTTTGTTCAGCGATTGTACTGAATATCGAGGTATTCTAACATTTCCAGCGAATTTCTTATCTTTCCGCTCTCTCGTCTCACCTTGCGACCTGACATTCTGCAAATCCTCACAAATCCTCCGCTCTCCACGGCGCCTTCATTGAACGCTACCTAGAATGGCGCATTCGCATCCATTAAGAATGTCTATAACTCGTGAAGCGGGAACGCGGGGTGAGAAGCTTTCCCCGTCAATGGCCCACAGGGCTCGAGCCATGTCGATCAACCATTTGCCTGACGACCTTCTTTCCAAAATTATCTCACTTGCCGCCACCGCCGCCACCGCCGCCGCCACCGCCGCCACCGCCGCTGCAGAATCGACATCAGAACTTGGCGGCACGGATAACGGCCAGACTGGCGAGACGAACTTCACGGATATCCCCAATTTTAGCAACCTCGCGGTGGTTGGTAAGCGATGGTTGTTTCTGATGACGACCCTCCGCGTCCCTGGCGCTTTTAAGTCAGACTCCCCCGAACTCCGCGGTACCGAGAAGCTCGCGATGGCGCTTTCCGCCCCCACGATCTCCGCGCCCGCGCTTTTCCGCACGCTGGCGCTCGCGCCGAGCGTTACGGCGCTTTCTCTGGAAGCATACGCCGTCGATATTTACGACGACGAGTTTCTGTCTAGCCTGCTTTCCGCGCGGCCTCGGCTCGCCCGCCTGAGCATCGGCTCCCCCCGCTTCACCGGAACGCCCCACTTTCGAATCGGCACAGAATCTGTCGATAATTTCTTCCGCGTCGCGTCGTCGCGCCTGGAGGAGCTCTTGCTGCGCGAATGCCTCGGCCACACGACGAAGCTCCCTGCCTCCGTCGCGTCGCTGTCGTCGCTGCGCGTGTTCCACCTGTGCTCCAAGGTTCTGCGCTCGCTGCCCGACGAGATCTGCCAGCTGTCTGCCCTGCAGGAACTTTATCTCACCTGCCCGTTGCTGCAGCAGCTGCCCGGAAAAATTGGCCAGCTAACGAGGCTGGAGCACCTTTCGTTTACGGGCTGCAAAGAAATGCGGCGCCTGCCGGATTCGCTCGGCGATCTCTCGTCGCTCACCTCTCTCCACATCGACGGCGCGTGGCAGGTGGATCGCCTCCCGCCTCGCATCGGCGCGCTGCAGCAGATGCGGCGACTGGACCTGCGGAATTTCCGAGGCGGGTTACCAGAGGCATGCGAAAATTGGGCGAAACTCGAGCAAGTCACTCTGGCTTCGTGCACCGACATGCGCAGTTGCCAGCTCGCGTCCGTGCACTCGCTCACGCATCTCACGATCAGCGCCTGCCGGGAGCTCCAGTCGCTCCCGGCCAACCTGCCCTTCGCGACGGCATTGCGTCATCTAACGCTCGATCATCTCGGTTTCGACGTGTCCCTCGAGCCGCTAAGCGGGCTGGTAGCTCTAGAGCGGCTGCACGTGTCAAGCGTCGACCGGGAGGAGCGCTTTCACGAGGCTCTCTTCGCGCTGCCGTCCCTGGCGCACGTGAAATTGCGCAATGTCGGGTGGCTCGAGCCGCCCGACGTGACGGATATGGAGAACTCGAGGGAGGTCGCCGCCGCAGCGGACACAGCCGCCGCAGCGGACACAGCCGCCGCAGCGGACACAGCCGCCGCAGCGGACACAGCCGCCGCAGCGGACACAGCCGCCGCAGCGGACACAGCCGCCGCAGCGGACACAGCCGCCGCAGCGGACACAGCCGCCGCAGCGGACACAGCCGCCGCAGCGGACACAGCCGCCGCAGCGGACACAGCCGCCGCAGCGGACACAGCCGCTGCCGCAGCAGCCACTTTCGCAGCAGCAGGAGGTGCGGCAGGTGATACCACTTACCACGCGGAGCTCGGCCCGTCTCTGAAGAATCTCAGTATCCGCCTGGGCAGGACTCTTGAAGAGATGCTAGGGTACGGCAGGCAAGGCAGCCGTACGCTCTCCTCTCGTCTCTGCTCGCTGCTCTCCCTCGCGCACCTCTCGATCGACTGGCTCTCCGCCTCCGCCAGACTCCCTTCCAACCTGGGTTCCCTGCACAACCTGCGCTCTCTCTCCCTCCGCGGCACCTCGCTCTGCCTCCCACACTCCCTCTCCCACCTCGCTTCGTGCCTGCACTCCCTCAAGCTGCACTACAGCGGCGCCAGTGACGCGGACGCCTTTCACCGGAATCTGCCGCCCTGTCTCCCGCTTCTCACCTCCCTCACAAACCTCCACCTTCACAACATGTACCTGCCGTTGTCCCCTCCGCTTGCCTTTGCCCGCCTGCGCGCTCTCTGCACACTACGCATCGAGTATGACATCACCTTCCCCAGCCACGTGTCCTTTCCAGAAGACCTGGGCCAGCTGTCAGCCTTGGAGTGGCTGGAGCTGAAGTACTGCTCCATAAGTCCAGGGCTTCCGCAGTCACTCTGTGACCTGGGCTCTCTGCGGCGGTTGTACCTCGGCAGCAAGACTCTAAAGCACCTGCCCACGGCAATCTCTAGGCTGTCGCACTTACAAGAGCTAACGATATCCTGGTGTTACAGAATGGAAGCTTTGCCTCCAGGGCTTGGCTGCCTGGGAGCACTACAGAAGCTGAGTATCAGTGGCGCGTCGGGGGATTACCTTCCTGACACTCTGGCCGGCTTATCTTTTCTCGAGGAGGTGTCTTTGGATCAATGTTCTGACGGTTTCCGCCTGCCTCCCTCCTTCTGCCTCCTCCCTCGCCTGCTCTCGCTTACTATCACCAGCTGCGGTGATCTCACCACACTGCCCGATAAGGCTCTCTATGCTCCCTGCAGCGTCTCTCTGTCGACTCGTGCAAAAATTTCCACCATTTGCCCGACTCTTTCTCCGGCCTTTCCGCCCTGACCCTCCTCAGCATCTTCAACTGCCCGGGATTCTCCCACCTTCCTGAGACCTTTGGCTTCTTGCCCCGCCTAACCCGCCTCAAAATTGCCGAATGCGGATCATTCACGCACCTTCCTAGCTCCTTCTCCTCCCTGTCTGCCCTCCAAGTGGCCTGCTTTAGCCTCTGCAAGCAGTTGCACTCCCTCCCTCACACACTCGGACTTCTGCCTCGCTTAGAAGTGCTTCAGTTGAGGCAGTGCGTGGCACTCAAGCGTTTACCGGAGTCGCTCCGAGAGGCGAGGGCTCTGCGGCATGTGGATGTGTATGGGAGTGGTGTGGCAGAGGAAGGGGTGGAGGTGGGTGTTTGTGCGAGTAAAGTGCATGTTGTGAGGGTGAGGATGGGACGGGCGGAGCACGTGGGGACGAAGGAAAAGGGGAGGAAAGGGAGAGGTTGTGTGGATGTGAAGTTGGAGGAAGGATAGTGCTGTGCTGGCCCTTGAATGAGTAGAGGATGTACGGAGCAATGGTACGGTACTGTATCTTCCGGACAATTTTTCTGTGATACGTTAGGAAATAGGCAGGGTGGATGGAACAGTTCTGAAAGGCCCCCATTGGTACCGTATTTGTTGTACTAAACAGCTTGTCAATGGCATTGAACATGAACAAGAGCTTTATATTAATCATTATGCTTAACATGCATTCCGTTCTTTATCTTAGTCATTATGCTTGACTCTGTTCTGTTCTACTATGTTTCACATGCACCTATTGTAGCTTATTGCTTCAAAAGCATCACGTTGCTAACATCAATGCCCTTTTCACATCCAAAATACGGTAGGCTAATAAACACTTGTTAATGACCTGTACAACATAAGGTCTCCCTCTCCAATCGTCTAAAAGCCTTCATGAAATGGAAGCACATGTTTGGAGCGTCAGGGACATAGTTACCCAGTGCACTAACAACAATCTTCAGATAACCGGCGTATGACTCAATATGACACGTCATGGCCTGCAGGTGGGGAGGCAAAGAATTAGGCCAACATTCTACGGTAATCGAATGCACATGACTTTTAACGTTTACCATATCAATGCGTGTGCGTGCGCACCTGGTGTTGGCCCACTGTAGTTATAGTAAGTGCCGAAACAACATGCCCTGAGAGAGTCAGCTTTCCCTTCGGCCCTGCAATGTTGGAGACTGTGATTGAGGTCTGTTGGGACACCCTCGCAAACAGCCATGCCATCACCTGTTGTGAAGCACAAAAAGAGCGTATGTTGGAAACATGGGTTAAAAGGAAAAAAAGAAAGAAAAAAAAGAGAACAGGTCATGGCAAACAGAGCTAGCTGAGGAAGATGCAGGTGTGTCAGAGGATGTCAGAGGATGTCAGGGGATGTCAGAGGATGTCTGTGAACAGGGAGCAGGCCCTGAGACAGGCCATGATCCGCGCACACCTCTTGTCATGTCAGAGGATGGTACTCTCCCAACCCTGCGCCCACCACCCACTAGCCTTGCCTTGCGACCCAGCACGGCGAGTGCCAGGCGGGCATAGAGGTTGGTGAGATGGGCCTCCAAGGACACCTTCCAATCCCATTGCCGATCGCCCTACCATGCATCACCCAGCTTGTATTCCCCACTCTCCCTACCTTGCGGCCCAGCACGGCGAGGGCCAGGCGGGCATAGAGGTGGGCCTCCCAGGACACCTTCTTCTGCCCACACTCCGCCCGCACTCGCTGCACTTCCCTCATACCCCTGCCCCACTATGTCTCCAGTCCCACACCCATACCCTCCAACCCCTTACCTTGCGTCCTAGAAGTGCGAGAGCCAGGCGGGCATAGAGGTTGGTGAGGTGGGCCTCCCAGGACACCTTCTTCTGCTCATGCCCATGCACCGCATTGCATTCATCCCCATACCCTTAACCCCCACTCGCCCTACCTTGCGGCCCAGCAGCGCGAGTGCGAGGCGGGCATAGAGGTTGGTGAGGTGAGCTTCCCACGACACCTTCTTCTGCCTGCACTCCGCCCTCACTCGCTGCACCCGCCTCATCTCCTTTGCCCCACCTGTGTGTTTCGTCGCTGCCGGCATCTCAATAACGTGGCTGTTTGTTACACTAGGCAGTGCTGCAGTGGAGGAGGTGCTTCCACGTGGCACTGAGGCTGATGTGGCATGCGACGGGTTCCCGGGGGTGGCAGTGGGAAGCGGAGGAGGAAGAGGAAGACTGGGAGGATGAGGTGAGATGGGGAGGGAGATGACGTTTATCCCAAGCTTATTTCCCCACTGAAACAGGAGCACATGGGAACGAGGCAAGGCAAGAGGGGCATTTGCTCGCAGTTAGCAGGGCCTGAGCAGGGCGAAACTGGTCAATACTGGGCATATGGGAAAGAGGAGATTAGAGTAATGGGGAGTTGAGAGTGGTGGAAAGAGATGGAAAGAAACAAGGTTCCACTTACAACAGGTGGTCCCTTTCGTGTCCTGCTCCTTAGATCAGCCATTGTCACCGCTCTGAACCGAATAGCACCGCTCCTGCTGCTCCATCCATTTGACTTTTGGCGCTGCTCATTTGACTCAGGGTTGTGCCTTCCTGCTTGCACGTAGCTCTCTATGCCCGCAGCAATGACTGCCATCATAAGGTCGTTCACAGTCTGTGTGTGAGTCGTAGGGAGGGAGAAGGGAGAGAGAACAAAAATGAGGTACTGCTGGGTGCTGCTGGGTGCTGCTGGGTGCCGCTGGGTACTGCTGGGTTGACCCATGAGAGCCGGGACACCTGACTTGCACGCAGCTCTCTATGCCTGCAGCAATGATTGCCATAAGGTCGTTCACAGTCTGTGTGTGAGGGGAATAGGGGCAGGGTAAGGATGGGGATGGGGGAATGCAGAGAGCATGGGAAGAGGAACGCAACGGGAGGAGATTGTGGGAGTGGCGAGATGAAAAGTGAGGGTAAATGCCAAGGGTAAGAGAATGGGGCAGAGAGGGAGGACGAGAATGGAGGGAGAGATGAACACTGGATAGAATGGGGATATGGAGAGAGCAGAGGGGAGATTCAGATTTCAACCCTCAATGAACCTCACCCCCACCCACCTTCCCCCCTCCCCCCTCCCACTCACCGCTCCAAGTGCCTTTCGAACCCTAGCCACCCTCTCCATCTCGATCCCCTCAGTCACCGCAAAGCTTCTCGGAAGCGTCCGCTGGTCCTGCTTTCGCAGTCTTGAAAACGGCATGGCAGAGCGAACAGGCGTGCAGGGATGGTCTGAGAGGAAGAGGATGGTTAAGAGGAATTCAATCAGGTGAGCAACGGTGGCAATGGTGCATCGCCAAACGGTGACGATGCATCGCCATGCCATTGTCGCCAAATGGACCATGTAGCTGCAGCGGTACGAGATGGTGCTGGTCCATGCAGCTACAGCTGAGGTTGCAGCAGCAGCAGCAGCAGCAACCTTAGCTGCAGTTACCGTTGCAGGTGCAGTGTCAGCAGTCTCGGTGTTAGTGGCAGTGGCAGTGGCAGGTGCAGTGGCAGTTGCAACTGGTATCGGCACAGGAGGCTGAGTAACGTCAGTTCCCTGTGCTGGTGCAGACACACACTCAGCTGCCCTCTCCAGATTGCACCCCACTAGCGCCGTCAAAGAGTCCACTTGTAGTCTCACTGGAGGCGAGTCAGAGGCTGCTTCAGCTGCTGCTTCTGCTGCTGCTTCTGCTGCTGCTATACACTCCGACTGTCCTCTTGAATCTTGAATCATGATTCTGTGGCTGTTGTTGGTGCCGCTGATGCCGCTGGTGCGGCAGTTTCCGCTGCTGCTGCTGCTAGAGTCAAACCCGTTCCTTATCATCTCCACTCCTATCGCCTCGATGATGCTGCCGTTGCTGCCGTTGCTGCCGTTGCTGCCGTTGCTGCCGTTGCTGCCGTTGCTGCCGTTGCTGCTGTTGCTGCCGATTTTGCTGGTGCTGCTAATGCTGCTGGTGCTGCTGGTGCCACTGGTGTCACTGCTGGTGCTGCTGCTGCTAGAGTCAGATCCGTTCCTTATCATCTCCACCCCACAAGAACGGATACTCCCATTGCTGCCATTGCTTCCGTTGCTTCTGTCACTGGTATCAGAGTAGTTGCGAACCATACCAGCACCAGAAGCAGCACTAGCAGCAGCAGCAGCAGCACCCGCATGACCTCCCTCGGTCTCACCACTGCTTTCCGCCAAATCACTCCCTACCACGCTTCCCGTCAAACTTTCCACTTCATCCCCTTCAGAAGCTGACTCGTTATTGCCTTCTGCCCCCCCAATCACCGTGCTGTTGTCAGCTTCCTTAGAACCGTAGGAGATACCATCACCAATGGCGCTATCACCACGGGTTTCTGACTTGGACGGTCTAGATTGGCTGGAGAGGAGGCACATGAGCGAGGTGCCATCGCCAATGACGTGGTGAATGCTGGAAGGGAAGAGAGAGAGGCAGAGGTGATAGGGCACGGAGGGCAAGGAAGCACGAGGGCAAGAGGGCAAGAGGGCAAGAGGGAAAGAGGGCAAGGGAAGTGAAGGGAGAGAGTGAGAGGAGGCACATGAGCGAGGTGCCTTCGCCACTGACGTGGTGCATGCTGGAAGGGAGGCAAGGGAGGGGAGAGGGGAGAAGGGATGAGAGAGAGATGATTGGAAAGGAATGGGTACAAGCGCTGTAGAATGCATGCACGGGCAGTATGTGCACTGTAGAGGGGTGTGACTGTAGTCCGGTGTGACTATAGCGGGGTGTGACTGTAGGGGGTTGAGACTGTTCAAGGCACACACTTATCAGACGACAGGAGTGGAGCGAGGGAGGTGGGTGCAGATGGGCAGAAGGTGCACTGTGTGTGACTGTATATGTGTGAGACAGTAGGGAGGGTTCTCTTACCGGAAGACAGCGGTGGGGCGTGGAGTGTGGGCACACGTCGGCAGCAGGTGCACTTGCCACAACGGCTGGTTGAATTCAGGTTGACCTTTGAGTTGACTCCAAACTCACCGGAAGACAGCAGTAGAGCGAGGGATGTGCTCGCAGGTGGGCAGCAGGTGCACTTGCCACAACGGCCGGCTGAAATCGAACAGCGGAAGGGTCTGCAGCCGCACCACATGGCTCTCCACACTGCAGTGAGGCACACTATAACGAGGATCCTCTGGTGAGCGCCGATCATGCAAGATGGACGTCTGAGATTCGTCTGTGCTGCTGCAGGAGGAGCAGAGGGAAGGCTCCTGCACCACGTGGGAGGGCCAGTCCACGTGGGTGGGCACCCACATGGGTTCTCGCCACCAGCCCCGGTGCTCCTGATATGACACGGGTAGAGGACGGATGGAAAAACAGGAAGAGGAAAAGATAGGATGAGGCAAGATAGGCCCATGGGACAGTGGTGCGTGTTCACCCATGTGGGTACATGCAACAGCCCAGGTGCCCCTGATATGACGCCACAGGAAGGGGACAGATGGAAAATCAGGAAGAGGAAAGATAGAATGAGGCGAGGTAGTCTTATGCGACAATGGTGGGTGAGCACCCGCGTGGGTACATGCAACAGCCCCGTGAAGTGAGGGTGTTTTTGAGACGTCTCAAAAACACCCTCACTTCAGGAAGAGGAAAGATAGGATGAGGCGAGGTAGTCTTATGCGACAACGGTGGGTGGGCACCCGCGTGGGCACCATGCAACAGCCCACGCGTGGGTACATGCAACAGCCCCGGTGCTGCTGGTGGTGAGAACATGCAGGTGAAGGGTAGATGTCGACAAGGGAAAGAAGACAAGTCAGATGGGCAAGCAGGCTCCTGCCCTGCACCACGTGGGAAGGCCAGTGCACGTGTATAGACACCCACGTGAGTACATTCCACCAGCCCCGGTGCTCCTGAAATATGCACATGGGGAAGAGGCCGAATGGAGAAGGCGAACGGATGAGGCAAGTTAGGCCCATGGTAGGAATCCACACAAGCATACGGCACCAGCCCCAGTGCTCCTGGTGGTGAGTATATGCAGATGGAGGGTAGATGGCGGCAAAGGAAAGAACACAGAGGGTAGATATTAAACACAGAGGGAACGAAAGATGGACAGAGAGACCCGAAGTCTTCATGGACTGGTGAAGCGGGGCTGGGAAGACAGCAGGGTGCGCGCCAGGGCAGTCAGCTCAGCTCCTGCACACCCATCATCGTGCTGCTGCTGCCCTCCTCAAACTCCATGGCCATCAGAATGACCGTGCTCAGAGCAGGGTGGAGGAAGAGAGAGAAGCACAGCAATCAAAGCATGGCATGACGCCTCCCATGCGGCTGCCCTCAAACTCCATGGCCATCAGGATGACCGTGCTCAGAGCAGGGTCCAGGAAGAGAGGCAGCAAGCAACGCACCAAGAGAGACTCGACACGACTCAGCCATGAGCACTCACGATGCGGCTGGTGAAGCGGGGCTGGGAGGACAGCAGGGTTCGAACCAAGCCAGTGAGCTCCGTCACTCCCATGCTGCTCCCCTCAAACTCCATGGCCATCAGGATGACCGTGCTCAGAGCCGGGTCCAAGAAGAGGCGGCTGATTGGAGACACGGGCTGGAGGTCTTCTCGCTCGTCTGGGTCTGATGGGGCACTGCTGGGGCCACGTGAATCTTCAGAGACGGCTGGAGCGCTGCTTGAAACTTCTGACTCTTCTGCACTCCTGTGAGACGTGTGGAGAGTGGAGCACTCTGGGAAGAGCCTGCTGATAGGAGACACGAGGTGGGGCTCTTTAGAGCCTGCTGGGGCGCTGCTTGAATCTTCAAGGTCGGATGATGCGCTGCTCGGGGCTTGCGAGTCTTCGGCTTGCTGCAGGCGTGTCCTGATACGTGCAAGAGGAGGAAGAGGAGGAGGCCATGCACACTGCGAACCTGCACCCTCGACGGATCCTCCCGCCATCGCGTCTGCATGCCCCCCGATCCCTCTTTCGCAAGTCCACTGTACGGGACGCATTGGAGAGGTTAACGCTGAGATGAATGTCCTGTTAAAGCCTTCCTGAGGGACGCTGTGTCTCTGGAATTCAAGAAATGGCAGTTGTTGGTGGCGAATCCAGTCACCCTGTTGGTGGCCTGAGGTGCAAGTAAACGCGGAGGAGTCGGACGGGAGTTGCTGGAAATGTTTTGAGGCGTCGAAATAGTCGTTCAACGACGGGGTTGGAAACACGGGTTTTTAAAGGATAGGTGGGTAGGCGCAGGAGAGCAAAGAACCCTTAGCGGGGATTGCTAGCCTTTCACTGTTTTCCTTTGCAGCGAGACAAAAGAGTGAATGTAATTTCTGTCAACGTCTGCAGTAATGAGAAAACGAATTATGGTTACTAGTTCCACTACAAATGACCAGAGCGGTGTTTTGATTCTCCTAGAACTGAGAAAGCGACTGGTGCTGCTGAAGATGATGAGAGGGGACTGAAGGGCATACCAGCAACGCTAGTAAGAGAGGGGGGGGAGGGGGGGGGGGGGAAGTAACCAAATCAACCGACGATAGAAAGAGAGGCGGTGAGATGCCGCCTAAGATTCTGGAAAGCAATTGAAAGGGATAACCTGCCTGGCATTGTGTGCAAATCGTGGGGAGAAAAGTTTCGACAGCGACTGGTGCTGTCGAAAATGTTGGAAGTGCAGTTGTGAGGTTCAATGTCAAATGTCGTGAAATTTCATTTGCGCGGTTCGAGAGAAAACATCGCGAATCCCGATACAAAACTTACGGCGAAATTTGCGATCGTGAGTTTCGAGATGTGACAGAAATTTGGGGATGGCGACATTTGGGGTCACCACCATCGAAAGCTTCGCAACTTCGCAAGACCTGAAAATTACCCAGAGGGGGGGATGGAGATTCGAGATCGCGAGTGTCACATCAAAGCAGGCTGTTACAGCCTACAAAACACTTACGAAATTGAAACTTGTGTCTGTGGCAGATGACAAAAAAAATATGCTCGACAGGAAGCTGAAGGGGGAGTGGGGGGTTATATACCTGCTTGACAATAAGGAAATCCACTATTTTACTGACCAGCTTTCGTATACATTTGCAAGTACTGTTCACGGTTGCACAGTATCCCAAAAAAATTCGCTCAAACGAAACCAAATGAGGGTGGCGAGAGGTTTTGCGAAAACTTGCACCTTTGAGGGTTCCAAACACGGGAAACTCCCCCGTCACCCAACCTTGCAGTGACTCACCAGCCGAAGCATAGATAGAGGAACCGAGGCTAGCGGTTTGCATCACGACGCTGGGTCGCCGCACTCGAGTAAGCCGTCACGCGATTGATAATTTAGGGGCCGTGTTCACTGAGCGGATGCGCGTTTCATGCGTTGGCCACGCCGCCACTCTCAACACTCGCTAGGTAGGCCTCTCCCGCTTGGCTCCTCACCCGCTGCGCGCCTTTCCCACTTAGCGCCTCACCCGATGCGCACCATGGCCCTTTATCGCCGAACCCGCTGCGGCGCCTCAGCCCTTAGGGCGTGTGACATTTTTCCTTTGTTTTGTCCGGACGTCCAGCCGTTCGGACGGTTGTGTGGTTACCAGAATCCTTCCAGCTCGCCAGCTAGCTCGTCCAGAATCGAAACGACGTCGTATGTGTCGCCTCGCGTCCTTACCACGTCGCAGGGTACGGGAGAAGCAGGGTGAAAGAGGGAAAGGGAGATAGGGAAAAAGGGAAGCAGCGCGGGTAGAAAGAGGGAAGAAGGGTGTAGGGAAGATAGGGGAAAGGGGAAAGCAGGGCGTAAGGCAGAGAAGAGAGAGGGGGAAGCAGGGTGTAGGGAAGAGAGGGAAATGGGGTTTAGCAGGATATAAGGGGGAGAACGCATGGTGGGAGAAGAAGGGTGTGGAGTAGAGAGGGGAAAGGTGGAAGAAGGGAGTAAGGCAGAGTGGAGAATAAATCAAGAGGGGTGTAAGACAGAGAGGGGAAAGGAGGTAGAAGGGTATAAGGCAGAGAGCGGAGAGGGGAATGAAGGGTGTAGGGACGAGAGAGTAAAGGGGGAAGCAGGGCGTAGGAAGAGAGGAGCTAAGAGGGAGAAAGGGGGTAGGTGAGCTTGAGAAGGGGGGGGGGGGGGGGGGGGGGATGAGACGGAGAATGGGGAAAAATGAGAAGGAGAAAGGTGGGACATGAGAGGGGGGAGGGGGGTAGACGAGAGGGGGAAGGGGGGAATCGAGAGGGAGAAGGTGGAGAAACGAGAGGGAGACGGGGAGGCGGGTAGGGAAAACGAGGGGGCGAGAAGGGGAAACGGGGAGGCGGGGAGGGATAATGGGGAGCGGGAAGGGGAAACGGGAAGGTGGGATGGGGAAACGGGGAGCGAGAAGGGGAAACGGGGAGCGGGAAGGGGAAACGGGGAGCGGGAAGGGGAAACGGGGAGGTGGGAAGGGGTAATGGGGACCGTGAAGGGGAAACGCGAATGTGGGAGAGCGGGAATGCGAAACGGGGAGGCGGGAAGGGGAAATGGGGTGCGGGAAGGGGAAACGCAAATGTGTGAAGGGGATACCGGGAGCGGGAATGGGAATCGGGGAGGCGGAAAGGGGAAATGCGCGGCGGGAAGGAAAACCGGGGAGGCGGGAAGGGGTAATCATGACACGGGAAGGGGAATTGCGGTGGAGGAAAGGGGAATTGGGGATGCGGGAAGGCAAGGGGAAATGGGGAAAGAGGGAAGGGAAGATCGGAACAGGGAGGCAAGAAAGGGAGATCGGAAGGCAGAAAGTGGGAATTCGGAGGCACTAACGCGAGATACGGAGCCACGCAGGCGAAATAGGGAGGCGAAAAGGGGAGATGGGAAGGCGCTGGGAAGGGGAGAAGAATTGGCTGGTCAAGGAGACCGTTTCGGCAGTCCGTCGCGACCTCAAGTGCGGCTGCCGTGGCTAGTGCGGAAACGGGGTAACAAAGCTGCGCGAGCGGGAGGCGACTGTGATCGTGCGAGATCCCGCTGTTCGGCAGTTTCAGATGCAGCGTGCGTGTTCAAGGAGGTGTGAGGAGGCAGCGAGGTGAGGCGATGCGACGCCGCGACGGACAACGAGGCGAGGCTAATGAAAGGAGGTCCGTTGTGATCGGCTCGGCGAGGTGACTAGAACCGGCGCCGGCTAGGCCACAAGCAGCGGTTTGATGCGGCGCGACGAGAGTGGAGGTGGAGGGATGCCGCGTTTGAAAGCTAGCGGGCGCGGCTAGTGCTATTTCAATGTCGAACGCGTGTGATGCGGGAGAGGCGAGTGTGAGAGGGCGGAACTGGCGTTGGTGCGGACGCGTAATGACTCTATACGTCTAGTTACGTCGCTGTTTGTGTCGGAAACGGGGTTCTTTGCGCTGGTTGTTGAATCGCGATCTGCTTATCTACGTAGTTTTCGGCCTATCGTGCGTAGTGGCCTAGTTCTGAGAAACATGGTAATTTGTATCCTTTTGTTGTTTCAAAAGTTTTGAACCAGCAGTCAGAGGAGATGGTGCGGGGTGTCGGGGGGATCATCTCCCTTGTGGGACGAGGGAAATGACCTGTAATAGGGTAACCAGTTTTCAAATTTCTAAACTTCTGAAACTCCCACTTTCAAATGTATACGAAAGCTTTTACAGCAGTCATTGATGCTAGAAGCAAATGCGCTTCACTCGACATCGTGCAGCAAGAGGCCCAACCACCACAACAGACTGTGGAAAGGCATCCTGCGCCATCAGTGAGATGGAGCCAGCCTGCATAAGCCTTGCAATGAAGAGCGCCAACTTAGCTGCATCCAGGGGTCCTCCCAACAGACCATCAAATGCGTCATAAGAGCGAAGAAACAAGTGAGTGAGGGGAAGGCACAGGGTATAAGGGGACGGCAGAGTTGGAAAAGGGTGGATGAGAGTGAAAACTAAAAACAACAGTAGATTCCATCTCATCATAACCAGCAAAATACCGGTAGGACATGGACCTGCATCAACAGCCACCATCCAACTTGGGTGACCCAAAGACCAGATGCTGTCTCATATCAGCGAAGTGGCAGCATTACAACATCCACCCACATCACCTTGCCGCACTACTGCGTCAATCTTCATGCTCTGGCAGCAAGAGAGAGTGGTAGGAGACATACTAACTCCAGTTGTTTTTTAGGTTGAGAAAATAAGAAATGCTGAACGGGTGATTGGCTGCAGCAGCTCGCTAAATCCTGACAGAACTTCCCAACCAAACTTCACAGGCTTCCCAACATCGGCGTGCATGTGGCGTGCCCATCAGCCTCCACTGCTGATGCCTCTTTCAATGTGTGCAGCTCGCTCCAGCTAATTTTCCTGCAACTTTCATGCTTCCTGGAAAATCAGCAGCCTCCGAGTCGTGGGGCCTGCATCGCGATGATGATTTCGCAACCTAACGGGATGAAGGGCCCGTAGAGCATGTAACTGCGAAGGAGCAACCGTCCGAAACGGCCAGCTTGAAAATTCCGGACGCCGAATGTGAGCCGAAATGTCTGACGGAAACCGTCCAGGATATTTTTTTTCGAAAATTCGCGCATTACGTTGCCTACCGAGAATCGTATACGAACAAGAGGTCGTCCGGCCATTGCAAGATAGACAACAGTATGTCGAACTGTTTCACCAGCATAAGGACGAAGTCAATCGCCTCAATCCTACGTTTAGGATGCAAATGAACACCTTCTCGAGCTAACAAACGGTAAAGCGTGGGTGGACGCGATGAAGAAGGCAGCCTGCAGAGGGAGAAAAAGGTGCAGTATTCGCGCATCACGCCATCGCGTTTCTGGAAACGTACAGCGATTCGTGAAAAGCGAAATGGCAGAATGTCATATGGGCAAAAGCGAAAAATGACATTTAGAGGCTGAACAGACGAAAAGGTCATTCCGTTGCCGGGACTTGAACCCGGGTCTCTCGGGTGAGAGCCGAGTATCCTAACCGACTAGACTACAACGGATATTGACGTAAAATTAATATTTTATTAAGAACATTAAATTTGACTGCCTTACGGCTCTGAATCACTGTTTGCCACGCTTTACAGATAGACACGAGCTTTGAGTGAACAATGCATGACCGCCCTTGTGCTGCCTGTGCTTCCGTAGTACGGATCAGAATGAGCAGGAAGCTAACATCGATTAGGCGTGGATGATGGAGATCAACTTGATATATTTTGTATAGCGTTGAGAGCATCAGTCTATGGGTGGTGATGTAGTGTGGTTGTCGGCAAGGCAGTGAAAATACTGTCATTACGTCGAACGAGACCAATACAATTCGTCATACGCTCCCAACGTTCTTCAGAGGAACCCGATCTTTTGCCTAAGATTTCATGAGAATCGGCGTAAGCCATAACACAGGAATCATGCGAGGGGAAGATCGGAGCAACTTTTTGGAACCTTATGTTGAAGTGGTATTGAGACGGTGAAAGCGTCAGGCTATGGGTGGTGATGTAGTATGGTTGTCGGCAAGGCAGTGAGGACACTGCCATTACGTCGAACGAGACCAATACAATTCATCATACGCTTCCAGTGCTCTTCAGAACGAAAGAAAGAAACAGATATCACCGCTTATGATGTCATGAGAATTGACACAAGAGGGACAAGCAAGGTGGGGTAATGGAACACCTTTACTCCTTATTTGGGTAAATGATCAATGGATGGAAGCATCAGGCTATGGGTGGTGATGTAGTATGGTTGTCGGCAAGGCAGTGAAGACACTGCCATTACGTCGAACGAGACCAATACAATTCATCATACGCTTCCAGTGCCCTTCAGAACGAAAGAAAGAAACAGATATCACCGCCTATGATGTCATGAGAATTGAACACAAGAGGGACGCGCAAGGGGGGGTAATGAAACACCTTTACTCCTTATTTTGGTAAATGTTCAATGGATGGAAGCATCAGGCTATGGGTGGTGATGTAGTATGGTTGTCGGCAAGGCAGTGAAGACACTGCCATTACGACGAACGAGACCAATACAATTAATCATCTGCTTCCAACATTTATGATCGTGGGGACCATATTGTTAGGCGCGAATGCAAAGGGTAAAGTATACTTCAAAGCTAAAACGAGATCGACTAGAGGTCTGGCGATGAGAACAAAGCAGGTAATGTAAAGTGAAGGCGGCGACGCCTTGAAATGCCATGGGGCTTTGCAAGAACGACGAGTGAGGGAAGGTAGGAACTGAAACAAGCGATTCTGGGTTTGATTGAGAGAAATGAAACTTCCTGTGTCCAGAGCTAGAGATTTGTAGGCGGAAGAAAATCCGAGAACCACAGATGGGAGGTGGGGGGAGCAACAAAAATGGATCGGCATGATCCATCATTTCCGCCTTGCGATAAGAGATCATCAAAATCCTGCACTTTGAAGGCCAACAGCCTTGCGTTCATATCCCTAAAGAAAGCATTTCAAGCTTGTAAACAACATCTAATATATGCAACCACGTTCTAGCAAGAGAATAGCTCCTGTGTTCTGTCATCTCCGTTCTCAACTGATGTTTGAGTTGATTCAACAAGCTTTTTAATTCAAATTTGCATTTGTGAATATCATGTATAATGTGAATAAAAGGACCCTGGTTCACCAAGAGTGTTGTGGGACGTTCATATCTCCGTACGACCTCTTGTCAGACAGACCTCTATCAGGCTCCTGTCGCACCGCACTGGAACGCGCATAGTCGAATCAAACCGAAATAAAATGCACTGAACCATGCTATTCTGATAAGAGGTATGTCTGATAAGAGGCGCAGGAACACGCGCTCGCTGTATTTGGCAGGACCTCAGCAGCCGTTCCTGAGAAACCCGCAGCCACATGAGAAGTCAAGCACCGTGTGCTCCCTGCAAAACAAAGCAACGCGCACAGTAGCAACAACAGAACGAGCAACTCTTGTCAGAAAACTGTACAAGACAGCTCCTATCACTCAAGACTCGGTGGTAGTAGGCAGCACAAGCAGTACCAGTCATTGCATGACACTTGCGCATCAGTGTGCAGGGCGACGTTAGAGCCGGGGACCATACGCAAACTCTTGTGAGGTAGCAGGGGCCAGCATTGGATGCTCTATGGCACTTACGAATCAGTGTTCAGGGCGACATTAGAGTCGGGGCCGTATGCGAACACAAGGTGCTGTGTGCTGTGTGACACATAGAAGAGTGCAAGGAGTTGGGGCACTGTGTGCTCTTTCGCACTTACGCATCAGCGTGCATGGCGACATTTGAGTCGGGGCCGTACGCGAACACGACGTGGGCACCCCCGCTGTTCCGCACCTTCACGGATGATCCGTCACTGGCCGAGCGAGTGAACCTGGAGGCAGAAAAGCGAGGATAAGGGAAAGGGAGAGGGGCGCACAGGTGGGGTATGTTGGGGTGAGGGGAGAGTGGATCCCGGTGTGGGTGCTCCCGCTGTTCCGCACCTTCACGGATGATCCGTCACTGGCCGAGCGAGTGAACCTGGGGGCAGTAAAGCGGGGAGAAGGGAAAGAGTGAGGGGCGCACAGGTGGAGTATGTTGGGGTGAGGGGAGAGGATCCGGGTGTGGGTGCTACCGCTGTTGTGCACCTTCACGGATGAACCGTCATTGGGCGAGCGAGTGAACTGCATTTTCAAAAGCACCAGACGGGGGACGAAGAGCTCGCTATATGCTGGTGGAGAAAGAGGGCGACCCGGGCGCCCACGACGTGGCATGGGACGACGAATTGCACCTGGAGATTGTTCTTAGTGAAAACTAACTCTATAGCAGGAGTCGCAATGACGGGGCGGGGTCTGTAAACTCACTTGACGATAGTCCCGCCCTTCTTGCCGGTGGTGACATCCAGCGAGCCGGGCGCCCGTGACGTGGCAGGGGAGGCGGCGAATTGCACCTGGAGATTTGGTACCAGGTCAGACTCACTATACACTAAAGCAAGAGTCGCAATGACGGGGCGGGGTCTGTAAACTCACTTGACGATAGTTCCGCCCTTCTTGCCGGTGGTGACATCCAGCGAGCCCGGCGCCCACGACGTGGCGGCGACGGCGGCGGATTCCCCCTGGAGATCGTACGGCGACGCGGTGCCTGTGCCCGTCTCGTACGCGACGACGTTGCTGCCGCCCATGTCGCCGTTGGGCGACCAGCCGACGGCGAACCAGCCCGCCTTGTGCGCCGCGGATCCCGGGCGCGCTTGGATGGCGAAGTGGATGTGTTTGCCCTTGGTGGCCTTCCAGTGCAGAGAGAGCCTGTAACGGGGATGAGCGGGATGAGGGGGATAAGAAAGCGAGTTCAGACGCGCATAGCGGAGATGAGCGGGATGGCAAAGTGGATGTGTTTGCCCTTGGTGGCCTTCCAGTGCAGAGAGAGCCTGTAACGGGGATGAGAGGGATGAGGGTGATAAGAAAGCGAGTTCAGATGAGCGGGGATGAGAGGGATGAGGGGGATAAGAAAGAGAGTTCAGATGAGCGGGGATGAGAGGGATGAGGGGGATAAGAAAGCGAGTTCAGATGAGCGGGGATGAGAGGGATGAGGGGGCTAAGGAAGCGAGTTCAGATGAGCGGGATGGCAAAGTGGATTGTTTTGCCATTTGGTGACCTTCCATTGGAGCACCAGCCTGTAACGGGGATGAGCGGGATGAAAGGGGATGAGCGGGATGGGGAGTTTAGATGCAACATGGCGGAAAAGGGAACATTGGAACAACTCGGGACGACGTCGGGATGAGCGGGGATGAGCGTGACGAAGGTGGTTCGGGGTGGAAAGAAAGTAATGAAGACAGAAAAGAAAATAAGATGGCACATCAGTTCTCGTCGCTCTATCGCGGCCTGCATTGTCGCGTTATCGCGGCCTGCATTGTCGCGTTATCGCGGCCTGCATTGTCGCGTACCCGTACTGGAGCTTCACCATCGAGGTATAACCCTTCAGCTTGGACTTGCCGCACATGAGCCGGCCGAATGGCAAGAAAAACAAGCTGCGCCGCCATCCTGATGATCGCCCCGTCGCGGCGACCGTGCCGTTGGGAGTTAGACGCGACGCGTTCGCGAGCGGCGCGACCGCGAGAAGTAGGAGGCCGCATACGACGGCGGCTGATAAGAGGATCGGCGCGGCGGATCTCGTCGAGGAGGCGCGTGCGACGCGTTGAGTCATCGCCATGGTTGGTAAGGAGTCGACGCGTGAATACAGAAAGCGGAACGGAAGAGGTTAACGGTGGGATCCGCTAATGCTGCTTCTGCCGGCAAAAAATGCTGACGGGTTCGACGAGTCTGTGGGATGAATTGGTGGCTCGGATGGTGGTGACGATTGGAACGGCGATGGCGACGGCGGCCGAAGTTGGGTAGGTGGTGGGCAAAAGGCGACAGCTTGAAGTAGTGAACTTTGAATAAAATGCACGCAGCCCTCCTTGGTTGGTATGGATAAGACGTATGTGGCGGTATTTATGTTTATGACAACAAATAAGGTGCAACTAGAGTAGTAGATTCAGCACAGCAGCAACACCATTGCCAAGTTGGGAAGGTCCCGCCGGTGGGCGAGTGTGCGACACACCACCGCCATTTCGTTTCACAGTGCGTGCGACACACGCCGTCGCCGAACCACACACAAAAAAAAGCACCAATGTGTCAGTCTCGAGTCGCAGGCGCGCTTCGAGCAGAAATTGGTGGGGCTTGACTGGTCGTAAACGTGTGGACGACGTGATGCGACGGACGGTGATCGGACGAGGCGCCTGTCATTGGCCAACGTTGTCGCAAAACTCGGTACCGAACTTGAACATCGTCGCATGCGCCGCAATCGCAACGGAAAGGAAATTTCGTTGGAACTTGTGCTGACGCCAGCTGGATGTTGCTGTCTGGCTCTGTGGAGAAATGTGTCGGTGCAATCGCGTGCCCCTTGTGGGAGGAACGTGTGCATAAACTCGTTGACTGATCAAGGTTGGATTCTCGGGCGAAGTTCGTGCAGTAATGGCAAACCGTTAACCTAGCACGGAATAGGCTTGATGTGTGCCTGGGCTGGTGTTACAGCCAATAGGCACTGGTAGCTCACCCTGTGTGGCTGGTGGTGCTCTGGGGAGGGAGGTATGGAACTTGCGGCGCTAGTTGGGGCTTGCGGAGGCTAGTTGAGGCTGGTTTTGTACCCGAGCTGAACTGTCAGGAAGATTCCAACCAGATTCGTGGCTGCTGAAGCTGACATGACCTGTGGCATGTCATAGGCTAGTTGGTGTCCGCTGAGGTTCGACAGAGGGCGTTACCTGAAGCATACAATACAATTTCTTTAACATACGTGTGGAACTCATAAACGTTACAGAAATTAATTATAAAATGGAGATGGTCTCACCCGTTGACATCCTGTAAGCCCTATACACGATGGAAATCGAAGCAGCTTTCTCAATAACGCTTTGCACTTATTTTACGACAAAAACTCCTTCCACACAGATGTAACACTGACTGGCAGTTGAATACAAAGTGGCACATACTCGGCAACAAGGCTGGGAAGGTTTAAAAAGGAGAGAGAGAGAGAGAGAGAGACTATAGCATGAGCAGTTTTAAGGGTCAGATGGCCTCCAGGCTAATTCTCATGCCCTTTCTGTCACTGTTGATGCATTTGATGAAGCCTTGATACTAGGCGAACGAGGACTGTACAGAGCAGTAGCTGAATGGAAGCGAGTGGTCAGTGGCGGGAGATGAAGAACAGGAGGCGGGCACCTAGAAGGGCTGGGTGGCTCGGGCGCTTTATTGAAGGATGGTGCCCAGAATTTGTATTCCCATAGCTCTTTTGCAGGGAGGGAGGCTGTGAAGGGTCCAACTTGGAAGTGAATGTTTTTACCAGGAGGAGGGTCTGTTCTCACACTGCCAATAGGCAGCCACATGAGAAAGCGTTTGACCCTGATTCCCTGCACATTCAGGGTATACAGCATGAGGCGTGGGCCCTGGAACGTTGCAACAGTTGCAATCACATGTATGCTACGTACCTTGACATTGAATATGCCATTCTGACAGAGATCACCAGAGATGACTTTGTCAAACTTGATGTAGTGTCCCCCGAATTCCGCCATACTCTCGTTTTTTCCCTGAGTTGCAATGAATCTACCATCAGCAGAGTTGAAAGAGACGTCGGCCAGGCTCTCCATAGGTAGCAGGCCATGTGGAAGGTTATGCTCCTGCACATACAGTTGAGGTTGAAACAACTACCTTCAAAATCGAGAATCGTTTGAGCATAATAATGAAAATAATGCAGGATATGTTGGCAATTTCTTATAACGAGAGAATATACCTTCAGTATGGCGTGAGCAATTTGAAGCGGAGAGCAGCGCTCCACGGCTTTTGGGTCTCTGACCCCTGATACCGAGGAAGGGGTCGCTGGGGTCGTTGTGTCCCGAGGAGGCATTTTAAAGCGCAGCGCCGCTATCAACTTGAAACGACTAGGATGTCCTGGTGGCTGCTAACTGAGGAGTTAGCTATCGAGACTCGGTGAGCTTGCTGATTAGTAAGGTCCAGGCGGCCGCTAAAACATCCTCACGAGTTGCTGCTTTAAGAAGCGCAGCTTCATGAACATGGCAGGTTCGGAGCTCGATCACGGATCACTAGCAGTCTCGTGTGCCGAAGCCCTGAAAGCTGGCTTCTAGACCCCAACCCCGAAAAGCAGGAAATCCGACTCCGTTGAGCACAAAAGGTACTTGTCAGGAACCTCATTACCGTTTTGATTATTCGTTTTGACTGAAAGGCTTCAGCTACAGCGTCGCTGCGTCGGTTCCACATCTCCCGAGTGGAATCTTCCGAAGCTGCGTGACGATCGTACTCAAGCTGGCCTCTACTCAACATGCTGATAGATACTTCTCGATAGTGACGTTCCAACTGGACTACTAGCTGAATTGACAGCTCGCTGTCGCTTTTGTTGGATAGATTCGCAAGGCAATCTCGCCTTGACGTTACCGCGCTGCGTGTGGTCCTGGCAGGGATCAAGCACGGATCAACACTCCCTCAGCTGTCACCATCATTGAATTTTCCAAATGACAAGCAAGAGTGAAGGGAGGGTGAAGGGAGGGGCGTAAATATGTCCGGCAGATGGATCTTGGGCATGAAACTTATAGAATCATAAGGGGCACAAAACAGCATGAACTCTGGTAACGGGGTTGCTATCAGCAAGGATCACATTCGCCAATCAGTATGGGCTTTGTTTCGCCAATCATGGTGAAACAATCTCCCAGATATCTGGAACTAGGCAATTTTGCGGCGTCAGCAGGAGCTCGGGGTTGGAGGAGAACGTCACTTCAGCCATTCGAGATTGCCCATTGGCCAATAAAACCGTCTAAGGCGCAGCCAAATGCACTTTTGGCTGGGTGTATGCGAGGTGTTCGCTCGCAGAAGTCGCAGCTGCACAGTTTCAGCCAGACCTGTAACCCGGAAACCTGTCTCGATTGGGCTTGGTAATTTGGTTTTGCGAACGAGAAGTTTGGAGTAACCAGGGAGCTCGAGATTTCGGGATTGATTGGAATTCTCTGACAGCCCAGCAAAAGTTTCAGCCTGGAGATTATAAGAGCCTAGGGATCATCAACTGCTCAGGAATCTCCTAATTGAAACTGGTGTTTTGTTCGCAGCAATAATCAGAGGTGAAGCCATTGTTTCATAATCGTTCGCCTCTCATCAACTAGCTGCTTTCCGATTTCTGTGCCTTTCGAGGAAGGCTTATTCTCTGTCCCGTTCAACTCCTTCGTCAATCTTCATGGCAGCGCTTCTTCAGGTATTTTTGTTAAATTCTTTCTGTAATTTCCTTGTTAGATACTCGATAATGTTACTGTCGACGGAGAAGAAAACACATTCTGATCATCCTAAAACAAATTCTGATCATCCTTCTTAACTGTCATTCATTCCTTTCAGTCCGCATCATGCGTCGGCTTCGCCGCGAATCAGCTCAGCGGTCAGAAGCTCGCGTCACTCGCGTCGAACGCGTCGCCCAAGCAGCTGCGACGGCCGGCAACGGTGATTGAGGCAACGGCAGCACCGGCCGCCGTCGCACAGAAGGCGTCTGCGAAGAAGGGCGACGTCGCACGAGTCGGAGTGCTCGGAGCAAGCGGATATACCGGTGCTGAGGTGAGCATTCACAATCGTGTGTGATGAGATGATCCCTGAAGCGCATCAACATTCTCGGATGAATATGTTCATGCACATCACAGCAAGCCGGTACACTGGCGCTGAATTGAGCATGCACGTTCGTGTAATGAGGCGACCCCTCAGGCTCGTCAACTCTCTTCGCGACACATGTTTGAAGAAATTTCAGCAAGCAAATACCTTCACCGGCTGAATTCACAAGAATTTAGACGTTAAGAAAATGCTGACTTGGGATATAGTTTGCAAGTCAGTAGCACTTGCTGTTCTGGTAGCATTCGAATTCGCTGGATAGGTACAAATTCACCTTTTTATGCCTCCAAATGCGACGCATTTTCCACCTGACGTCGGGAAAGCGTCCTCTGAGATCACATTGCTGGCTGCTCTTCCGTTCCTCTGTTCCCTTATTCCCCTGTTCCTCCTTATCGTTCGTCTGCTGGCCTTGCATCCGTCGCTGCAAGTCACTCTCATGACGACAACTGGTCGCAATGCCAATCCTTTCGTCCTTCGTTTCTCCCTCCACCTGTGTCCCCTCCCTCGTGCATTTTTTCCCCCAGATCGTTCGTCTGCTGGCCGTGCATCCGTCGCTGCAAGTCACTGTCATGACGGCAGATCGCAAGGCCGGGCTGCCGCTCTCGTCCGTCTTCCCTCACCTCATCTCCCAGGTACAATATCACAGAGTAACATTTTCACAGAATATGTTGGGTGTTAGGATTTTTTACTGCAGCTTTTGTTGAATTGCGTGCGTGAGGATCTTCCGAGGCCTTGTGCTCTGGAATGTTCTCAAGCCTGGCGGGGAAGGTTCTCAAAATCCTCTTCCTGCTTCCTCTTACCCTCCCTCTTTAACACTCCCCTTCCACCCCGCTTCCGCTGTGGCAGACGCGGGTTTCACGCAAGTGGACTGTTATGCGCCTCGTGTGGCACAATTCGTTTTGCTCGTGTGCCATCTCTTCTTCCTCACTTCCATCCTTCTTCCCCTCCATGCCCCCCTCTCTCCCTCCCTCCCTCCCTCCCTCCCTTCCTCCAGGTCGATCTCCCCAACATGGTCGCCGTGGCAGATGCGGATTTCTCCCTGCTTTACTCTATCACTTATCCTTTGATTTGCCTCCCTGTCCGTGCCTCCCTGGCTCCCTCCCTCCCTTCCTCCAGGTCGATCTCCCCAACATGGTCGCCGTGGCAGATGCGGATTTTTCCCAGGTGGACGCGGTCTTCTGCTGCCTGCCGCACGGCACCACTCAGGTGTGTTTCAGGTGTCCAACCAGGTGGTTTCAGATGGCCGTTCTAGTGGGTCGCTCAGTGTGCCAGGTGCCCCCCCAGGTAACTTGTCTGTGCTGGATTCAAGGTTCAGCTTAGCCGAATCGAGCATGCAATTATGTTTGGTTTCCATTGTAGTGTTCATGATCATGTGAATCTGTGCAAGTCTGATACTGGGACTGGAACTGTCCAGCCTTCAATTCATGAAGGGCCTGATATCATTGCAGTTCTCCCGTCACGACTTGCTTGCAACGCAAGAGGGCTTCATCTTATTGCTTCATGACTCACTTTCTATGTTGGCAGGAAATTATTGCAGCGCTGCCCGAGCACCTGAAGATTGTGGATCTGTCTGCTGTAAGTGATGATTCCAAATATATTCACAAGCCTTTATATTTTGCATGACTCGTTACAGCCCCTCGTTCCCGGTCTAGATGCTTCACATGGTGCCACTCAGCCATGGCTCTTACATGTGCCTCTTCCCCTTGCTGCAAATTGTGCCATGTGCCATATTTGCAGGATTTCCGGTTGAGGGACGTGAACGAGTATGCACAGTGGTATGGCGGCGAGCACAGGGCGCCCAAGCTGCAGGTGAGGGGGTGTGCTGCCGCGCATGTGTGCTTGAGAGTCGAGTCGTAAGGGGAGAGGGACGTGAACGAGTATGCACAGTGGTATGGCGGCGAGCACAGGGCGCCCAAGCTGCAGGTGAGGGGGTGTGCTGCCGCGCATGTGTGCTTGAGAGTCGAGTCGTAAGGGGAGAGGGACGTGAACGAGTATGCACAGTGGTATGGCGGCGAGCACAGGGCGCCCAAGCTGCAGGTGAGGGGGTGTGCTGCCGCGCATGTGTGCTTGAGAGTCGAGTCGTAAGGGGAGAGGGACGTGAACGAGTATGCACAGTGGTATGGCGGCGAGCACAGGGCGCCCAAGCTGCAGGTGAGGGGGGCGGGGCTCTGTGTGATTGACTTGAGAGAATGTTCAGAAGGGAGGAGAACGAATTTGCACGTGTATGCCCAGTGGAATGGCAGTGAGTACAGGGCCCCAACTACGTTGCCCGTACCATCCCACCTCTCTCTGTTATCTCACTTCTCCCTGTTACGCTGTGTGTGTGTGTGTGTGTGTGTGTGTGTGTGTGTGTGTGTGTGTGTGTGTGTGTGTGTGTGTGTGTTTGTGTGTGTGTCCTCTCACCAGGAAGAGGCGGTGTATGGGTTGACTGAGATCTACAGAGACGCAGTGAAGGCTGCCCGCCTGGTGAGTCAACACTGGAACTCGTATCTGCGTTCGCCAGGAAAATAGACGATTTATTAGGTTTTTTCATTCCGTTCTTTCATTCCGCGCCTCAGTGCTCTCTTTCCGCCTCTCCATTCTTTCTTTGCTTCCCCTCACAGGTGGCCAATCCCGGATGCTATCCCACGTCCGTGCAGCTCCCTCTCATCCCCCTTCTTCAGGTATAGCACGATGAAGCTCCCGCTCATGCCTGATGCCATTTCATGCCTCATCCAGCAAATGTGCACCGTCTCATGCGTCAGGTGTGATATGCCTTATTATTCCAGCACCCGATCATCCTTTATCATCGACGGTTTCCTCATGCCTGATGCCTCATTTATCAACCTCTTCGTTAGGTATGGTCTTGACTGTTTCCTCCTGCCCACGTGGCTTGCCAACCCACACAACCGTGCTCCTCTGGAAGGATTAGACGTAGGTAGGAACATGTGTCTGCGTGTCCATCTCTCTTTCTTGTCTCCCCCCACAGTCCAAGCTCATTTTGCCAGACGGCATTATCATTGACGCCAAGTCTGGAGTGAGCGCAGCCAAGGAGGGCATCCTTGGAGTCATGCTGTCATGTGATCCACCCCTACGGTTTCTTACCACATGACTGAACCCCTCCCACCTCCTGTTCTCCTGTGGTGTCTCCTTCCACCCTCCCCTTCTCCCCCGCCCTTTTCTTACAGTCCAAGCTCATCCTGCCAGACGGAATTATCATCGATGCCAAGTCGGGAGTGAGTGGAGCAGGGCGCGGGGCCAAGGAGGCGAATCTCTACACGGAGGTGGCCGAGGGCATCCACCCGTATGGCGTCACCAACCACAGGCACGGTAGGTATAGTTACAGGGTTACTATGTTATGATGCTACAGTGTGCTACATACCTGGTATGGAGCCAAGGAGGCGAACCTGTACACAGAGGTGGCGGAGGGCATTCACCCGAATGGAGTCACCAACCACAGGCACGGTAGGCTTCATGTCACATCACGCACAGTTGTTGGTAGAGCAGGGATCGTGTGTGATCACTGCGCACTAGGTAGGGAGCCAAGGAGGCGAACCTGTACACAGAGGTGGCGGAGGGCATTCACCCGTATGGAGTCACCAACCACAGGCACGGTATGTCTCCTTTCATTCCAGACACAAGACTCTCTTGACAGCAGCAGCAGCAGGCAACAGCAGGAAAGTGTTACTTTCTGTTAGGGGCCAAGGAGGCGAATCTGTACACAGAGGTGGCAGAGGGCATTCACCCCTATGGGGTTACCAACCACAGGCACGGTAGGTCTCGATACGGTGTTACAGTGTTACATGGTTACAATGTTATGGTGTGCTACATACCTGATGTGGAGCCAAGGAGGCGAACCTGTATACTGAAGTGGTCGAGGGCATTCACCCCTATGGCGTCACCAACAACAATCATGGTAGGTTTCGTCTCGCATCACACTGTGGTACATTATGACAGTGTCACAGTGTGAACCATACATACCTGATGCAGAACAAGGAGTCTACTTTTGAGGCGCCTAAAAAATAGACACGTGGTACAGTATTACAGTGTCACAGTGTGTATTGTACATACCTGATGCGGAGCCAAGGAGGCTAACCTGTACACAGCGGTAGGAGAGTACTTCCATCCCTACAGCATCACCAACAACAGACACGGAAGGCTTCACACACAATAACACCTAGCAGTTCTCAACATTGAGCAGCGAGAGGAGGTGTGGGTGGTACTGTACCCATCAGGAGAAAATCTTGGACCCCTCACAAAGAACTTGCCTCATTCCCTCTCTACCCACTTGCCTGGCAGTGCCTGAGATTGAGCAGGGCTTGAAGGAGTCTGCCTGAGTTGGTGGGTGTGTGCTGTTTGGACGCCTTATAACAGCCCTTGATTCACTTCCTCCCCACTTTTCTGGCAGTGCCCGAGATTGAGCAGGGCTTGAAGGAGTTTGCAGGGGGAGCGGATGTGACTGTCAGCTTCACTCCCCACCTCATGCCCATGGTAATTACGACTCGTGTCCATGTAGTGGTAGCTCCTGACCATGGTAATGATGACTCGTGCCCATGGTAATGATGACTTGAGCCCGTGGTAATGATGGCTCGTGCCTATTTGATAAAACATACTGCATTCAGTCCCGTTCCCATCCTCATCCCATCCACTCAAACCCCGAATCCCCTACCATTTGCATCTCTCCCTCCCCACATCTCATCCCACCCCCCCAATCTCCTCCTCCCGCTCCTCTTCCCCCTATCTACCTTCCCCCCATTCCCACTGATCCCATCCTTTGTTTGCTCCCAGTCACGCGGCATGCTGTCAACCATCTACGTTCAGATGGCACCTGGTGCAACAGTGGACGACCTGAGAGAACACCTGATCAGCAGATACCAGGTGAGCCCCCAACCGCACGGTATGCTGTCACCATGTACTATCAACATTAGCTGTCAAAATCTGGACTTCTTTTTTGGGTGGAAGAGGGGGGTTCACAGTGCTCTAGAATCTAAAGTTGTGAGGCCTAGAACCTCTGTACCTAACTCCTGTTCCTTGCCGCTTGTCCTTGTTTGCTTCATGGAAAATCCAGGATGAGGAGTTTGTGGTGGTGCTGCCAAAGGGGATTGTGCCGCACACACGCCACGTGAGGGGCTCCAACTACTGCCTCGTCAATGTCTTCCCAGACCGCATTCCGGGCCGCGCAATCATCACTTCTGTGGTATGTTTGGTTTGCTGAAACAATACGTGGTTTGTCATTGATACCGGCATGAGTCTTTTTTTTTCGTGCTCGTACATTCTATTAATAATGAATTATTCTTCTGTTTGTTCTGCAGATTGACAATCTGGTGAAGGGTGCGTCCGGCCAGGCTCTTCAGAATCTCAACATCATGCTTGGACTTCCAGAGACCGAAGGCCTCATGCAGCAGCCCATGTTTCCCTGAAACACAAAAACGACCAGTTCAGCCTCAAATTCTACGTGGATTGCTTTTTTATCTTATTGATTGCCATTTTGAAATGAGTTGGTCAGTAGTAACCTTAGGTTGTCAATCTGTTTGTACATGTACTGGCTTATACTTTACTCAGTGCACTGTACTTCGTCTTAAATCGTAAATGTGGAGAAGGCACATCTCGAGGATTTGTCTTCCTCCTCAAGGTGCACCTCTCTTCAATCACTTCTCTACGCACACGCTTCGGTTTTCGCGGGCTTCTCTACAAGAGCCTCAATGACGATCATGCAAGTCTCTTCACAGTGCTATTCAACCGTGTTATACCGAACTATAAAGTGTGACCCCCCTGCAGTACGGCCTAGGCTAGGGAACACCGAATTCTCCTGCTTTGCTTAGATTTGCCTGTAGCATGTGCTGCTCCTATTCAGTGAAAGCCAAGACTGGAGTGTCTTAGACACCGAGACTAGCGTCGGAACTAGCACGCTTACACAGCCAGGGAACGGCTGTACTGACACAAGGACGGGTACAGTACCTGATTCTTGGTACTATTTAGGAGTGCTAGGCCTTCTGCGAGCAATGCTGTCGTTTTTTAGCATGAAAGCACATGAGGTGCAGGTTTAGCTCGTCGTGACACTCTCGGAGTCGATGTTATGGTAGTACTATACTGGGATGACAGAAACGTCGACTTTCAGCTGTAGTTCATGAGTGTGAGTGGGAAAGCGAATTGATCAACCAGGATTCCGTCCCGGCTGGCCTTTAGGAATCCCATCCTCGAGCTCTTAGCCGAAGCTCCGTCCCATCTTCCCTGAAGGTTCCGTGAACTATCGGTTTCTGTCGTGGTGCGTACAGATTCTCCGAATATTTCCGATCCTTGCTAACCCGTCATCATGCCGAAGGAGAGTCCCGCGCCGCACATTGGCTTTAAGGCAGCTCCCCGCGTGCTCCTCCCCAAGCCTCGCGACACCGTCGCCATCAACCGCCTCGCGATCCTCCTCATGTGGTTACCCGTTTTCGCCATCCTGCTCGTGATCCTCGGCGGAGCGTCCGAGCGTCTCCCTGTGTGGGACACGGGTCTGCTTGATGACGTGGACGAGCAGCTGACGCGGCGAGCGCTCGCGCAGCTGGAGAAGGATGATGAGCTGGCAGCCGTCGGGAGGACGCATGCCGTGCCTCCCAAGATCGCGTTCCTGTTCATCGTGCGGGGCCCGCTGCCGCTCGCGCCCGTCTGGGAGCGATTCTTCAAAGTAAGCGTCGCTTTGCTTAGCGTGGGGAGGACGCATGTCGTGCCCCCTAAGATCGCGTTCCTGTTCATCGTGCGAGGCCCGCTGCCGCTCGCGCCCGTCTGGGAGCGATTCTTCAAAGTAAGCGTCGCTTTGCTTAGCGTGGGGAGGACGCATGTCGTGCCCCCTAAGATCGCGTTCCTGTTCATCGTGCGAGGCCCTCTGCCGCTCGCGCCCGTCTGGGAGCGATTTTTCAAAGTGAGCGCTCCATTAATCAGCATCTACATCTCTCAGGTCAGGGCCATCAGGGGGTATATCCCGTGTGTCGAGAGATATAGCTTGACACCGTGAACGTGCATGTGTCAATGCTCAACCTCAGTCTGGATTATGCAGTTGACTCACCTAGGTTCTCTTCCCATTCTACCCCCATTCCCCCTCCATTCTCCCCTTCTGTCTCCCACCTTCGTCCCCCCCAGTCCATAGGCCCACCGGGGCGGTAACCGGTGAACGCGCATGTGTCAACACGCAACTTCACTCTCGAAAATGTGGTTTCAAGTCTGGTTACCAGCTTACCATTCATATCAATTTCTTTCTCCCTCTTGTAACAGGGCCACCAGGGGCGCTACTCCGTGCACGTGCACGTCTCAACGCCCAGCTTCACTCTCGATGACGTGGTGGACCCACTTTGCTCATCCCTCCATTCTCCCCTTCTCCCACTTTTCACCCCCCAACCCCCCACCGCAGGGCCATCAGGGGCGCTACTCCGTGCACGTGCATGTCTCAACGCCCAACTTCACTCTGGACGACGTGGTGGACTCGCCCAGCTTCAAAGGCACCCAGGTGCCGGGAGTGCGGGTGAGCACCTCATTAAAGCCTTTGAACACCTCCAATTTCTCAAGACGTGCACGTGCATGTGTTGATGCTTGATTCCACTCTCGATGACGTGGTGGACTCGCCCAGCTTCAAAGGCACCCAGGTGCCAGGAGTGCGGGTGAGTTGTATGATCAGGCAGATACAATCATGCATCATGCAGTCATGCGCCATGGTTTCAGACACCATTTTGAGACGCATCTCATATGACGTAGTAGATTCGCCCAGCTTCAAGGGCACTCGAGTGCCGGGAGTGCGGGCGAGGATCTGATCGGTGAGGGATGACACACTATCAAACATTGTTCAAACAGGCGTTAGGCCTATTCATGAACCGCCAGCGAGGGACCAGTTGTGAACCCAGAGGAGCAGCGGCTTGTGTTTGGCTTGTTGCTCGTTGCTGCATCCCTCCAGCAATAGATTTTTTAGGCGACTCACCTAATATCTAAAATCATAATGTTGCTGCATCCAGTCGAGCCCCCACCCATGCTCTCTTCCCCCCTCACCTCCACAATCCACCCCTTCTTGCACTCACCGCCACCGCCTCTGCACTCATCGCCACCCCCTCTTGCAACCACCGCCACCCGCACAGATTTCATGGGGCGGGCCAAATCTAATCCGAGCGGAAAAGCGGCTTCTGGCTGCTGCCCTCGAGGATCCGGGCAACCAGAGATTCGTGCTCGTGTCGGACAAGTGAGTGGGTGGTGCTGTGAGATGCTGAGGTGTCGAGATGGGTGATGATGTGTGATGTGAGATTTGCATCTGGCTGCCTCCCTAGCTGATCGAGGCAACCAGCGATTCGTGCTCGTGTCGGACAAGTGAGTGGATGGTGCTGTGAGATGCAGTGAGGTGGTTTGAGGTGGTGTGAAGTGTTGTGAGGTGACTGGCCGGGCTGCTGCCCTCGAGGATCCGGGGAACCAGCGATTCGTGCTGGTTTCGGACAAGTGAGTGGGTGGTGCTGTGAGGTGGTGTGACGTGCTTTGACGTGCTGTGAGGTGGTGTGAGATGGTGTGACTTGGTGTGAGGTGCAGTGAGTTGGTGATGCCATTCTTTCTGATCGGGGCAACCAACGATTCGTGTTCGTGTTGGACAAAGTGAGATGGTGGTACTGAGAGGTGGTGTGAGGTAATGTGAGGTGGTGATATTATTGCCCTTGCTGATGTGTGGTGCTGTGCAATGCGTGATCTAGGTGCCTCCCTTCCCATTGTCATTAGTGCCTCGCTGCCCCTTAGCCTCCACTCTTGTCATTCAACTTCATCGCCTGTCCACATTCATTGAATCCAGGTGCCTCCCCATCTTCAACTTCACCTACGTGTGGGACTACCTGTTTGCCACCAACGTCAGCTTCATCACCAGGTGAGACAGATTCTACCCACATCTAAAACTTATCACCAACTGCACACCATTCTTTTTGCATGGCATGTCCCCATCGAACCTCCCATCTTCAACTTCACCTACGTGTGGGACTACCTCTTTGCCACCAACGTGACGACGTCAGCTTCATCACCAGGTAATTCTGCTAATAGCCTTAGAACAACAATCAGAAGTTCACTTCACACCTTGTGGCACTATCATGTCAAAAAATAATTACAACTCTCAGCCGTTTCCATTTTCCAACCAAACATTATCCACCCAGTTTCTTTCCTACCCTCTCTTCCCCCTCTCGTTCCTCGTGCATCGTACTTCCCATGCCGACTCCCCCCCCCCCCCGACCTTGCACTCCCCTGTTTCTCTCCCGAGAAACCCTTGGTTTTCTTGGAGCAGCTTAAGAGCAGGTGGAGGCGAAATCTCACCCTCCTCTGATGTCTCCCTGTGTCCACTCCACTACCCTCTACTCCCGTTCCCCCACCTTCCCTTACATGCCTAGTGCAGCTATGGGAGCAGGTGGAGATTGGTGTTCACAATGGCTCCTTGCCTACTACCCCCCTTCTCCCCTTCCGCCTCCCACCTTCCCGGCCACTCCCCTTCTCCGTTTCTCCCCTCGATACCAGCTACGAAAGCCACGTGATATGAATAATTCTTTTAGACGTCTCAAAAACCGCCATTCCCCTTCTCCCTTTCTCCCATGGCGAGCAGCTACGAAAGCGGGTGGAGATGGGTGTTCACAATGGCTCCCACGATCAAGCGGCACCAGTTCAGAAAGGGGTCGCAGGTGAGATGTGAGGGCGGTGAATGGGCATCTTGGTGCGGAAGCGCTAAGGAATGCAAGTGCTGAATGGCTCCAACGATCAAGCGGCACCAGTTCAGAAAGGGGTCGCAGGTGAGCAGATTTCTGAGGCGCAGGCGGATCGGAAAGAAAAGGTTTTGCTGGTGCCCGCGTGGGTGTCATGTAGCGCTGCTGACTTGAACGAGTGTCATCTAGTGCCAACTAGATTCCGCGATCAACCTGCACCGCTTGAGAGAGGAGTTGCAGCAGCAGCAGCAGCTGCTGCTGCTGCTACTGCTACTGCTGGAAAGGCTGCTGTTGCTACTGCTGCTGCTGGAAAGGCTGCTGTTGCTGCTGCCGCCAATGTTGTTGTGAAAGCTGCTGCTGTTGTTGATGCTGCCACTGCTGCTTCTGCTGCTGCTGCTGCTGCTGTCCCTGCTACTGCCGCTGCCACTGCTGCTGTTGCTGCGGAGCCTGCTGCTGCTGCCACTGCTGTTGCTGAGAAGGCTACTGCGGCTGCCATTGCTGTTGCTGAGAAGGCTCATGCGGCTGCCATTGCTGTTGCTGCAAAGGCTGCTGCTGCTGAGGTGACACCGACGGTTGCCACACCTGCTTCTCCCTGCTGATTAGGATGTCATACAGGAGAGGGTTTCCTTGTCTGTCTCTGAATGTCAATCAGATGCCTTGTTTTTCCTTCACTCTCTGCTATGCTTGCCATCTCTGCTATGCTATGCGTGCCCCGGTGTTGAGGCCTGTCTGCAATGTGTGCAGTGGTTTGCTCTAACTCGTGCCCATGCAGCCCTCATTGCGAGGGACCGAAAGTTCTGAGACATGTGGAAATTCGTCTTGCTGCCTTATCTGTCTGCTATGCTTGCCCTCTCTGCTATGTTTGCCCTCTCTGCTATGTTTGCCCTCTCTGCTATGTTTGCCCTCTCTGCTATGTTTGCCCTCTCTGCTATGTTTGCCCTCTCTGCTATGTTTGCCCTCTCTGCTATGTTTGCCCTCTCTGCTATGCTTGCCCTCTCTGCTATGCTTGCCCTCTCTCCTATGTTTGCCCTCTCTGCTATGTTTGCCCTGCGTGCAGTGGTTTGCCCTAACTCGTGCCCATGCAGCCCTCATTGTGAGGGACCGAAAGTACTATGATCTCTTCGTAGAGACCTTCTCTGAGGTATGTGATGGCATGCGGGTCCCTTCCCTTGTTGAGGACCTCAAGTGTGCAGTGGTTTGCTCTTACCCGTGCCCATGCAGCACTCATTGTGAGGGACCAATAGTACTGGGACCTTTTTGTAGAGACCTTTTTCGAGGTAAGTAGTGACATGCGGACCTCTTTTCGGAGACCTTTTCTGAGGGATGTGAAGGCATGCTGGTTCCTTCTTGAGATCCTTTATTAAGATGTTTAGAGGGGGTTACTGCTTGGCAGTAGACCTTATTCGTTGTCATCATGTTAAGATGCGCCACATATTTTGCTTTTAAAACCAGGGTCTCACGCAGTTCATTTGTTTTGCAGTTGATGAAAGGTGCTTGACTAGGATTGGTTGGCGAGGTGTAAAGTTTGACGAGGGGTGTAGCGAGGGGCGCGAAGGAAACACAAATCGCCGGGTGCATCCAAACCTTCTAGGCTCGGATTTTGGTTCGGTGCCGAAGAAAAATCACCAGCAAAATGTACGAGCTTCCCGAAAGCCTCAAGTACTCAGCAAGTTGTTTTGCAATTGAAACAGGGGCAAAATCGGAAAGGTGTCGCACATTGAATTGCCAGACCTACCACTAAACTTCGCCTACTCAAACAGGGTGACCGAGCTTCAAATGTCTTGCAGTTGGAGGCAGATTCCCCTACATGAGACCCTGGTTTTAAAGTGTCAGGTAGGCCTCATGCAATGTCCCTAATTCGAGGCAAACCCTAATTTCCTTATTTATGGTTCCCAAATGTTATCTGACTGGCACGCCCCTGGCATGGCATGGCATGGCATGTCACCCCCCTGGCACGACACGGCATGGCATGGTGTGGTATGGCACACAACTGGCGCAGATCCCTGATGAAAGCTACATTCAAACAGTTCTTGCGGTATGTTCCGCATCATGAAATTGCTGCTGACATTTACCACCATACTAGCTATTTTTCGTTGCATTTCCAATATACGAGCTGACCTTTGTTCAGTTTGCGACTTCCATGCAACAGTTGCAGTCTCCAGGCCTGTTCGCAGATGCACCTGCGCTGCGGGGCAACCAGAAATAACCTTGAAGCTCAGCACTTCGCTCTTTCTTTCGCTGGCAGATTGAAGATCCTGAGAATGTGGACACGCGGAGTGTGCTCTATGTGCACTGGGGCGGGGCGATCTCACGACATCCTGCTTCATACACCCCGGAAGAAATCAATCCCAATTTTATCCGCAAAATACAGGTGAGGAGGTCACAAGGCACAATCTCACGTACCGTAGGTCCCACACCTTGTTTTATTGCTTGCCAGATTTGAAACTAACCCTTGTCACATTGTCTTTCTCCCCCAATTTCTGTATTGCAGCAAGATTTCATGGTGCCAGCAGAGACCATATACACGCTGACATTATCCGGGAGTCGGCCTTGCACTCTGGCTGGACAGCGCACCCATTGCTTCCTGTTTGCTCGTAAATTTGAGATAAACACCATTCCCGCCTTTTTGAAGTTAGGTGACGTCGTGGGATATTAGCAGAACGTAGCAATGCTAAATTCGACTTAGATCACACATAGTTAATGAAGTGTTTATTGTGTTATGAATGTGCAAATGTGCAGGGTTATATTCATTCTGCGACGCAAACACGTTTGCTGTATGCACGTGACCACTAAAAGCCGTGAAATCGTAACACAATAGCGAGCAGCTTCCCCTCAACCTCCCGTGTTCCCCCCGATTCCGTTCCCCCTTTGTTGCTACCCCTGGTTTCCGATTCCTCCTCCGCCACCCTCCGCTTCTTCCTGTGCTCCCGCTTTTCCTTCGCTGACGCATGTCACTGCACTGCTAGAACAGCCCTAGAAGCTCCACGCTCTGCCTACCTCGAGTTCTAGAGCCGCTCCTAACCATTCTCAAGCACTGCTTGAGCGATAACCTTCGCAGGTGTGTAGCGTTTTGCGTGTTTTGCGTGGTTAACGCTGATTACGTGGTCTACGTGGGTATTCGTAGTTTTTGTTGGAGACTCTTTATCTGACGTTGACCTGGTAGTTTTGATTTTGAAGGCGGTATTCCGGTTGCGATCTTGGACGTGATGGCGGAGGTCGAGGGAAAGCGCGTCATCACTGTAAGATCAGATTCATTCATGCGCTTTCATTTTCTGTACATTCTGCTGTGCTCCTTCCGCCGTTTTCCGTGTCTCCGTTCCGCTCCGCAGCTGGAAAAGCAGCTCTTTTCTTCGCTACCCGAGATCCTCCTTTCACCCGACATGAAGTTTAGTATTATATGCTGTCCGTTGTTCCTTGATCGTTTCCGTCATTGTATTGCACTGCATTTTCAGGTGGATGACATCAAGACGGTGCCGATGGATTTCCGGTTTCCTACAGCGAACCAGGCGAAGCACTGCTTCACGTGCTACAACGAGTTCCACAAGTAGGACCACGCTTTCTCTGTGTCTTCGCAGCTCACTTCTTTGTCTTTGCATCTCGTTTCACTTTCAGATCCAGCATGCTGCCCTCTCAATGTTCCCGAAGCTTGAGTGCAAACAGATGTTATGCGTTAGTTTAGCACTTCACTTCAGATGGTATGCATATTATTTTCTTGCGGCTCCTATGACCTGCGTTATGATTTGCCAGGTGCATTGCTGAGAAGGGCGAGGGCGCCTCGGAGTGTCAGAAGTTTGCCAAGGCCTACCGGACATTGTGCCCTGCTGAATGGGTACGTCACATTCTCATGTCGCTGTGGAGTTTGGATCTGAGTGGGCATGTCCGCTTGGTCAGTGAGGTTACTCTCCTGCTTGCTGTGCTAATGTCGGGCCTGATGTCAATGATGCCTGTGTCCCTGTGATGTGTATTCCCTTCCAGGTTGACAAGTGGAACGAGGACAGGGAACAGGGTATCTTCGTGGGCCGCTACTAAGGAGTTGCGAGGATGTTCCAGCTGCATTAATGTAGAAAATATTGTACCGTAGTATGAAGGGTATGGCTGCCCTATTGTTCCAGATTCCATGATATTTCATCTGTATACAGGCTCTCAATGTACCAAGTGGGTATTTCCATCCTTCAATGCAAATCGTTTAAATCATATTGGTAACAATGGATGGGATCTCATCGAAATCTGACATTTGCGCCTTTACAGGGTACGACACGCACATCCAACACCGACCAGTCACCAAGGCCAGCCAGCACGCCAAGAGGCAGAAATTCGAGCCTCCCCTCGCTCCACGATCTTGGTCAGGCTTCTTCGTCTCTTTCCAAATAAGCTACCATATCGTTCTTTTTGTCACCACATTCCCCTTCTTAGACCACGCCGCCGCCTTTCAACATGCACGATTTCTGTTTTACCATTCCGTATGGCTCGCTGCTCATCCTTGGCGGGCTGATAGGCTTTTTGCTGAAGGGAAGCACAGCGTCTCTCATCGGCGGAGTAGCGTCAGGAGCGATTCTCTGTTTAATAGCGGCAATCCAGCTCAAGCTTTTCAAGCAGCGGAAGAACTCGTTTGCAGCCATTTTCGCCCAACTCGGTCCGTGCAGTATGCCTCGTTTTTCCTCGTTCAGTCTTTGTAATTTCTTGGTGACGGCATGGTAACCAACCGCGTGTTGATACGTTTCCCCCTTAACGCTTGTTTGTAACTTGCAGCCATTGGTGGCGCATTGACTTACGTTCTTGGCGACCGATACATGACCACCCAGAAGATATTCCCAGCCGGAGTCGTTGCTGGATTAAGGTATGTTTGTTCCTTGTGAGTTCGTGTGCTTCTCCCCGTGCAAGCGGGATTACAAACGCTGCTAGCGAATGGCTCCATGTTCTGGCAAGTAGGCAAATCTGTTTGGCGATCTCGCCCCAGGCCATCTCTTTCAACCATACCGTATTTGCTGTGTTGTCCGTGTTTTGACAAATCACAGTGCCATTATGACCCTCTTCTACGCCTTCAAGCTACTGACTGGTGGCAATCACTTCAAGAAAGTGGCTGCTTCCTAAACCCGTAGTTATTGTCATCCGTAACAGATGGCCACCTCCTAAACTGATTAGTTATTGTCATCCTGTGCTGCTGTCTAAATTACTTTCAAGGATACTGTGTTAGCCATCTTATTTATAAGTGTAGTGCGTTTTGCTCTGTAATGAGTTGTACGGTTTCATGTAAAACCGCTATACGGTACTTGCTGAAAAGACACAAGCCCGAGACAAACATTGAACTGGGAGATGGGCGACCCAAGTAATGCACAGTGATGACTACGGTAGCTTCAGAACGTGGAGCCATTCCAACCAAAATCTGATCTCTGCACAAAAAATAGGAAAACCATTAGTGCACGAAGCTGGGTTTATCACAACGCTGCAATAGGATGTGCATTCGTCTATTGATGACAAGCATGTAGACAATGGCACTCTGATAAATGCCCCCTATCCGAGACCTGAATACAGGCACGGCACACAAATAAGCACAGTGACATGAAACCTCGTGATCCAGAAACAAGAGTGAAAGCTGAACCACATACCTTCACGTCATAAAACTTGACGTAAAAGCGATTGGGTGGAACAGTTAACTTGGCCTCAAGAATCTCAGAAATGGCAGCACTGAGTTTCTTATTCGTGTCTGGACCCAGCCCGCCGATTGAAATCAATTCGGCATAGGCTGCAGGAGCTTCCGTTCCGGCAAAGCACATTGGGATTGACGTTTTCACGGAGATCATTACATACTGCAAGCCAGGAAAACGCAGGATTGAGCCTCAGTCTTGTACCTAAATAGTATCTCTGAGATTTTCGGAACTAGATTGACAAATATGCTTACTGCTTCAGGCTTGCCGATAACTCTAGCCACGACTTTACTCAAATCCTTCATGACATCGCTGATCACAACGTTATCGCCAGGTACGTTTGTCTGCACATTGAGAGTCGGCATGTCGGCTAAGGCACCGGTCTACAGGTTCAACTAGTAAGTAGAATGACGGAGATAGAGCCTGTGGTATGCCAGAAGAAAAGAGACGGAAGAGGCGCGGAATGAGGAAATAGCAGACCTTACGCCCAAGGAATACTTTATGTCCCAGTCTCTGGAGCAGGGTGTCTGAACCCTGTCGGGCATATAGATGATGACTTACACATTCGCTACAAGCCTACCCAACCATTCAATCATTTAGACAGAAAGCTGTGAATCGTAATAAATCCTACTGAGCCGTATTGCATTCAGTGAATTAAGCTCAATAGCATCAATTCCAAATTCTAGGTGGTTCTCGTCGTTGCGTTTCGCGGATTCACCCAGACTCCACGCAGTGAAGTTGTGGCGAATTGTTATGAATGAACTTGCAGAGTGCGCAGAATATCGAATAACGAGAATGGTTGACTACTGAATGACGATACAAGGAAAGTGACGGGAATTTATAAGGGGAATCCTAGCTAGGCGAAGAGGTAGGGCGAGGATGGCTCGGTGATGGTTGGGATTGGTGCGGAGGCGACTCGGGAGTGGTTCGGTGCGACGAATTAGGCAAGACAGGTTCGTCGCGTGACCCTCGGGATGGCCTTGCTAACGAGTGCCTCAGTAAGGATTTGTAAATCCTTACACGAATGGTGTACTGTAACAGTGCATCGGAGGTGCATTCACTCGCCAATCAAAACATGAAACATAAGAACTAAGAGTTTTACTCCACAAGAGCGAGACTGACCGCAAATCGAGTACGTCCCACTACTGCAGACTGGGGGAAATGTAGGAATGGCTTGGCTCCTTAGCTATTGCACTCTGCAGTTCTGACACGTGTTTTCAAGTCTCGGCTCGAGTCGTCACTAATCTGGTGTAACTGCGTTCGGTCGCGGATTGGATACTAAGTTCCAATACAGAGTTGGAGGTAAAGGATCGTTGCTACATTGCTGCTACCACCGTAGATTCACATTTTCCGAATCTGACGTTCAGCAATGGGGTTCGGCCGGCAGTCGGTAGCTGCTGACGCGTACCCGGCATCGCCGCTCGGCAGAAGCGTGACGCGAGGGTTCGCCGTCGAACTTTATTTCGACACGGCTTTGGAGAACCAGATACTCAGGGTGTGACAATTTTGTGAATCGCATAGAATCGTCGATTTTCTCCTTGGTCATAAGAATGGAAATCCATTTAGTTAGACTTCTGAAGAAGACCCAGTCTCTTTTACTTTCTTTTGTCGCGTCATGAATCCTCCGGAATCCTCAGCTTTCCGATGCGGCTTTCTTCAACCTCTTTAGTTTTTTTAATCGCATCTGCTTTTCTCACCGATCAACCCCTTCCGTGCTGCTGTCCCATCTGTGTGCATTCTTCCTCCTCCGCACGTGAAGATTTGGAATGTGCTGCCAAGGCGAAAGCTGGGGAGATTCCTGATAGAGACATCAGCCAGGCCGCATGTCAGGTCAGCAAGCAGCACAGCCATTAACATTGGTGTCTTCTGAGTCGAGTGTAAATACACCAAGACATAGGAAGGCTAGGGAGCTACCTGATAGTGACATCTGCCAGGCCGCATGTCAGGTCAGCAAGCAGCACGGCCCTTGACATTAGTGGATTTGAGTCCAGCTCAAATACAATTTAATTGTATGAGGCACCAAAGCCACCTGATGGAGGCAATTAGCCAGAGGTGACTTTTGAGTCGACTCAGAAGTCACCTCAGTTGAAATACGATTTTATAATGTGAGGCACCAAAGCCACCTGCTGGAGGCATTTAGCCACTTTTGTGTAAGGCTAGCAGCCGTTGTCATTTATGTTTCTTACGCTCTACCTTCTCTCCCCATTCATCGTTCGCTTTTCCCTCGTTGACTATGTTCATTCCCCTGCATTCTCCCTCTCAACGCCTCACTCAATGAACCTGGAGCAATCAGAGACCTTTGCAAAGACATTGAAATCTCCTCCCCCCCTTCCCCTCTCCCTTGTCACTTGCGCGTTTCCGCTCCAATTTCACTTTGCACTCCACGTTTGATTCGATTCTATTTGATATAATCAGGAGTTCTAAGCTCCGCACACCCGTTTTTTCTAATTTGCTTATCTCTCCTTCCCTTCCATTCACTCCCCTCCCCTGTGGACTCCAGTCTCTCTCTTCACACCCCATCGGATCTAGAATCCTCCAAGCTTCGCACAGCCATAGGGAACATGCATGGGTGAGGGTGGGTACTTGCATGGGTGAGGGTGGGTAAATGCATGGGTGAGGGTGGGTAAATGCATGGGTGAGGGTGGGTAAATGCATGGGTGAGGGTGAGTGCTTGCATGGGTGAGGGTGGGTACTTGCATGGGTGAGGGTGGGTACTTGCATGGGTGAGGGTGGGTACTTGCATGGGTGAGGGTGGGTGCACACCTGGGTGTGCGAGCGGTTGCAGTGCTGGTTCTCTCGCTCTCTTGCTCCTTCTCCCTCTCAACACCTCCCCCTCCTCCCTCCCTACAGGCAATCCCAGTGGCCAAGGCAGGGGAGTTCCGTCGCCTGGTGGACTATTGCCTAGAAGGGCGGTACTAGGTTCCTTCCCTCACTCTCTTGCTCTCTCTCCTTGTCCCCTCTCCTCACTATCGTCTAGACGGGCGGTACAACCCAAGTCAGCTGCACCAACCCATCTTCTTCTCTTCTTCCCCACCACCCTCTCAGCGAATCCCAGTGGCCAAGGCAGAGGAGTTCCGCGTCCTGGTAGACTATCGCCTGGAGAGGCGGCGCGATGCTCTTTCTCCCTTTCTCACACACCCCCCTCCTCCCCTTCCCCCTTCTCCATCAGGCAATCCCAGTGGCCAAGGCAGGGGAATTTCATCGGATAGTGGACTATCGCCTGTAGGGGCGGTACGATGCGAGTCAGCTGCAGGCAGTGATATGCCTTGTCAGCAACCCCAAGGACCAACCCTCCATGGCTGATGTGAGTGCTGAGTTGACTTTGGGTTGACTTGAGTTGACCCGATTTGACCTGAGTTAACTCGTTCTAGATGGGCTGTAGGTTGCAGGGCAGCTCTACAAGTGACCGTTTAGTTGATTCAAATGTCTCCAGCAGCCATTCTTACCTTCCTCGTTCCACCGCACCTTACCACCCTGCACCGCACCCCACTCATGCAGGTCGCCAAGTGGTTGACCTCATGGGTGGGGCACCATAAGCCCAGTGCCTGATTCGATGGTGCAAAGAGATGTGGTAATGGGATGGTGAAAGGAGATGGTGAAAGGGGATGGTGAAAGGGGATGGTGAAAGGGGATGGGGAAAGGGGATGGTGAAAGGTGTTGGTGAAAGGGGATGGTGACAGGGGATGGTGACAGGGGATGGTGAAAGGTGATGGTGAATGGGGATGGTGACAGGAGATGGTGAAAGGTGATGGTGAAAGGCGGTGGGTTGAGATTTTACCAGGATTGAGCAAGCAGTTCACGAGGCACAATGTAAGAGCAAGAGCGTGTTACAGGTGTAGACAGTGACATGAAGACGTGTTACCGAGACTGAGCCTTGCCTCTCGTACTGTTACGTGTCATTAGGAAAAAAAAAAGATAGCTCGTGCACACCACGCAGTATATTGAAAGCCCTATTCATAAACCTGGGAATCGGGACACAAGTTCTAGACAAACAATAAACTGGGAAATGGGCTGCGCAAACAAGGCAGTTGATGCATACGGTACCGTATTCACCCAGACAAAACACCCCCCCATAATCAGGGCTAACTTTAGTGCCAGGGCCCGTCTGACGTTAAGACCAGGTTCTGGCTCCTTGTCTGATGGTCAGACGAAAGATTTAGCGAAGTCTTACGTTTCAGATGAACAAGAAGTACTTGTCTAGGCTGTCAGACGAAATTAGATAGTTAGTCTTATAGCAACACATTTCCTAGCCTATGTAGTTTCTAAACTACCAACATCCTATTCTATTCTAAGAGGATTCACTAGCATTACTGCTTTCACTGTCATCACTACTAGTGCCACTGTCATCATCACTACCACTGCCACTCTCAGAGGTTTCAACAATTGTGGCTCTGTTTTTGCCCTTCCTCCAGGTAGGCAGTTCCCATGCAGCTTCTTCTGCAGCCCTCTCTCTCTCCCTTGTTGCAGCCTCTTCTGCCTCTTCCCGTGCGCGTGTAGCTGCTGCTGCTGCTTCTGATGTTGCAGCGCGTTTCTTCAGCTGATGGTACCGCCGTTGCTTCACCGGGCGTGATCCTTCAGCCATGACCACCTCACGCGCCGGCCGCCTCTTTTTGCCGCCATAAAACCTATCCACCAGCTCCTCTGTGTTCAGCTCGTAGTCCAGAAGAGACACCGTCATCAGGTCGCCCAGAGTCGTGTCGCACAAGCTGCCGCGCACCCAGCTCTTAATGATGTTCTGACGGCTGAAGCCGCGCTCACACTCAACAGTGCTGAGCGGTAGCACAGCAACAGCAATCCACAGGCGGCCGAGGTTCGGATAGGCAGACTCCCAATCTGGCGTTGAGAGCATCTGAGAGAGGCTGTCGTGGAAGGACAGGTCTTCGTGGTGAGTGGAGAGGATTGTGGTGAAGCTGGTGAGCTCTTTGGCGGCTTTGCCCCAGTCGACACCTGATGGGGAGGGTAGGGAAGGGTGAGGGACATCGGGTATCACAGCAGAGAGTACATTAAGGCACAACAGCAATAACAGTTACATTAATGATACGCTCACCCCAAAGAAAAGCGCTTACCAGGGAGGGTGTCTGGATGGCTGGGCTTCTTCTTGAACAGGTTGCGCAGCGACTGAAGCCATTCGGGAAACCGGCGCGCTCTCTTAGCGCGCGAACGAGGGTACCGTCCCTGCCGAAACAGACGACTCCCGTCCAACGACTTTAGACTCTTCATGCGATCGTCGATGTAAAACACGGTCCTCCCAGCGAACTTGGATGCCGCCTCCACGCACGACGCCAGGTCGCCCCCAAACTTCTCCTTCCCGATTAAGTCCTCGTGCAGCACGTACGAGTGAGTTACGGGTGTTCCGACGCCGTCAATGCTTTCCACCTTCACCTCGCGATTCTCGGTGCTCCCGTGGTTCTTCAGAAACGTCGCTAGATGACCACTGTTGTCGCCGAAGGTGGAGCCGTACTCCACGTAGCGACTTGTCAAGCACAGGGTGGTGTGTTGCACCATCGACCGAACCTGCGTCGCATCGAGCTGCACATTTCACACAAACAGAATTAGTCACGGCACGGAAAGCCAGGGGGAAATCAGGCAAGACATCGGGAATCACGCGTCCTTACCTGACGTCGCTGGAACTTGAGATTGAGGCTGTTCAGCTCCTGAAGCACGTCTACCAGAAAGAAAAGGAAGAACTGAAATTTCAGACTGGTAACAAGAGTGTACGTTGCCTTGTCGTACTCGTGCAGCAGGACAACGGCAGCAGGCAGCACGTCAGCAAAGCGCTCGATGGCGTCCCCGCGTGAAAGCCAGCGAACGTCTTTAATCCCTTGCATCTCCAGGTTGGTCTGTGTAATCACTTCCTGCAGATTCTTGAATCGCGCATGCTGCACGATGCTGCGGCCGAGAATGTCCGCGAAGGCCTGGACGACTTTGTCGACGACGTTGAACTCGGGAACTCTTCAGCAGCATCTTTAGCAGCCAGAGCCTCCCTGCAGTCGTAACAAGAGTAGGATTAGTGGGCGAGTTACACAACACAAAAATAAACACAACGACAAACTACATGTGGGCAACGCAATGGCAAGGCACTATGTGCGGCACCCGTGTTCGTAATCGCGCCACCAGGCCTGTCTGCCCGCCCGTCATAACGCTCGCGCCGTCCGTGGTCATGCCGCTGATCCTCTGCAGTTCGAGGCTGCAAGCAGCAAGGTGTGTCAGCAGGACGGCCTCCAGCGACCCGGCGTCGCACTTCTCAACGGACAAGTTGGCGAAGAACTCTGTAACCACCACCGTGCCACGGAGAAACGTGGCATACACAATCATGTGTTTGCCACGCCTACAACAAAGAATGAGTGAATAAGGGGTGTTTAAATACAACATTGATGTGAACAGGCTAAACTTACGTAGAACAATAAGTCCCTTGGTCCTTCGCCGGCATGTCTGGCGTTCCCATCTCCGCCATAAACTGCACGAGTGTCATGAACATGACAATGGGGGTGTCGGGTTTGCATAGGAAACGCACAGTCAACAACAGCTTTATCAATCGCCGCGTTTCCGCACTCTTATCTCCAAAGTTGGAGATAGCTGCCTGCTTCTTCTGCGGGCCTTCACGCTGCTCCAACCGTCCCTTCGCCTCCCGGTGCCGGATGCTCCACTGATGTTTCCGCATCGTTTGCTTCTGTATGTCGATGCCGCCCTCGCCCCGAGCGCCGTACTGTGACTCAGGATCTGCGGACACCATGCAGATCTTGCACCGCATGCAAGGTTGACCTTCGGATGTGTCACCGATGATGAGCCAAGGGAAGTGGCGGTTCCACTGCTGTTTGGCTTTCAGCTGCAGCTCCTCTAGCGTCAGAATCCGGGGACCGGTCTTCTCTGCTCCACGGCTCTCCCCGCCATCTTTCTCAGTAGTGGGATTCCCTGCAGAGGAAGGGCTAGGGCGCTTCGAAAAAGAAAGCTTATGTTGCACATATTTAGTCTTGCCAGGAAAACGCGGCGGAAGGAACGGGGAGCGGGATTTGAAGGGATTCTTTTCACCAGGTGATGCAGATGCGCCTGGTTGACCGGATGACGACGAACCCCCAGGGTGACTTGTTGAGCTTGGTGATCGTACGGGTGAAAATGGTATTAGCGGCACGTCATCCATCTCAGCGAAAGGGTAAGGGTGCTCGGGAGAATCGGGTTTCCCATTCTCACAGACCGAAGGAGCAATAGGAGCAGCTGTGACTGGAGTAGGTGTGAAACCCCCGCCGGTTAGGAAATCCAAGCCAGTGCGTGGGCGTGGCAACGCACTGGAAGGAGGTGAATCATGCAGAGTGGATGCTGGAGGGGCCTCCGTGCGAGGGTCTACAACCATCTTGGTGGAACTACAAACTGACTAACTCTGGCTCACGAGGGTAAGATGAAGGACACCTGACGCAGAGGGGAGTGAGGGGGGACCGTCTGAACCGTGCCGCATGCAGGAACGTCTCGTTCGCTGCTGGAAGCAGCCATGCCATCAATCCCTTGCTGACTCGACGCGCACTGAAGGCTGTCGGTGTTGCAACTGCAGCCTTCTGCCGTGCACTGGCACGAATATGCCAAACGAACTGGCAAGATTCGTGCCAGCGGGGTGACTGCGGCGCATTTGACGTGCGGTGTTGTCACCGACCAAAGGCAATGTACAGCCTGGCGGTGGCAGCACGGTAACGCGGCGGGTGGCAAGTCTCGTCCGTAACATTGGGCATCAAGCCATGTGGCCAACTAGCCAGGTGGGCAACTGGCCAGGTGGGGGGATTTGTCTGTTCCAGACGAGAAAAAACTCGTTGTCTGCAGTCTCAGACGAACTATATAAGGCTGTCTGAGAAATCAGACGAATTTGAAAACTCTGTCCTAAACCATCGTACGAAATTAAACAGGTCGTCTACGACATCAGATGAAGTAGTAAAAAAATGTTCAAAATCCAGAAAATCAGACCTAAAATTTCTGATAAAGTAAGCCCTGCCCATAATAGTACACCCCCGGGTAGCTTGTGCGGGGGGGGTGCTATAGCCGACCTCGTTTGTACTATACCCCCCCTTTTGGGGTGATTCTATATAAGACCCGGGGGGAGGGTGTTATGGGCGGCAAAATTGCATATTTGTCTTAAATTTAACACAGTTAGGGGTGCAATCTAATACTGAAGCATAGCGCCACCACCTAGACCCAACAGTTTCACCTAAACAACAGAAACATCACCACATACGGAGTATTATGACTTTGCACTACATTACTTCTGGTGCTATCTAGTCCTCATCGTCCCCAGCGACCCATTCCTCACACTCCTCTCCGTCATAGCGGCCGGCATGCCACCACTCCTCATCGTCTTCGTTGTACACTCCCGCCTCCTCCCCTTCTTCAGGCGTGTTCCACTCCTCCTCTTCCGCCGCCGCCGCCGCCTCCGCCTCCTCTGCGGCCACACCCTTCTCTGCCGGCTGCAACTCCTCGGCCGGCACGGGGGCCTCGGCGTAGAAGGGGTTGACGACGAGCTCGTCGTCAACCAGCTCGTAAACGTCTTCAAGTACCTCCACCTCACCCTTGTCCCGCACGTGGGCAAGGATGAGGTGGTCCTCGCTGCCATCTATGGCGGTGGAGATCTCGCAGGTGACGAACGCTTTCTTCACAAGATCCTCTGGGACAGCTTCCCATGACTCGTCGATCCAGCGGAGAACCAAGTCCGCAGGCGGCTTCTTCAGGTTGCCTGTCGGAAGGGAAGGGAAGGGAAGGGAAGGGAAGGGAAGGGAAGGGAAGGGAAGGGAAGGGAAGGGAAGGGAAGGGAAGGGAAGGGATTCAAGAGCGTGTACTTGCAGTACGTGCGCTGACGTTAGAACGATGCTGCTCGAACAGAATTCATGGCGTCAACTCACCTGCGCGTGTGGTTTGGTTGATGCCGTCATCTTCGAACCATGTGCTGTAGCGGGAACGCACCCCGCACTTGAACGCGCGGTTAACCGACACATCTAGCGGCTGCACAAGCGGTGTGCAGCCTCCAGGGATGACCGCCCTTGACAACCGAAACATGCGCATCGTCTGACCGACGGCCTCCGTCAAGTGGCCGCGGTAGGAGTCGAGCACCACCATCGCCTCCCTGCGCCGGCCGGTGGTTTCCCGCAGGGGCTTCAGAAACGGCACCAACACCTGGGTGATCCAATCTTGCACAAGAGATTCGTCCATCCACCCCTTCTCTTGTGCCCGGACCACCACACCTGCCATCGGCACAACGCGAGAGTTGTGTTAGTAAGTTGCGACGCGTGACAGGCAAGAGCACGGTAAAAACCATAGGTGTGGTGCACTTACCGGCAGGGATGGGCACTTTCGGGATGGTCTTTCGCTTGAACACGACGTACGGAGGTAGTTTGAGCCCTCCCGCCGTTACTGCCAGCATGACAGTAACACGCTCTTTCTCGTAGCCTGCACTGCGTACGTGAACCGTCCGCGAACCCTTCATTTCAATCGTGCGCTCCGCCGGCATCTCCAGGAAGAGCGGAGTCTGGTCCGCTTTCACGATGAGGTGGAGTGGGTAGTCGTGCAGAGTGCGCATCTGGCGCACAAACTCCCAAAATGACTCCACCTTGGCCTTGCAATCTGCAAACAAAGCCACGGCACGCGTAAGGTAAACGTCGACCGCGTAATCCCAGGCGCACGGTTGCTTCACTTACCGGCCGCCAACTTCTGCTCCATCTTCGTCTTCACCCGCCTTGCCAAGTGCCAGCGCGCGCGGAAACGCGCCGCCCAGCGGAACGAAGCGCGCCAGTTCACCGAGGGCATGCGGTGCTTCATGTACTTGGAGCTCCACTGCTGGAGCATGCGGACAGAAACAGCGAGGCCCTTCGCCCGGTGGTTAAGGAAGTGGCGGTAGACAGCCCGTTCCATGAACGGGTACTTCGCCTTGCGGCCAGATCCCATGAGGCGACGGCGGCAGCTAGATGCGACCTCCAGCCGCTCCTTCATCTTCCTCCATTCGCGGACCTGGCAGGGCTGCACCTTCGCGAGCTTCGCCAACGCACGATTCCCCAGGTCGGGCTGAGAGTCTTGCATCTTCAACCAATCCAGCTTCTCCTTCACGGTGATCGCCTTACGGACTTTCTTCGTCATGCGATGGCGAGGGGATGGTGGCTGAGCGTCCGCGTTGCGCTTCAGCTGACCCTGCGGGCGCTTACGCTCCGGGAAAGTGGGGATAGCCACTCGAGGAAGGGGAGGGTGAGCAGCATCGGAGCTACTACTCGGTTCATCCCCGGCAGAAGCACTAACGGGAGGAGACGGTTGTGGCAAGACGGGGCGAGGCGACGTCCGTGCGCGTGCAGCAGCGGTAGAAGGAGTGGTACATGGCCGTTGGCGCCTAACTACAGTACTGCTTGAATCGGGAGAGGAAGCCATTCTCTACGGCAGATTTGTGTCACTCGCCATGGAAGGAAGGCCTATAAACAACAATTTTTCTAGAGTTGGACGGAGGCGCTCTCACAGCCTGCCGAGCAGTGTTTAGTATCGTGCAGTGGAACCGCTGTACGAGGAGAAATTGAGACCTTGAGGCACATGGACGTGACCAAACCAGTCAACAATCTGACTGGTACAGTGACAGCACATCACCGTGCGCGATTCCGGCCCCAGTGGTTGCATGTGTTGGAAACAATTGATTTAAGCGCCCCTGTCGTGTCGAAACACCAAGACAGAATCGAAGCCAAACATATCGAAGCATCAGCGAGTCAACCCTCGGAGGTTGAGCAGTTGCTAGAGGTTACGCGAAAGTCAAAGGTCAGCGACCTTTGACCTGACAAGTACAGCGCGACAGCAAGGACACACAATTGACTCGTTACAGAACAGTTGCCCGAGTCGTCACTGTATCGAACCGCAACAGCAACAGTAAAGTAGTTGCAACCGTATCTCTTCGTATTCCTTGTACTCTTATATAATCTTGTATCTCTTTGCTTTAATCAATTTACTTTGCCCTCACATACCAGCGCAAGGTGGTTCAACTACTTCATTAAAACGCTTCCGCTAATTACAACAAGTCCTACCCAGAGTTCAGCCCTGCAAAGATCCTAAGGGCTTTTCTCAGCCCAACAGCATGCACCCTCGCTGCGCAAGGCTGGCTCTGATTTCACCCAATCAGGTGCCAGAGTTGACCACTTGAATTTGCTATGTGGTAGATTCCAGTGGGGGGCCACGTTTTCCTCGTATACTCGGTTTTGCGGCTCTGAACAACAATCTAACAGTGAAGGCATTGTAGCTGATTTTGTTTCACATCGTTTCTGCTTAAAAAACATATACCATATAATAAGACCCGGGTATTATGTAGGATTTTCCGTTGAGAGGACCCCCCCCTTTTTTCCCTGTGGTTATCATAATACCCCCGGGTGTCATGTCCGGGTGATTACGGTAGATGACTAGCTTCATACTAAGCCATCGAACGTGGCAGTTGATGCATAGATGACTAGCTTCATACTAAGCCATCGAACGTGGAGCCATTCCAACCGAAGTCTGCTGCCTGCACAAGAAATATGAAATCCATTAGTGGACGAAGCTGGACTTACAAAGCGGCAAAATGTGCATTCATCTACTGATGACAAGCATGTAGACAATTGCACTCTGATCAATGCCTTTATCCGAGACCTGAACACACACAGGACGACATGAAACCTCAGGATTCAGAAACAAGAGTGGAAGCTGAGCCACGTACCTTCACGTCATAGAACTTGATGTAACAGCGGTTGGGTGGAACTGTTAATTTGGCCTCAAGAATCTCCGAAATGGCAGCACTGAGTTTCTTATTCGTGTCTGGACCCAGCCTGTCGATTGCATTAACTTCGGCGTAGGCTGCAGGGGCTTCCGTTCCACCAAAGCACATTGGGATTGACGTTTTCACGGAAATCATCACATACTGCAAGCCAGGAAAACGCAGGATTAAGCTTCAGTCTTGTTCTTAAATTGTATATCAAAGACTTTCGGAAACTGTACGTGACGAAAACGCTTACTTCTTCAGGCCTGTCGAGGACTCTAGCCACGACTTTACTCAAGTCCTTCATGACGTCGGTGATCACAACATTATCGCCAGGTACGTTTGTCTGGACGCTGAGAGTCGGCATGTCGGCTAAGGCGCCGCCCGCGGATTGAACTAGTACGTATAAGGACGGGGATAAAGCCTGTGCTACGCCAGAAGAAAGAAGGCGGTAAAGGCGCGGAATGAGGAAATAGCACAACTGACAGTCACATATCCTTGAAGGTCGAGGATATGTCCCACTCCCCGTACTGCGGTGTCTGACTGAATTCGGGCACTTGGCTGCTGTTGGGTACGAATTCGTTGCAACCCTACCCAACCACTCGATTGTTTGAACAGAATTTCTTGCATCGAATAAAAACTGACTGAACCGTACTGAAATCCAGTGGACTGTCAAACACATCCATTCAATTGTGGCCATTCCAATTTGTCTGGCGCGGTGCATTCCAACCAGCCGGCGAGGAACTTCTTTTCAGGTTCAGTTCAGACAGATCCCTCGCCTTTGCCGTATGCCTACGCAACGCAAGGATTTCACTGATCGCGACGAGTGATGTACAGTGCGCCTGATCAATTCACTCGCCAATAAAAAGATGAAACATAAGAGCTGATGAGAAAGTTCATCAGGGATAAAGGTTTACTACACAGAAGCGAGACTGACCACAAAGCGAGTTCTTAGAAATCTCATGATGGGGGGAAATTGCAGGGTATACGACAGCAAGTCTCCGCTCCAGTTATCCTTCCCAAATGGCTCTTTGCAGTTCCGACAGGCATTCTGGTCTCGACTCGCGTCGTCGCTAATGTGGTGTAACTGCGTTTGGTCGCGGATTCCATACAAAAAGTCCCAAACCTAGGTTGGAACCAAAGGATTGTTGCTACATTGCTGTTACCATCGTAGATTTCGCTTTTTCCGAATCTGGCGTTCAGCAATGGGGTTCGGCCGGCAGCCGGTAGCTGCTGACGCGTGCCCGGCATCGCCGCTCGGCAGAAGCGTGACGAGAGGATTCGCCGTGGAGCTCTATTTCGATACGGCCCTGGAGAACCAGATACTCAGGGTACGGCGATTCCGAGAAGCTCAAAGACTCGTCGATTTTCCCAAGTAAAAAAAAAAAAAATGGAAATACACTTTGTTACAGTCCTGGAGGGTACGGTTTTGGAAATGACCAAGCACTTGAAAGGACCCAGTCTCTGTACTCGCTTTTCGTCGCGCAGTCGATTTTCTAGCATGCGGAGCTTTCAGATGCTTAACCAGCTTTCACCAACCCCCTTATTCTCTATTTTGAAACCACTATTGAGAAAATTTCAAAAGCGATTTCGCCCTTTTTATCTCTTTTTTTATTTTCTCCTCCCAACTGGCTACGCTCACCGAATTCCCTCCGCACTTGCGGGCCTCTCTGTTCGCACTATTTTTCCTCCTGGTCCATGAAGATTTGGAATGTGCTGGCGAGGCGACGGTTAGGGAGCTACCTGATAGAGACATCTGCCAGGCCGCATGTCAGGTCAGCACGCAGCACACCCGTTAACACGAGTGAATCTGATCAACCAGGCCCCCCCCAGGCAGAGCTTAGCACAGACTCTCCAATCCTTCCACACACACCCACAACCCACCCCTCCCCCCCCCTCCCCCCCCCTCCTCCCCGCCCCCCCCACTCAACACCCCCCTCCCCCCCCCCCCAACTGGGGCTCGTCTGCCTTGTCCCTCGCGCCTTTTCTCTCCTGTTTCTCTTTGCACACCACGTTTGATCTGATTTTATTTGATCCAATCGGGAGCCCTAAACTCCGCGAGTTCCGGTTTCACCATTCGCCTTGTCTCTTATTTCTCTTCCCTTGCTCCTCCCTGGTCCTCTCCAGTCTCTCTCTCCACACCCCATCTGATCTGGAACCTTCCAAGCTTCGCACAGCCATAGAGAATTTCGCTCAGCAGCAGCACCCCATTCCCGTCGCCCTGGCTGCGGTCGGGAGCTTCCCAGCAGCTTCCGTGCCGCGACCCGCGTTCTCTCCCACGGCGGTCAACAGCACCAGCCATGCTTCGACAGGGAATAACTCTGTAATGAGTACAGATGGTGGGAATAGCAGCAGCACCAGCAGTCCAGGCGCACGTGCATCCAGTGGTGCTGCTGGTACTGGTGTTGGTGGTGGTGGTGGTGCTGCTGCTGCTGGTGCTACGGGTGTCTCAAGCCAAAACTCTCACCCTGGGGGAAACAATGCAGCTGCTTCCGCCACAACCACGAGCAGCAGTAGCAGCATCAGCAGCAGCAGCAGCAGCCAATCAGTCGACCCCACTCGCACAAGCAACAGGGGCGCTGTTGCTGCTGCGACTGCTGCTGAGGGTTCCAAAGTAGCACCGGTAGCCACGAGTGCGCTGTTTCTGGCGCCAGTTCCTTCTATTGCCCTGCTCACACTACACGAGCAACTGCAGGTGGGTGGATATGTGCCTGTGCCGCTCATGTGTCTGGAGTGTCTCTCTCTTCTATTGCCCTTCTTACACTACACAAGGAACTGCAAGTGTGTGCATTTAGTCTGCCGCTTGTGCATTGTGTGCGTTGATGCATGTGTGAAACAACGCACATTCAGGTGTATGAAGATTGGTTTTGAGACGTCTCAAAACCAATCTTCATATTGTGTGCGTTGATGCATGTGTGAAACAACGCACATTCAGGTGACATTTAGGTTGACTCAGGTCATTCCCACTTTAACTCCTCTTGTCCATCACCACTTTGCACTTCTCTGCACCTTTGTGCACCCCTCAGGAGCTCCTGAAAAGACTAGCCATTCCTTGCGACCCCAACTACCTGCCCGGATCCTGGCTGCCCGTCTGCCCAGTCGCTCAAGAGCTGCCCGAAGAAAAACTTCCCAGCAGTTTCCACACCGTTCGATCCCAGAAGCTGCCTCTTTCCGGGCACCTATGTGAAATAGGCCTTGTGGAGTTTGTTCCATCTGGTGCTAGCACTGACTCACGCCAGCTCAGCGCCACCAAGGCGGATGGTGGCATGGCTGGGGTTGCTGTGATTGGTAGTGGTGATGGGGAGAAGGGATGGGGGAGGGAGAAGGAAGGCGGGGTAGTACAGGGGCGTGTTATAGAGCATTACTCCTTCACACTTGGAGGGGACTTCATGTGACTGAACGCCTTCACCAGAAGGTATTACATGATACCTTGATTGGCAGTTCACTCACACATGTTTCTGTGCAGGTTCAGGGTGCTAATGTTTCCTTTCCAATCCAAATGCACAAATAAACTCGACTGATTGGTACCAAAGTCACTGAACCTGCCTCACACTATCGACTACCAGCGCTTGACTCGTGCAATCCATGAGTGATTCTTCCAATAGAACATCCTTGTGTTGTGTGCAACAACATTTGTGTGTTGACTTGAATCATGGCCAGGAGGGTCCCATGGAAGCAGCATCTGCCTAAGAAAGAGGTAGTTGTCCCTGTCTTGACCTGCTGTTGCTGCTGCTGCTCTGGTGCTGCTGTGTCAGTGCACCATTCACAGCCCGAGACTAGTGCTTCTTTGACTCTACGCTGCAGCGTTTGTGTATGGGTTCGGGCTGCAGGCAGGTGAGCCTCTGGGAAGCAGCATCTCCTTAGCAAGAGGTAGTTGTCCCTGTCCACGCCTGCTGCTGCTTCTGCTGCTGATGCTCCTGCTGTGAACCATAATAATGCTCCCTTCTAAGCAGCAGCATTTGTGTTTTGGTTCGGGTTGCTAACCGAAGGCCCCCGCATCTGCCGGAGCAAGAGGCAGTTGTCCCTGTCCACACCTGCTGATGCTGCTGCTTCTGGTAACAATAACCTCTCCTCTAAGCAGCAGCGTTTGTGTTCTGGTTTGGGTTGCTAACCGAAGGCCCCCTGGGAAGCAGCATCTGCCTGAGCAAGAGGTAGTTGTCCCTGTCCACACCTGCTGCTGCTGCCACCTGCATGCACACACATGCACGCACACACAAGTGAATACAGGCATGCATGATGCATGCACACAAAAACGCAAAGTCAGTAGCACCAGCGGCAGCAACAGCAACACCAGCAGCACCAGCAGCACCGGCAGCTGCAGCGGAAGAAGAATCTGCAAAAGGTACAAGCACGTACCTTGAATACTTGATGCCAGTGGGTGTCGAGTGACCTGGAAGCAGCACGAGGCAGGCAGTTGACCGACAGGGCCTCGATCAGCAGCAACAGCAGCAGCAACAGCAGCAGCAACAGCAGCATGTGCAGGTGCTGTCTCAGTCACAACACACGTGCATGATCTTACTGTGGTCTTACCTTGTATACTTGATGCCGGTGTGAGTTGAGTGCACTGGAAGCAGCACGAGGCAGGCAGTGGACCGACAGGGCCTCGAGCAGCAGCAACAGCAGCAGTTGCTGTCTCGCTCATATGGTGGTCTTACCTTGTATACTTGATGCCTGTGTGTGTTGAGTGCACTAGCAGCAGCAGGGGGCAGGCAGTTGACCGACAGGGCCTCGAGCAGCAGCAACAGCAGCAGTTGCCAGTGGGGGCGGCGGAGAGAGGCGAGGGGCGAGCGGAAGGCAAAGGTCGCAAGCAGACGAGTCTGCATTGGAGGGAGAGGGGGGGAGAAGGGAAAAGGGAGGGGAAAAACAGAAGAATTGAAAAAGAAGGGAGAGGTGGGTGATTGCAACGACAGCAGCAGCAGCAGCAGCAAAAGCGGCGGCGGCGGCGGCGGCAGCAGTTACGAGTGGGGACGATGCAGGGAGGGGAGGGGCAAGCGGAAGGCAAAGGTGGCAAGCAGAGAAAGATCACCAAAGAAAGCATCGAGGTGGACTCAAACAGCAGCTCAAGTGGACTCAAACGTACATCCCCACAGCAAGCTCACCAGTGCGTGTTCAACAGTCGACAGTGGCAGCAGCATTGTGTCGACTCAAAACCACGTTTGAAGTGAACTCAGAAGTACCTCCCCATAGCAAGCTCACCAGTGCGTGTTCAACAGTTGACAGCGGCAGCGGCAGTCTATCGTTAAGTCGACTCAAAAATACGTTTGATGTGGACTCAAACGTACATCCCCATAGCAAACTCAACAGTGCGATTTCCACAGTCGACAGCGGCAGCAGCAGCCCCAAGCTTTCCACCATCCCTGCCGTCTCCCTCCCCAGACCATCCCCAATAGTCCTTCAGTTCGGATCATAGCAAGCTCACCAGTGCGAGTTCCACAGTCGACAGCAGCAGCAGCAGCCCCAAGCTTTCCACCATCCCTGCCGTCTCCCTCCCCAGACCATCCCCAATAGTCCTTCAGTTCGGATCATAGCAAGCTCACCAGTGTGTGTTCCACAGTCGACAGTGGCAGCAGCAGCCCCAAGCCTTCCACCACACCTGCCGTCTCCCGGCCCAGGCCTTCTCCCAAAGTCCTTCGGATCTCAGCTGCTCTGGCAGCCTCAGGCACGGACCCCAGGAGAGCAGGGTACTCCCACCCGTTCGCTTACTAGGTTGAGGACTGGACTCAAAAGTGCATCCCTAGACCTAGAGAAAGTTTCACATAGCAAGCTCACCAGTGTGTGTTCCACAGTCGACAGTGGCAGCAGCAGCCCCAAGCCTTCCACCACACCTGCCGTCTCCCGGCCCAGGCCTTCTCCCAAAGTCCTTCGGATCTCAGCTGCTCTGGCAGCATCAGGCACGGACCCCAGGAGAGCAGGGTACTCCCACCCGTTCGCTTCCACGCTCGATATCACACATGGTGGTTGAGATGGTTGCTGTGGTGGCTGGGCCGATTGTGGTGCTTGTGCTGGTGTCTGTGGTTGCTGTGATGGTGGTGGTGGTGGTGGTGGTGGTGGGTAGATGAGGCGAAGCGAGTCGGCAGTGACCCACTCCTGAAGAGCCATGAGGAGAGTGCAGTGAAAGGGGAGCTGGCGAGGGGGGCAGGGAAGCAGACAGACAGGCAGACAGCGAATGAGAACGTATGGGAGGAGAGTGCAGGGCGGCAGGCAGGCACTGAGGGGAAGGCGATTGGTAGGCAGGAAGGGGCAAGAGACACAAACAAGAAGGGTGGAGCAAGCAAGGAGGATTTCGAAGCGTCATCTTTTACTTACTGGGAAATGATCTTTAAGTTCTAAACCCTCACCTGCATTATGAATCCTGGGGGAGGAGCCTCAAACCATTTGCATCCACCCGCTGCTGCCTGTGTGGTAACCAGGTAACTACCTGACTCCCGCTCATTCCCAAACTGTAAACCCGAATCCTTGAGCTTGAACCCTCACCTGCATCTTGAAGCCTGGAGGAGGAGGCTCAAACCATCCACAGTGACCTGCTGCTACACGTGTGGTAACCAGGTAACCTTCTCATGCAACGAAATCCCCTCACCTGCATCTTGAAGCCTGGAGGAGGGGCCTCAAACCATCCACAGTGACCTGCAGGCTGCTGCTGCTCTTGTTGTAACCAGGTAACTCCAATAAACCCTCACCCCAAACCCCCCGAACCCTCACCTGCATCTTGAAGCCTGGGGGAGGAGGCTCAAACCATCCACAGCGACCTGCTGCTGCACGTGTGGTAACCAGGTAACCTTCTCATGCAACGAAATCCCCTCACCTGCATCTTGAAGCCCGGGGGAGGAGGCTCAAACCATCCACAGCGACCCGCTGCTGCTGCCTCTGCCCCTCCCTCCACGCCCCACCCTTCTCTTTCCCCCATGCCTTCTGCACCCCTGCCAACCACCCCACTGCTCCCCTCCCTCACTGCCCCCTCCCTCACTGCTCCCTGCTTCTTCCCCCTCCCACCTCCCCGCTCCTTCCCACCTCTCTCCCCTGCTGCACTCCCCTCTCCCCACCTCTCCTCCCGTCCTGCGCTCCCCCCTTCTAACTCCCCCTCACCTCTACCCCTCCCCCCGCTGCCACTGCCACCCTTCTCGTCCTGTGCCACTGCCAGCCTGTCATCTGCCGCCCAGGTTACATGCCTCCCCTCCTCCCTCTGCGCACCTACTTCCCGCCCGCCCTTCTCCCCAGACACTGCTTTCTTTAAAGCTGGTCGCAGCTCTGCTGGTCGCCCCTCAACTGCTTCTTTCCCTGTTGCTGTCACTGCTGCTGCTGTTCCATTCGCCCCTGCCCCGTCCCCTGCTCCTCCTGTTCCTCCTGCTTCTGCTGCTGCTACGTCTAACGTCCCACCAACCCTGTCACCCACTCCCACCCCCATGCCGCCCCTACCGTTCTCATTCTGCTCACCCCCAACCCACCCCTCCATCCCCACACTCGGTGCAAACACCTCATCACACGTCCCTGACGCAGCAACCACTTGAGACATTATGCTCTGAGCAATGTTATCTCCTCTCCCTCTCTCTCCCCCTTTCTCTCTTCCTCTCTCCCCTCCTCTCTCTCCTACATTCTCTCCCTCTCCCTCTCCCACTCTCTCTTCCCTTCTCACTCCTCTTTCTTTCCCTCCCTCTCCCTCTACTAGCATGCTCCGCGCTGTGCCATGCTGAGAGAAGAACCCTTTATTGACCGCCTCAGTACCATGCCGAGGAATGTACCCTTCAATCGCATTATGCACTGCAGACTCAAAGCCTCCAGACGAAGACAGCCCGTCTGTTGCTGCCGCATCTGCCCCTGTGCCAGTAACCCCTGTGCCAGCACCCTCTGAGCTAGTAACCCCAGCGACAGCAGCCCCTGGAATGTTCTCCTTCAGCAGTAGAGGCGGAGATACAGCGTTGCTAGCACTACTGCTGCTGCTGCTGCTGCTGCTGCTGGTGGTCGTGCTGGTGCTCCCGCTGCTGCTGCTGCTCGTGCTCGCAGAGACATGAACCTCGTCTGCCCCAGCAACTTCAGTAACCTTCTCGTTTCCGCAGCTGCTGCCGCCGCCGCAGCTGCCGCTGCCGCCGCTGCTGCCAGTGTTGTTACTCGTTGTGTTGGCACTCGTGCTACTAGCGCTGATGCCACGACTTCTTCCTTTCTCTTTCTCCTCCTCCTTCCTCTCTCTCATACCCTCACCCCCCACCCACTCGCGCACCTCCACACCCCTCCCCACCCCTGCTGCATCCAACACCCCTTGCAAATCCTCTTTATAGAGCAACTCTCTATGCTCAGGCAGCGACAGAGCTACACTACCACTGGTGCGCATACACACAGCACTGCAAAACCTCGAAATCTCCGCTTTCTTTAAAACTTTTCCCTCAGCCCTGACTAATTTGAACCTCCCTTTCCCTTCCCCGTACCGAGCTTGTAACACTTGGTTGCAAAGCGGGTTACCACAAAACCCCCCTATAGCACGCTCCTCCACTATAGCATCGTACTCGCTTCGGCTGAGCAATCTGCACGCCGCTGCTAACTGGCTGGCTCGCACGTCGAACGATGGTGTGACTGTAGGTGATGTGACAGTATCATGTTTGCCTGTATCCTGAGTGACCCTACTGCTGCTGCTGCTGCTGCTACTGCCGCCGCTGCCACTGCCACCATTGCTGCTGGCGCCAAGATCGAAAGGATCAGTCCCGCTAGAGTAAACGTCGCGGATCAGCAGCGCCTGCAGTTTGAAGACGGCGGATCGATGCGCCTCCAGCGCGGTGGCGTGCGCCTCAACCTCCGCCTTCGCCGCTTTCATGCGCTCCTCCTTCTCCCGCGCCGCAGCAGCCGCGCCGGCTGCGGAAGACGAGGAGCCAGTTCCTGCCGCTTTCCCCGCCCCTTTCCCCGTCCCCGCCTTCCCCTTCCCTTTCGCCGCTGCTTTACCCGCGGCTTTCTTTCCGCCTGCTCCGCTGCTCCCCAATTTTGTCGCTTTTTTCTTCGGCGCCTCCGCGCCATCCGCTTTTGCGCCGCCCGCGCCCGCGGTTCCGCCTTCCCCGCCCGCGGTTGCGCCCTTCCCCCCAGGGTTCGCCCCAGAGGGTGGCTTACTACTGCCAGCAGACGCAGAGGAAATTGCTGCCGTGTTACTCACGTCACTGCCGCTAGGGTTACCATCACTCTTAAAGCTGGTGGTTGCAGGTATCACCCCGTAGTCGAAGATGGGTAGGAACGACATGGTGCTCGCGGGTTCGAATCCTAATAGCTGATACAAGTGAATGGAACGAAACCTGAGCTGATATTCGACGAATTGATCACCTTCTGCTCACGTCACAATCGGCTCATTCTCAAAGACGCAGACGAGCGAGTGCTATAAAACTCGTGCGACTGCGAAAACGAGTGGGACTTCACGAACGGCGGAATTGGCACGGAGTGACGAGGGAAGCAGTAAGAAAGGAAATTGATCCGCGAAAAGTGATCACTTCAGAAAAATATGACCATCATTCGTACCTAGGTATGGTCTGGGACTCGGATGATCACAGGGGGACGCGTCCAAGATGCGTCTGATTCGTGATTCGTCAAAAGCTATTGCGTTATTGATTAATAACTGTACACTATCGGTTTTTGTTTCGCGAAACTTCGATTTCCTCACATGGTATGGGAGGAGCACCAAATTCCCATCCGCGATATAGGTTGCACGTTCTAGAGAGTTCGATGCGACATGAGTGAACTTGGCCAACTGGAGTTCATCCACTCGCAGCGCATGCCGCCCCGTAGCACCCACCTGCGAGCCCTTCCCCACCCACACTCCCGCCACCCCAATTACTTATCTCGCCTGCCTTTATGACTGAATTTAGAGACTTCGATACCCGCATGTTCACGCCAACGGCCTGATGATATGAGCACCGTAGGTTGAACCACCTCCAATTCTATTTTTCGTTTCTTTCACCTGCCCGCGGTCCGCGTGGGTGGGTGGCACTGGCAGCATCCGTTTCCTGCTGCCTTCACCTTCCCGGCACCCCCGACATTTGCGACTGAATATAGACATCCATACTGTTTTGCACCGTAGTACCGTACCGTACCGTACCTTACTGAGCTGAATCGTACCGGAGTGTTTACGCAGCAACCCTACGATAGCGAGCGGAGCAGCACAGGTTTCTACACTCCAGCGCCTCCTTTTTTCAAAAAGAGTGAACGTTCGCCATGTTTCTTGAAGCAAAAGCCATAAGATGCTAGAGGCTGTGGCTTCGAGGTTAATTTGCTCCTCGGAGTTAGCTGCTCGTGTTAAGTCGAGTTAAGACTGCCGCTTCAGTAGTCCCTCAAGTGCAGCAGCAAGTGCGGCTTAGCTTATCCCGCTGCAAGCGCGACCCCTTGTCCGCAGGACAGCGGCTTTTGCGCACGATCCTTAGTTTCGTCACCCAAATTAGCTGCATTTACCGCGTTCCTCTTCGCGAATGCCGCTTTTCTCTCGTCGATTTCGAGACGTGCTTGTAACGAGTATCTTCTCCGCATTTCACGCAATGAAGCAGACGCCGTGACATCCAGAGGGCCTTCAGTGGACCTAAGTCGATTTGAGCGTCGATCTCTCGCGACCACCATAGATACCATCTGTTCAAACCTGGTAATCGAGAAACCCGGTCCACTCGTTCACTCGCGGCGACGCGGGTGGCTCTTAGGTGGAAAGGACTTCACAACTTGTCCGCGGGCCGGGTCGCTGAATTTCCCTGATACCTTCGATTTGACTTTTTTTATTTCTCTATTACCGTTAAATTCCAATAACACCTTTTTTTAAACCTCTACCTTCAAATTGCCGATATGTTGACTCGCTCCCCGCCAATCTCCCCCCGCTTCCGCTCCCCTCTCGGCGACTCCCCTTTAGCTTCCCCTTTCGCCGCATCTCCCGCCAATACTCCCGCCGCGATTCCCGCCGCGTCTAACGCCGGCTCCGCGCGTCACAGCGGGCCGAAACTGGTTCTGGTCGGCGTGACTCTGCACCAATCAGGAGGCTCCTTTTGGGGGGGAGTGCGCGTCGGAAGCGGGAGAGACGCCGGGGGAGGCGGAGGGGGCAGCGCGGGTGTGACTGTATCGAAGGATGGACTGGCGCTGGTGGATTTCGCTTTATCGAGGCTGGTTGTACCGGGGGACAGGGTGGTGGCTCTGGTGATACAAACGGGCGGGGAGAAGGGGGAGAAGGGGGAGCGGGAGCGGGGGGAGCAGGGGGATATTGAGGCGCGGAGGGTGGTGCTCGCGGCGCTACAGCCACTGGCGGAAGTAGCTTCCGCCAAACAGGTGAGGGGGGAAAGGGGCGAATGCACAGGAGCGGGAAGAAGGGGAGAAGTTTGGCGGAGAGGGGGGGGGGAAATGAGGGGAGGGGGGGGCGAGTAGGGTGGGGTGGTAGACGATGGGGGAAGAGAGGGCTAGAAGCAGCGCTGCAGACACATCCCCTGGGTCACCACCTCCCCCGCCCTCTGTCTTTCCCCAACAACAGGTCCGAGTGGAGGTGTGCGTGTGTTGGGCGGCGGACGTGCCCCAGGGGCTGCTGCAGGGTGCATTGACGCTGGGTGCAGGGATCGTGGTGCTCTGGTCTAGGGGCCGCTCACGCATTCTCCTCCTGCTCTCCCTCTCCTTTCCCCCATCAACAGGTCCGAGTGGAGGTGTGCGTGTGTTGGGCGGCGGACGTGCCCCAGGGGCTGCTGCAGGGTGCATTGACGCTGGGAGCAGGGATCGTGGTGCTGGGTGCTGCCAAAAAAGGCAGCCTGGGCTTTAAGAGGTGAGAGAAAAGCAGGGAAAAGTTTTGAATACGCGTGCCTCAGGGGCTGCTGCAGGGGGCGTTGACGCTGGGAGCAGGGATCGTGGTGCTGGGTGCTGCCAAGAAAGGCAGCCTGGGCTTTAAGAGGTGAGGGAAGAGCAGCAGAGGGGGTAACCTTCAAGCCAACGTCCCTCAGGGGCTGCTGCAAGGGGCGTTGACGCTGGGAGCAGGGATCGTGGTGCTGGGTTCTGCCAAGAAAGGCAGTCTGGGCTTTAAGAGGTGAGGGAACTACTTCTAGGCCGCCTCAAGAGATATATTTTGCGTCAAATGCATGGTGCATTGACGCTGGGAGCAGGCGAATGCATGGTGCATTGACGCTGGGAGCAGGCGAATGCATGGTGCATTGACGCTGGGAGCAGGCGAATGCATGGTGCATTGACGCTGGGAGCAGGCGAATGCATGGTGCATTGACGCTGGGAGCAGGCGAATGCATGGTGCATTGACGCTGGGAGCAGGCAAATGCATGGTGCATTGACGCTGGGAGCAGGCGAATGCATGGTGCATTGACGCTGGGAGCAGGCGAATGCATGGTGCATTGACGCTGGGAGCAGGGATGGTGGTACTGCTGGGTGCCGCCAAGAAAGGGAGTCTGAGCTTCTCTTACCCTGTCTCCCCCCTCTTTCCTTCCTCTTTTCCCACTTTCCGACATCGTTTCTCCCCCTTCCTCCCCATCCCCCCTCCCCGCCTCCCCGGCACCCCCATTCCCCCGTTTCCCCCCCCCAAGTTCGTCCATCTCCTCAGCCACTCAGGACACAGCGGCTCAACTCACCCGTCGTCTCCCCACCACCACCAAGGTCATACCCGTCTCACACGTCCCTTCTTCCCATCCCTCTCTTCCTTTCCTCCCTCCCGCCCTCCCCTTTCCCTGCCCCTCTCAGCTCCTCCATCTCCTCAGCTACTCAGGACACAGTGGCTCATCTGGCTCGTCGCCTCCCCACCACCACCAAGGTCATGCTCGTCTCACACGGCGCCTGCTCCCTCTCCAAATCCGGAGAGCTCTCCACCGCTTCCAACCCCTCTCCCTCTCCTCTCCACCCTTCTGCATCGCCTGTCTCCCCACTCTCCGCCCTAAACACACCTTCGGCTGTCTCTGCTGCTTCTAGTGCCTCGTATGCCCCCTCTCCCGGTTCTGCATCCCCTTTAAGAGGTGACCCTTTAAGAGGCGACCCTAGGGAGTGCCAGGCTGTTGGTTTTGGGTCTGAGTTTGGGGTGGGAAGCGGGGAGAGAGGGGGGAGTGGGGAGGGAGAGGGGAGGGGAGGGGGGGAGACGATGGAGGTAGATGGGGAGGGGATGAGTGGCGCGGTGGGGAGAGGGGGAGGGGAAGCGGCAGCACCAGCAGCAGCAGCAACACCAGCAGCAGCACAACCACAAGCAGCAGCATCAGCAGCACACCCAGCACCTACCCCCTCCCCATCCCCTACCCCCTCCCCATCCCCTTCCCCCATCCCGGCAGCAGCAGCAGCAGATGGGGGATGGAAGCAAGGCCACACCGTCCTCATCTCCCCCAACCCTCTCAATCCCTCCTCCGACCTCCTCCCTCCTCCCCCGCCTTCGGAAATACTCCGGGAGGTGTACGGGAGAGAGGAGTATGGGGAGCAAGAGTTTACACTTGAACAGATTTTGCAAGCCACTGATAATTTCAACCCCAAGAATGTTCTGGGGGAGGGCGGATCTGGGCAGGTCTTTCTGGGGACGATTACAATGGCGGTTCCAGATTTTGGGGGAGGGGTGGGAGGGGGAGGGGGGGAAGGTGGGAGCGGGAGAATGAAGGAAATTCTTGCGGGCAGCAAGCAAAAAGTTGCGGTGAAGCGGCTGAGGTGGTGGGGGCCTGCCCTGGCTGAAAAAAAGTGCGCGGTCAACACGAAACAATTCCTCACGGAGCTTCGGGTGGTTCGGAAGGTTCGGCACCCGAACCTGCTGCGCATGCTCGGCGCGTGTGTGACAGCTGGCGAGCTCCTAATGGTCTTTGACTACCTCCCGAATGGCGCTCTGGACATGCGGTTACGGGATAACCGCAAGCCGCCGCTGACGTGGCAGCAGCGGCTGGAGATTGCGAGTGGGGCGGCGAGGGGTTTGGCGTTTCTGCACAGTGGGTGCCGCCCGCCTATCATCCACCGGGATGTGAAGTCGGGGAATATTCTGCTGGATGAGGACTTGGAGCCTGTGGTATGTATGCTCTCCCTTGTCCCTTGTGTGCCCTGTACCCTTTGGCTGGATGAAGACTTGGGAAAGTGTCGTCCTTTGGCTGTCTTGTAACCCACCGCCCGCCTGCCGATCATCCACCGGGATGTGACGTCGGGGAATATTTTGCTGGATGAAGACTTGGCGCCCGTGGTATGGCCCGTCACTCTTCTGTTTTGCCATCCATTTTATGGCCCTTGCCACCCTGCTCTTTTTTCCCTCTCTCCTGCCCTCTCGTCTGCTTCTCTTGTAACCCACCGTCCGCCCGCCTATCATTCACCGAGATGTGAAGCCGGGAAATATTATTCTGGATGAAGTCTTGGAACTCGTGGTGGGTGTCAAGCTACCGTTAGAAATCTATGTATAGCAGCTACTGATAGCTGTCCCAAGTGTTTTGTCATCCAACCTGCTCCTCCCGTTCCTCCCGTACCCCCTCCTCTTCCCCCTCCTCTTCCCCTCCCACCCCTCCTTCCCTAACTCCCTTCCTTTCTTCCCCCCCTTCCTCCCTCCCCCCCCCCCCCTCCCCTTCCCACCTCTCCTGCCCCAATTTCTCCCACCTCCCCTTCTCCAACATCCCCTCTTTGCCCCGCGTCACCAGGTATCGGACTTGGGTTGGCGAAAGTCGCACCGGAGCATTTCAAGCAGATGAAATGAAACCCCTCCCCACCTTCTGCTTCCCTCCCCTTTCTTTCTCCCTCCCAACCACCAGGTATCGGACTTTGGGTTGGCGAAAGTCGCACCGGAGCATTTCACACAGCCAATGACTGTTACGGCAATCATGGGCACACAAGGGTCAGTTGTGGTTTTATTATTAATAATTATTGTTATTGTTAGTGTTATTATTATTATTATACTATTATTACAAGTGTTGTTATTGTTATTATTATTGTCATTGTTGCTGTTATTGTTATTGTTATCATTACTATTATTATTATTATTATAATTGTTATTATCATCATCATCATCATCATCATCATCATCATCATCATCATCATCATCATCATCATCATCATCATCATCATCATCATCATCATCATCATCATCATCATCATCATCATCATCATCATCATCATCATCATCATGATCATCATATGATTACCAGAGAGTGACCAGACCACAGGGAAGCCCCGCGTCTACCATCCCGCCATGCCTCTTTCACTCTCCTCTCTTGCCCTCTTGCTTGCTTGCAGCTATGTAGCACCGGAGTATGTGCGAACAGGCAAGATCACACAAGCGGTGGATGTGTTTGCGTTCGGGGTGGTGTTGCTGGAGCTCATCACAGGGCACATCCCCTTCCACCCCTCCAGAACACCTGCATACCTATTCGCCTGGGTGAGTGGGTGCATTGAAGCGCGTGGGTGTGTTGGTGGGTGTGTGATTGGGTGGGTTCAGTGTCGGAGTGGTGTTGCTAGAGCTCATCACAGGCCACATCCCCTTCCACCCAAGCAGAACACCCGCGTACCTCTTTGCATGGGTGAGTGAGTGAGGGTGAGGGCTCATTTATTCAGATCGGTGGGTGGGTGGGTGGGTGGGTGGGGGGTGGGTGGGTGGGTGTGGGTGACTGTGTGGGTGACTGTGTGGGTTTAGTGTCAGAGTGGTGTTGCTACATCTCATCACAGGCCACATCCCCTTCCACCCGTCCCGAACACCGGCTTACCTTTTTGCATGGGCGAGTGGGAGCGTGGGTATGTGTGAGGGTGGGTGCATGCATGGTTGGGTGAGTGGGTGGATACATGCATGGGTGAGTGGGTGGATACATGCATGGGTGAGTGGGTGGTCGCAGTGTTTGTTCTCTTACTCTTGTCTTGTGCTCCTTCTCCCCATCAAGGGCAACCCCAGTGGCCAAGGCAGGGGGAGTTTCACCGGCTAGTGGGCAATCGACTAGAGGGGCGGTACGATGCAAGTCAGCTGCAGGCATTGCCTGTAACTAGTCTGAACCTGTCTTCCCCCGTCCCTCCTCCTGCTTTCCAACAGGCAATCCCAGTGGCCAAATCAGGGGAGTTTCATCGCCTAGTTGACTACCGTCTAGAGGGGCGGTACGACCCGAGCCAGCTGCAGGCAGTGGCGATGCTGGCTGTGATCTGCCTTGCCAGCAACCCCAAGGACAGACCCGCCATGGCTGATGTGAGTGTTGTCTTGACTTGGGTTGACCTGAGTTGACTCCCATTGACTTGGGTTGACCTGAGTTGACTCCCATTGACTTGGGTTGACTTGGTGTAGAGAAGCTGTGGTTTCACTCTCAAGAGTCAGCTGCAGGCAGTGGCGATGCTGGCTGTGACCTGCCTCACCAGCAACCTCTAGGACAGACTGGCTATGGCTGATGTGAGTGCCTGTCCCTTGACTCGTGCTGACTAGGGTTGACTTGGGTTGACCTGAGTTGACTTGAGTTGACTTGGCGTAGAGGGGCTGTGGGTTGCAGTGCAGCAAGGTCAGCAGCAGGCAGTGGCGATGCTGGCTGTGATCTGTCTTGCCAGCAACCCCAAGGACAGACCTGCTATGGCTGATGTGAGTGCTTTGACTTGGGTTGACCAGATTTACGGTTGAATTGACTCAAGCTCACTTGAGTTGACTTGGTTTGGGTATCAGCCCAAGTCAAAGGTATCCCTCATGCATTCCCCCCGACCGACTTTTCCCCACTCACATGGCTCACCCTTGCACCGCACGCCACCCATCCAGATCTACAAGTGACTGCTGAGTTGATCCAAACGTCTCCAACAGCCATCCTACTTACCCACTCGCCTTCTCTTTTTACCGCACCCTACCGCACCGCACCTCACCCCAACCCATGCAGGTCGCCAAGTGGTTAACTTCGTGGGTGGGGCATAAATCCAATGCCTGATTTGTTGGTCTAGGGCGCTGGGTGCACGCTGGTAGGGCATAAGGCACAGTGTAACAGCAAGAGCATCTTACCGGCATTGAAAATACCGGTAACGTGAAGATGTGTGTTGGGGATTGAGTCTCAGCCCTTTTGAGTTGACTCAAAAGGGGCACTCTGACAGCAAGAGCATCTTACCAGCAGCGAAAATAGCAATAAGATGTGTTTTGGGGACCGAGGCCCTGTCAGCCCTCTTACTCAACCCTCTCTGGTGTTTTGTTTTGTCATCAGGAAAAAAAAAGCTAGCCATTAGAGGCATGAGGAGTAGCCGATTCAAAGCCCTTATTATAAGCCTGGAAATAGTATTGTACTGTAGTACTCTGTTGTATTTTCATAAATGCTGTGCATGCAAATGCCATAGCAATGTATTTCTATAGGTTTGTGTATGGTTTACAGGAAGAACATGGATAAGATTACCAGTATGTACACTAAAATGCACAGAGTCAGCCAATCAGAAGGCAGCAGAAAGCCAAGCTCCAATGAAGGCAAATCCCCCAAACGGAGCCCCAACACCCAAGGCTCTTTCCTCATATGCTGCTGATAGGTAACAGCTGATGATGAAGGGGGAGGGGAAAGGTGAGTTGGGGGATGGGGAGTGTAGGATGCGGGGGGAAGGGAGGGCTTTGAGTCAAAGGGAGCCCCAACACCCAAGTCTCTGTCTTGATATGCTGCTGATAGGTAACAGCTGATGAGGGGAGGGGATAGGCAGGGTGGTGGGTGGGGGGGGGGGGAGAGGGGGTCAGAGAGACGAGTAAGCGGTTGGTGGGTGGGCTTCTGAGCAAGTGTGGGCCATAACGCCCGGAGCGCTGTCCTCGTGTGCTGCTGACAGGTAAGGGGTGAAGCAAGTGAGGAGGGGAAAGGAAGTGGGGAATCGTGGGGAGGAAAGGGGTGTGAAGGGAGTAGAGGAAAAAGCAGGTGGGAGGGAGATGAGCAATGGTGGGACATCACGCCCGGAGCGCTGTCCTCGTGTGCTCTGCTGACAGGTAAGAGGTGATGAGAGGAAGGGGACAGACAGGGCGGCGGGTGTGGAGGGGGAAAGAGGGGGTCAGAACAAGAGTGGACCATAACGCCCAGAGCTCTGTCCTCGTACGCTGCTGACAGGTAACAGCTGAAGCAAGTGAGGAGGGGAAAGGAAATGGGGAATCGCGGGGAGGAAAGGGGTGTGAAGGGAGTTGAGGAAGGAGCAGGTGGGAGTTGAACAAGAGGGGGCCATAACGCCCGGAGCTCTGTCCTCATACGCTGCTGACAGGTAACAGCTGAAGCAAGTGAGGAAAAGAGTGGGTTAAGGGGGGGAGGGAGAGGGGAAACGGGGGCGGGAGGGAGATGAGAAGGGGGCGGAAGGGGATGTGGGTAGTGTGGGAGGGGTGTGGATTGGGATGAGCTTTGAAGGGACGGGGGAGGGCGGAGGGGATCACGAGGCTTGGGACAAGAGGCTCATGCATTGAGGTTTGGGCTTGGGCCACAGGCTTGGGCCACAGGCTTGGGCCACAGGCTTGGGCCACGGGCTTGGGTCACAGGCTTGGGCCACAGGCTTGGGTCACAGGCTTGGGTCACAGGCTTGGGCCACAGGCTTGGGCCACAGGCTTGGGCCACGGGCTTGGGTCACAGGCTTGGGTCACAGGCTTGGGTCACAGGCTTGGGTCACAGGCTTGGGTCACAGGCTTGGGTCACAGGCTTCCATTCATTTATCATGCCTTCACTCCCGCAAAAGCAGCATCGCTTATCATGCCCTTGGTTCCCACTCACCTGCCTGAAAAAGCAACTATCCCAAAGGTACCTTTGAGACGTCTCAAAAGTCGTCCCCACTCACCTGCCTGAGAAAGCAACTATCCCAAAGGTAAGAAGGCTGCCATACTGGAGGGATGGGAGGGAGGGGAAGGGAGGTGAGGAGCGTGGGGGGGACAGGGGAAAGGAGAAGGGGAGTGGGGAGAGGTCAGGAGAGAGGAGGTGAGTGAGGATATGGAGGAAAACTTAAAGAGATACTGAGCTTATGGGGATGGGTAGTTTGACAAAAAGCCGCCACAAAGCTACTACTTTGAATTGAAGAGTTTGTCTAAACCCTAAACTCACAATGTCAGGCCGCTTGACTAAGGGCGAGGCTAGGAGAGCAGCAGAGTGCACGAGATGGTAGAGGTTGCCTGTCCGCCACACCTGATAAAAGCAATACACCGCAGTTTGAAGCATGCATTGTTGTAAGGAAGCAGTGAAGCCTTATGACGCGGACAGGAAGCACACATGTGAGCAGCAGAGTGCACGAGATGGTAGAAATCACCCGTACGCTACACCTGATAAAATCAGGTAACGCAATTTGAAGCATGAATCGTGTAAGAATAGTGATGCAATATGACGGGAACAGGAAGCCCACATGCGAGAGCAGCACAAAAAAGGAAAACAAATCGGTAATCACATCTTACCTCTTTAAACACGTATTCACGTCTGCCGAAAAGGATAAGCATGTATCCAATACTCCGGCCGCATTCACCTCCTCACCTCTTTATACAAGGGGTTCTCCGACGTGTGAGGCGCCTCCATGACTAGGGGACGCCTCCATGAATAGGAGTCGCCTCGATGACTAGGAGTCGCCTCCATGATTAGGAGTCGCCTCGATGACTAGGAGTCGCCTCCATGATAAGGAGTCGCCTCCATAGTTAGGAGGCGTCTCAAAAGTCACCTCTCTCACCTCTTTATACACGGGGTTCTCCGGCTTAAACGCGTGCGCTCCGTACGCGCCCAGCCCCACCGCCGCAGCGCCTGGATATTGCGGGGAGATCGGGAAGGGAAGATGGGGGTAGGTGGGAGAGCGGAGAGGGTGGGGGAAAACGAGGGGAGGTGAGGAAAGTTCGAAGAGAGCGTCACGCAATAGGACAAACAACGAGGTGCTTCTTTACGCAAACGAATCTAACCAGAGGCGCGCTTAAAACGCGGACGGAGGACGATCTGCTGCCTCTTAGCAAGTATTGAAGGCACCTAAAAAAGTGCACGGAAAACGATGCGGCGGCGAATTTGAGCAACGAGGGTCTTCTGGTAAAATAACTTCACCTGAAACTGCGGCAACTTTGGTCCACGTGGAGGGTGTATAAACTCCAGCCATGTCAGCAGCACGCCGTGATAGTCGCCGAATTTGACTGGATGGGCGAATTCGCTGACTAATCATGCACGACGTGTGGTGTGGTCGCATGCACGGTGTTGTACTGCAAGGGAATCTCTTAGGGGTGGGGCAAATTGGCTAACAGCAAATTTGGGGATAAGGTTTGCTGGTGCTTCTACGGATGCGACATGGAAGGCTCCGCTAGATATCCGCAAGCCTCTTCTGGTGCTAGGGTAACGAGAATTATGTAAGCTCCTCTCTATTTACAAGATCTTCTAGCTAATAACGAATCCGTGTATATAGGAAACTTGTAACACTCGTCAGCACATTTCAGGCGAAAACGCTCAAGTCACCTGACGAATCGCTGGGCCAGCTCGTTGTGTTTTGTGCGACTTCTATGTTCTAGGTTTGGCCGAGCCAGCAGGTACAGCTGGCCAATCAGTTTCGTATTTCAACGCCAGCTTTTGCTTTCCTCCCCCTTCTCAACGGGTGCCCCACAAACAGCCCACGCAAACCAGACTGAGCGCGCGTCAAGCTTCACCGAGCTTGCATTTCGTCTCGCGCCAAAACCGGACCACAAGGTCCCGTGAGTGCAGAACCGAAGCGAGCCACCAAGCTTGGACGACATCTATCCAAGTCAAGGACCCAGACCAACGACAAGATGGCGAGTCGCTCCAGATGCGCCTCGGAATTTTAACACGCGCCTCGGTTTGAGATGGGATGTCGGAGTGACATTTTGCCAAAGTTGACATTTCTAGGACAACGGCAGTCTCGACTCTCGCGAGTTTGCAGGGAGGGAGAGATGTCCATTCCAAGTTCTCAACTTCTCAACTTCCCATCCCAACCCATCCTTCGGCACTGTCAATCACTGTTAGCTTCGTCCACTCACCCATGTTGGGACGGCCACCACCATCACCGCAAGCACCAGGCGCCGAGGATTCAGGCTAGAACGTCGTCATTCAGCAACAGTCTCGGTCCTATCTGCTGCTGTTGCTTGCCCTTGCTTTCAATCGAGATACTCTTCACGAAAAGGGTGTGCTGATGACGGTCCTGTAACCTGTTGCCATTATGCAAGTCAGTGTAGGGTGCTGCTAGATTTGCCCCGAGCGTGTGAGAGAGAGACGAGCATCTGCTATTGTTGCGTCAACCTAGTTCGCCTGACCCACAAAGCGGTTCAATCCCATGCTCGATAGTGCTTAGTGTGCTCCGCCCGGCGGACTCCTTTCGTCGTAGAAACTAAATCGAGCTGTAGCATCAGTAACCAAGCGTTGCGGCTGAAACTGTATCGACAGACCTTGGAAATGCGAACTGCGACTCAAGAATAGTCACCGCTGATCCCGTTAAATTACCTCCTAACGCGAGCAGATTTCAAGCACCTAGAGCCTAGCTTCCAAACACAGAATTTAAAAAAATGCGTAGGAAAGCAAAATCAATGGAGCGGGACCTTCATCCAGTCATGAGGGCAGCCGCAGTCCTTGTTATTGTCATGAGCGCCGGTTCGATAGTAGCAGCGACGGACTGGACGGGCATCGCGATGAAGCTGGATCCGAGCAATCAGATCCTATCCACGTGGGATAGCAACTCCGACGCCTGTGCCAATCCGCCATTCAAAGTACGCGTCTCAAAGGGTTTTCTTCCGTATATGCCACAATTCCGCAGCACATCTGCTCACTCCATTACCGCGTTTCAATCACAGAACGAGTTGGTTTCTCCTGTTCTCATTCAATAACCGAGAAACCTGTGACCGCCTTCCCGTGTTTCATCGTCAGGGAAGTCGTCTTCAGTCCTCCCATCCCCTCATCTTGCCTGTTTTCTGTCTCTTTCTCGTTTTTATCTCCGGTTTTTCGTTCCTACTTTTGCAGGGAGTGAAATGTAATGCGAACAAAGAGGTGATCGAAATTTCGCTGCGCAGTCTCGGGCTGTCGGGCGAAGTGCCGCCCGAAATCGTTCAACTCAACAAGCTCACGTGGCTGGACCTCGGCGAAAACTCGCTGCATGGAAACATTCCCGTCGACATCGCCAACCTTCCTTCGCTGATGGTGAGTATTTCCCACAAGTGGTATTTGTAACGAGACCCGATTTCTCCAAACAACTGACGCAGCCGCCCTGACAGCTATGCCATGACTGACCATTAGCTTCCTATTAATCGGCCTCTGTTCTTTATTCGTTCTCATCGATTACTTTCATGGAGAATTCTCATCGATTACTTTCATGGAGAATTCTCATCGATTACTTTCACTCATCGGCAGTTTGAATGCTAATCGCCCCTTCCTCACCGAATGTGCCAATACCGAACGGCAGGTTCTGAACCTCTGCTGCAACAATATCGGGGGCGTAATTCCGGACCTCGGCCGAATGTCGAATCTCCTCGCCATCGACCTAAGCAACAATATACTCTCCGACACGATTCCCGCGTCGCTCGGCGACTTACAACAACTTAAGTTCCTCGAGCTGAACAATAACCAGCTCTCGGGCGAGATTCCCGCATCGATTGGCAACTTAAAGCGTCTCAAGTCCATCTCGCTGGCTCATAATCAGCTACAAGGGCGCGTTCCGAAGGGACTTAATTACCTCCGCGATAGCCCCGCCAAGTATAATTTCTCCGAGAACGGTTATGGGTTCTGCGGCACGGGCTTTAAGGGGCTCGACACCTGTCCTGGCGACCCTCCATATGTCTCTAAGAAGTCCCCGCCTAAGGTGAAACCGCCTGTCAAACCGCCCGTCGTCAAACCGCCGGTCGTTAAGCCGCCGGTTGTGAAACCGCCGGTCGTTAAACCACCCGTCGTTAAATCGCCTCCTAAGGTTACCCCACCAGTCGTCAAGCCCCCGCCAAAATCACCGAAACCCTCACCGGAAAAACCCCTCCCATCGCCTTCCAAGAGCCCCAAACCTTCCCCCTCCGCGCCTTCCGCCTCCCCGAGTAACCCCCCGCCAACTACCTCCCCTTCCCCCTCTCCCGCCAAGCCATCTCCCCCGCCGTCCTCCCCCGCGCCTTCCGCCAACGCCCCGCCGTCGTCTCCGCCGCCCGCGGACGATCCCCAGCCCGTGCAGCCGCTCGTTCCGCTTTCCCCGCCCCCCGGTTCCGCCACCCCCTCCGCCTCCGCGCCAGCAGACACGCTATCCAGCGGTACCGCGGCGGCGGCGGACAGCGGAAGCAGCGGAGGAAACAGCAGCGCAAGCGCGAGCAGCAGCAGCAGCAGCGGCGAGAGCAGCGGGGGGATGAGCATGGGCGTGTATATCGGCATTGCGGCTGGAGGCGCGTTGTTAGTGATTGTCGGGGCGATTCTGATTGGCTACTGCTGCTGGTGGAAGCCGAAGCAGTCGCGCGCGGTAAGTAGTGGAACCGAGTCGTATTCCTTTATTTCAAATCTCCTCCTTTCCCTTCCCTCCCCTCCCATCCCTTGCCTTTCTTCCCTTCCCTCACTCTCAATTTTCCCCTCTCCCCTCGTTCCGTTCGCCCGTTTCCCCGTTCCCCCCGCTCCCCCGCTCCCCCGCTCCTCGTCCCGATTCCCCCGCTCCCCCTGTGCAGCGCGCGGCGGCATTTAGGGCGATTCGCAGCGACAAGGATCTCAACCCCCCCTCCGCCTCCAAGCGCGGATACGGCGGAAGCAAGTCCAAGGGCAAGGCGCGCAGCCCCACGGGCGCGGAAGCAACGGGCGGAGACGCAGGCGGAGGAAGCGGGGCGGCGGTCGCGGCAGGTGCGGCGGCAGGAGCGGCGACGGGAGCAGCAATCGCGGGTTCTGGTCGCAGTTCGTCTAAAAAGAAGTCGCCGCGTCACTCTCCGTCGAAGCACCACCGCATCGACATCGAGTCTGGTAATAACGGAGCTAGTGGTTACCACTCGGGTTACCACACGGTCGACGTGCCGCCTGTAACGGTCGTGGAGCTCCCTCCCGAGCCTGCCGTTCGCTCGGTTCGGGAACCCGAGGCTGCAGCCTCGGCAGTGAGCGCCACAGGTGCGGCAGCCGGAGCTGCGATCGCAGGCGCGGGAAGCAAGAGCAAGGGCAGGTCAGGCAAATCTCACTCCCCCTCTCCCAAGAAGGACGGCTCCCGGAGCAATCCGAATGCGGATAAGGAGAGCGTCGGATCGTCGCCACGCGGCGACCAGCACGATCCAACGGCTGTTGGCGGCGCGCTAGGCTCCCGTTCGATTGGAGGCAGCGGCAGAAGCGGCAGCGACCGCAAGACAGGCGCTGCTGCTGCTGCTATTGGAGCAGGTGCTGCTGCCGCTGCTGCTACTGGCTCGGGAAGGAGCCCCCAGACCTCTCCACACAAGACTCGGCCGGAGAGTCCCCGAACCAGGAAGTCAGGCTCGGGATCCGCCGAGCCAGCGGCTCGGGACGGAGGGAGGAAGGAGCGCAAGGAGCATACCCCGCCGAAGACGGAGAGGGGGGGTGGTAACCAGTCGGGTAGGAGCCCTGAGACGAGCCCGTCACCTAAGAGACATAAGGACGGGTCCAGCAGGAGACTGAGTAACGACGGTGGCAATGCTGCTGCTGCTGCTGGTGCGCCGGTGTTCGAAGCTTCTCCGCCCGCCATCCCCCCGTCCGTTCCGCGCAACCGCGACAGCACCCCCCCGCGCATGCCCTCGTGGTCGCGCACGGGGAACCGCAACTCCCCCTCTCCCAACGGGGGTAACCACCGATCCTCCTCCCCGAACCGAAGCTACCACGGCACGCCGCCCAAACCTGCCGAGCCTGTGCCGATCCTCCGGGAGGAGGGGATCCCTACAGTGGTGGAAATCCCGGTGGATTCTGACGAGAATCAAATCAGACCTGGCGGATCGAGCCGCCCGGTGCTCATCCCTCCTGCGGTTCCCATCCCTCAGCTGAAATCCATGCCGGCGGGAGCCGCGTCGCGGAAGAAGGGGGGGAGGAATGGGGGCGGAGCGGGGGAGGATGACGTGTCACCCGCTCCGCCGCCGAACAACATGCGGCGGAGTGGGTCCGGGGACGAGAGGGGGGAAGGTCGGGCGGATGGGGGAGGTTCTGGCGCGGGGATGGGGGTTGGCGCAACTGCTGTGACTCCAAAGTATGGCGCGGCGGGGCGGGCGCTAAGGGTAGCGGATTTGGAGGAGGCGGGGGGAGAGGCGGAGGGGGAGGGGGAGGATGACGTGGTGGGGGAGCTGCGGAGCAGCAGTCGGAAGGGCGGGTACGGGGGCGGGAGGGGAATGGGCGGAGGGGGAGGCGGGATGGGGGGAAGAGGCGGAGTTTGGGCTCCCCCTTCAGGAGGATCCGGAGGGGGTGCTGACGGGGCACCTGAGGCGTCAGATGACGTGGCAGGGGAGGGTGCCAGCCTGGAGCGGTTCTTCACGGTTGCTGAGCTGTCATTGGCCACCAATGACTTTGGCAGGCAGTCCCAGAGAAATGTTTTGGGTACGGGCAGAGACGGCTCGGTGTACAAGGCTCGGCTGCCTGATGGGACGACGGTGGCAGTGAAGCGTCTTACCCAAAGAAAGTGAGTGCAGTCGAGGAAACGCCCCTATATTAGCATCCGGTTGAATGCCCGTCAGATATTGAATTGAACTCCTTTTGTCCTGTTGAACCTTTTTCCACCTCTCATCACCTCTCTCAACTCCCCGTTTCCCCTCTCTCTGCTTGTCCCCCTCCCTGTCTACACCAGCCTGGACCAATCAGCACGCGAATTCAGATTCGAAGTCGAGTCTCTCGCCCACGCTCGGCATCCGAACCTGGTGGCGCTGCTGGGGTGCTGCGCGGAGGAGGACGAGCGAATGCTGGTGTACGAGTTTGTCCCCAACGGCTCTCTGGACTCGTGGCTGCATCAGAACAGCAACATGGAGCCCATTGATTGGCCCATGCGCATGCACATCGCCATTGGCTGCGCGAGAGGGTGAGGAATTTGTTTTCACCTCCTCTTCTCCTCCTCCTTATCCCTCTACTGCTTCTTTCTCGTCACCTCATTATGGATTTCCTTCCACATTCCTCATCTTCCTCTCCTCAATCCCTTGCTACCTGCTTCTCCCTGTGTGCAGTCTCTCCCATTTACACGAGGGCCTTTACAGGTCCACTTTTGGGTCAGATTCACTAACCCTTCTCACTCCCCTCTCTCTCCCCTCATATCCTACTCCTCACCCACTCCCCCCTCTCCTTCCTGCAGTCTCTCCCACCTGCACGAGGGGCTGGACATGAAGGTGGTTCACAGGGACGTGAAGGCCAGCAATGTGCTGCTGGAGGGGACGCCCAGTGAAACCCCCCCTTCCTCACCTGCTGCTCTCCCCTCCCTTCCTCTTCACCCGCTCCCTTTCCTTCCTGCAGTCTCTCCCACCTGCACGAGGGGCTGGACATGAAGGTGGTTCACAGGGACGTGAAGGCCAGCAACGTGCTGCTGGACGCGCAGTGGAACCCCAAGCTGGGCGACTTCGCCATTGCTAAGGTCATGGGCCGCGACCAGAGCCACGCCACCACCCGCGTTGTTGGGACCTTCGGGTAAGTTTATGTACTCATATCTTTTCCTGTTCCCTTCTGGGCTGGAAGACTTCGCCATTGCCAAGGTCATGGGCTGGGACAAGAGGGCTATGCCATCACCCGCATTGTCGGGTCATCTGGGTATGTGCTCCCCTCCATTGTTGACTATTTTGCCAGGCCCGTTGTGTCACATGGTTTTGAGGCTTAGGACTATGTGGCCCCGGGTCTGCTGTTGTGGACATTTCAAACAGAGTTTCATCATTTGTCCTGTCTTGTGTTCCCGTCTGCTCAGATATGTGGCCCCGGAGTACATGAACACGGGTCTGCTGACGGAACGAAGCGACGTGTACAGCTTTGGCGTGCTGCTCCTTGAGATCATCTCCGGAAGAAAGCCGATTGACAATGGAGCTCCTCCTGACGAGGTAGCACATCCCACCACCACCCATGTGTGTGTGACTTCCAGTCCTGCCCATTGTTTTTGTGATGCAAAAAAAAATCCGTTTTCATCATCGTTGTAGTTAGATTGTAACACTTCCAATTACCATGTGTGCTGATTCTGATTGCTGTGATGCTGTTGCAGATGGATCTGGTGACATGGGCCAAGAAGCTGAGCTCGCAGGAGCGGCTTGTCGAGATTGTGGACCCGCGCCTACAAGGCATGATCTCTCCTGACGATGCGGAGTATGTCCTCGGGATTGCCATGCGTTGCGTGGAGACCAACGCACTTAAGCGGCCTCGTATGACCCAGATCGTCCACATGCTGGAAAGTGAAGATCCAAAACAGGTAAGGGGTTTTATGACGGCAATTCATCCCATACCCGTTCAGTTCAGCTAATCCCAAGCTTCAATCGGCAATGTAGCCGATATTGACCCCAAGCTTCAATCAGCATCCATGATCAACCTGTCCTTTGTGCTGTGATGATAATTCTTGTGCAGAGGGACGACTGGGTGGCTCGAAGGCCCAGTCCCGTGAGTGCCAGGTCACTGACAATTCGAGACCCAAGCCCCAGCTACGCCAATGGCAACATGACAGCTCCCGGCCGATCAGAATCCAGCAGGGCGAGCCCACGGCCGCTTTACTCCAACGGGAGGACAGATTCCCTTCGCTCCCTCAGCCCACGTTGCTCGCTTGCTGCATCCAGCCCAGGTGCTCCTGATGTGGGTGCCCTCATTGCCAATGCTGCCATGCGATCCAGCCCAAGAGCATTGAGCCCACCACCACTACGGCCGAGCCCTGGAGCTCCCAAGGGAGCTTCCCCGAGGTTTATGAGTCCCCGAGCAGCCAGCCCCAGGTCTGCCTCTCCCAACACTGATGCGGCTAACATCATCGCGAGTCATGCAATGAGCATCAATGCACAACGAAGGCCTGGGTCATGGAGTAGGAGGTAGATGACATTGCCCTCATAGACTTAGGATTGAGTGGTTGACAACTGCTCTACAACTTTGCCTTGTAGCATGACCTTACAAAATTTCACTAACCAATCACTCACAACAACGGTGTACGCAACACCAGCTTCACTTCTGCCAACATTTGCTAGCTGAACTTCAGATGTAATCTTGATGCACAATCTTCTGGATAATGAACTTGACCAGGAAATCAGGTCCGTTGGAGTGGAGTGCCTCAATGTCAGCTTTTTTTCCGAAGTCCGCCATTGCTTCAAGCTCATCAGTGTAAGAGCTGGACATCTGTTGAAATGGTGTGGTGGGTAAGAGAGTGAAAGCACGCAAGTCTGCTGGGAGGAGATAACTCTTTATGTTATCACCTGAAGAGCTGCACTTTGCATGAGACTCTGTGCCAAAACTCTGTCTCTATTTGACAGTGGTTGCAGTCCATCGTCAGGGACATACTTGACATCGCCATATCTCAGGCCAAGCCACTTCACATCGCATGCTGCGGAGTCAAGGAGGCCAGTTAGCACATTGAAAGAATTCAAACTGGTACCGTAGTTCCCAATTGCAGTTGAGGGCTGATTGGAGTACCGTATCGTGGACCCTCAAGACCCATTTGGCCTGATCCAAACTTGTATGTGCATATAATTGACAGCCCTGCTGGATTCCTGCAAACCAGTAGGTATACTGAGCATCACGCACTAACTAAAAAAAAAAAAATGATAACCAGGTGGTATTCTCACATGTCCACCAGCCCAAGAATTGGAATCTTTGGGTAGTGCAGATGCAAGCTTCGTAGAAAGGCTCTGGATCAAGCAGCACATGTTAGAAGAGGAAACAAACTCAACCTTGTTGCCAGATTCCGACAGCTATCACATCCTACCTCGTGGCCAGGTCAGGAAAGCCCTTGGCGGTAATCAAGATACAAGGAATCTCCTGAAACAAACGATCCTGAACAAGCCGTTGGAAGACACTGTCCTGCACCATGCCAATCCGGAAGACTGTCAGACCGCGAGAAGGGAAGTCAAAACATGAATCAAGAGTCAGCAAAACACATACCTTTTCAACCACAATAATGTATCTCGCATCTGTCTTGAATGTCAGCTTCTCAATGTTCCATAAGTTCCCAGTGATTGAAACACCAGCACTTCCCCGACTGGTGCAGTCGATCCACTGTCCTGTCTCTCCTTCCTGAACCTAACGGCAATTAGCGACAATCCTCAACGCCCCATGCGACTACATCAATCTGTCAAGACCTAATTTATCCACGTTGGGCTGAACTGTCCTCAACAGTGCACAACGTACCCTCATAGATAAGCGACCAGCAACTGTCCCCTTGCTTGATGCATAAATACCCAGGCTACATCTGCTGCAGCGGAGGAGGGACACGGTCTCTGTGCATAAGATGTCAGAATAGTGCCTCAGATGAAAGTTGAACGAGTGCGAATGGTAACGTACCTTGAATTGCCGCATTACAGTCACGCTGTTTCTTGAAATACTCCTGGTTTTCGCCTAGCAAGCGATAGTAAATCTCCCTTTGAGTCGACATTCTACCATCTTCGAGAAGCTTGTAAACTACGGCGAGAACTTTCCAAACTGCAATGGGGAACGATATTCAGGTTCTTTTTCTTCACATGTTGCAGGAAACATGAAAACGCCTTAGCCTGGCGAACACACACCACGAACATAAGGGAGAACTCTTTTTCCGTTCAGGCCAGTCAATGTGCGTTCTTGCAACGTATGTGCGAGGCCCACTTTGACAATTTCTTCGTCGCCACCATACGCCCTAATGTTTGACGCGTCACGTCGAATCTGTTGGTGTACGAGATTGTAAGAGTGGCAATGTCCCCAAGGGCGAAGAAAACAGTGGCGTACTTACCAGGGACAAGCTCTTGATGCCCGGGCGTTCATGGCTGACGAGACCACGCAGGAATTCCAGGACTAACGCTTCGATTCTCCTCCGGACCTGCGTACGATATTATCACTACAAGTTCCAGTTCAAACGGTACATCGCAAGGCCTTTCACCCACCTCCTCAGGAGGAGCGATATCGGCCATCTGAACATCCTTCATAGCCATATCCTTATCTCGAACAACTGACACTAGTAAACGTGGAACGAAAATCGAGCTCCGCCCTTCAGCTGTCACAACGGTTGGGAAAAAGAGAAGTTACGGTGCTCGATGTTTATCAGCGTTTCTATTCAGCGAGGTACCTCCTACCAATAAACTAACAGCAGGACAGACGAGAAATTGGGAATTGATACCTTGGGATTATCATTCCGTCGTCAAGGTGACGCCAACATTCGATATAAGTTGTGCCGACACCGTTCTGAGCTGTATTCCGAAGAAGCAAAATAAATTCATCTTCAGGGTGACGCTAGCTTTCTATATGAATTGCGCCCATACTGAGCTCTATTCTGAACTACTGGTAGTAAAAAAATCCTTGCTCACAGACAAAAATCTGTACAAGTAATAGATTTTTTAAACACTGTAAAATTCAAACATGAGCACCATCTGAAAAACAAAGGCCAAACTTCAACCTTTCTACAAGCCATCCATAGCAAATGTACAAGCCATCCACAGGAACGTACGGTACCCTAAGCATTCACAACCACCCCTCCTGCACAGCATGACCAAGCAGAGTATGCTTTGTCAGTACAATAATTAACAAGCAAGACACTTCCTTCAGTATTGATGAAGTTCTTACCATTGGGGTGGAGCACTTGGCCTGTGAAGTACGAGGAATCATCACATGCCAGGAACACATAGGATGGGGCAATCTCATCCGGCTGAGCCACCCTCTTCATGGGCACCTGCTTGCCAAACCCTTCCACCTTCTCCTCCTCAAACGAGGCCGGGATGAGCGGCGTCCACACAGGCCCAGGCGCCACACCTGGGCAACAGCAAGCGTCATATTCGCAAAAAGGGAACGAGGCATACTAGGAACTAGACACGAGAATGTTGCAATGGTGACACATCATCGGAACGTCAGACTCACCATTCACGCGGATTCCCTTGTCAACCACCATGAGGGCGAGTGAGCGAGTGAGACCAACAATGGCAGCCTTGGTGGTGGAATACGGCAGCAAAGAAGGATTGCCCTTGTATGCAGTAACAGAGGTGGTGTTGATGATGCAACTGCCTTCCTTCATGTGAGGCAATGTATACCTGCAGATGCAAGAGTAAGGGGATCAGATAAAGGCAAACTGAGCTTGATGAGATCGCGACACCTGTTGCAGATACAACGCCAAGCCAAAACAAAAACAAAGATTGCATTCCACAATATGCCAGAAAAATGAAAGTAGTGCATGTGCCTACTTTGCCATGTAAAAGTAGGCGTGGATGTTGGTCTTGAAAGTGCGGTCCCACTCCTCAGGTGAGATCTCCTCGAGGGTCTTGTGGGTGTGCTGCTCCGCTGCGTTGTTCACCAGCACGTCTATGTTTCCCCCAAAGTGCTCCGCCACCTTCCGCACCACCTGTACCCATGGAGGGAAAGGGTTGCATGACCAATGATACCCCAAACACCATTGTTCACCAGCACGTCTATGTTCTCCCCAAAGTGCTCCGCCACCTTCCGCACCACCTGCAGGAATGGAGGGAATTCACAACAATGACATGAACACAAATTTAGTACCATTCCAAAACACCAAAGCATCATTGTACTTCATCGACAGAAAATGAAACGTGATCCCATCCCAACATGAAAATAATTCCATGAAGCAACAGAACCACACACCATCCTCACCTCCTTGCAGTTGTCGTGGTGCCCGAGGTCCACGGGGATGGCGAGCGGCTGCTTGTGCTCGGGGCGCTGGGCGTCGCGCAGCAAGCGGACGGTCTCCTGGGCGTCCTTGTCCTCTCGCGGTGACACGTACGTGAACGCCACTGCCGCTCCCTCCAACGCGAAATGGTGAGCCACGCTCCGCCCGATGCCAGAATCGCCTCCCGTGATCAGCGCAATCTTACCCTGCAGCGAGGAAAAGGACAAGCAAAGAGATCTGAAGTATTTTAATATAAAAGCTAGGTATATTATCCTGCAAAAAGGTGAGTTTTCCGAGACTAACTACTATGATCCGAAATTCACACTCGTTGAATGCACTCAGGCGCGTACCTTAAGCTTTTCGGCCGGCTTGTACGCCTGGCGCGTCACGGACGGCTGCGGCTCCATCTCGTGTTGCACGCCGGGCTGCTGGCCCTGGCGCAACGAGGGAGGAGACGGCGTGGCCATGGCGCGACGTTGCGAGACCAAATGTCTTGCTGCTGCTGCTGCTGAGGTGAACAACAAGCCGCGAGAGGACCGAAAATGGAAAGCAGATGGAAGCGAAGGCTTGATGGGAGTGCGGAGAACAACTGATGAGGCTTTGATCAGGGCGAATGAGTTATGAAGGGAGGACGAGATGGAAGCCCCGCGCGCTCGCGACGCCGCGACGTCAGCGCGGAGAAACGACATTCTCGTTCATCGATTCTATGAATCTCGTCGTCTAAAAGCGTCTCGGTCTCAGTATCTGGCATCCTAATCTCCGGCTCGGAAAATGAGGTAGGCATGAGAGAGCTGTGACGCTCGGAATGGCACGCTTCGCACAGCCTGTGAGAGACACGAGGATGAGAGATGGCATAGGTTGCCGTGAAAGGCGCTGAGGACCACCATGCATGGTGCCACCTGCTTACGAAGTCTGAGATCTGCTGATTTGGATGCTTTTGCGGAGATAGAGATTGTGCTCGAATTCCTCCACATTGACGAGATGGGTACAAGATACAACCAAATGATACAAAGCAGTGCAGTACGGTCAAGAGTTGTATCATTATTTAAAAATTAATGAGCGACAATGGTCGTCGGCCTATTAGCTCAGCTGGTTAGAGCATCGAGCTAATAACGCGAAAGTTACAGGTCCGAGACCTGTATGGGCCATTTTTTTCCTCCCGTTCTCTCCCTTGAGATTTTTGGCTGACCTTTTGCACTGTTATTTTCTGTTGGCGCTTGACACCAGTAATCATACCGTATGTTCTGAACTAGCAGTACACCCACCCAGACCTGAGCCTAAAACGTCTGGTAAAGCGACGGGAATAAAACGCATAAAACGTAGCAGAACTTGATGCACTGCCATTACTGGAACTACCTACAATATGCTCTCCACCACTTTTGTTATGAGTTGTACTAAAAGAGTGCGCGGAAGACTTTATAAAAGGGATGTCAGTTACAGAATGTCGAGAATGATAAAGAAGCAAGCATTTTTAGGGCTGAAACCGTGCTAGGCGAGGACCTCGGGACGTGGATGGGTTGGAAGTGTCGCGATTGGTGCGGGGCGACTCGGGAAGTGGTTCGGGCCGAAGTGTAGGCCGAACCTCGAAACTGACGCGAAGTGCTCGGGGTTGTCCTCTACAGTAATGAATTCGTATTCATTACAATGGGGAGACTCTTTACTGCAGCACCTACCTAATGGCAGGCCACCTAGTGAACAGCCGCTTCACAGGTATTTAGGGCTGCTGTGACGTCACACGTAGCAGCAGAAACGAGCCAACCGCCAAGAAATCAACAGCTACACTCAATCAGTGACTACCTAACGACATAGAGAATGCGCCTAGCTACTTCAGGCCCAGCAGCTTCACAGAAGGTCTTAAGGGCTGCTGTTATGGCCCGTGTGGAGGCAGAGGAAAGCCAGCCCATCTCCAGCAGTTGCTGGTCGTGGGATGGACGGGGAAAGAACAGAAGAGAGTGGGGGGGACAGAACAGAAGATGGGTAAATGGACAGTGACATAGCAAACACCAAACAATATGTCAGAATGGAGGAAAGTGAACCAGTCTCCAGCAGTTGCTAACGGTGGGATGGACATGAGAAAGGGGAAGAGACTGGTGGTTGTGAAGTGGTGTATATTGGAAAGGGTTGTCTTCCGTCGACTCAAAAGCTGTATAAAAAGATTGATTCAACAATCAAGACAGGAACTGCAGAATCCAACTAACTGAGCATCTTGCTTTGGCATGGATACTGAAATGTTTGGCAGCAAATGGCAGGCCATCTCGCATACGGGAAAAAGAACCAGTACCCTCCCCCAATCCCCTCCCTCTTCTTCCCCACCACCACACTCACACTCAGACACTGCACAGCTGAATTTCACAGTTGCCCCCACACTCACAGCAAAGCCGATCTGCAAGGAGCTGTTGACGAGCAGTGGCATGGCTAGCATAGGAAGTGGCGTGTACGGGAAAGAGCCAAGTATCCAACCCCCCTCCGCTCACACCCAGACACAGCTGCCACCCTGAGACTCACAGCGAAGCTGATCTGCAAGGAGCCGTTGATGAGCAACGGCATGGCACAGTTGCACTGGCACATACGAAGCACACACACACACTCACAGCGAAGCTGATCTGCAGGGAGCCGTTGATGAGCAACGGCATGGCCATCACCGTTGCTGCCACCTCCCTGCTTCTCTCCTGCCGCTCCTCCTCACTCAACTCCTCCGGCCATCTCTCCCCTCCTCCTCCACACTCACTCCCACCCGCTTCCCCCCCTCCTCCTACCATTCCTCTCCGCCAGTCTCCTTCCCTTCCCGCATCAACCTCCATCCCATCTTCCCCCCCCTGGCCCCCTTTCCTGTCCTCTTGGGCCCTGTACACACCTCCCTGCACTCCATACTCGTTAGTAGTATCCTCCCTGCTACTCGTCTCGTCCAACCCACCAGCCCCTCTCTCAGCAGCAGCCTGTAGTTCTCGTACCTCTGCTCTCTCTGCTTCGGTCTGTCCCCCCCCCACCCCTGTATACCCTCGCACTGCCTCTCTCGCTCCCTCCTCTCGCCCCTCCCCCACTGTAGCCCCGTCCCCTCCCATGGAAGAGAGAGGCTGATGGTGCGAGTTTGTGAGAGAGGGAAGGCTGGCCGGGGTGTGGGGGCGTTTTGGCAGCGCGGAGGAGAGAACAACGTAGGGGGAGCGGTCGAGGAGAGGGCGGGCGAGGGTGAAGGGCACCCACCTGATGGGGAGGAAGGGGGGCGGGGGGGTGGGGGGACGGTGTGGGGGTTTGGTGAGAAGGTTGGGCAAGGAGAATTGGGGGGGAGGTTGGAGGGGGTTTTACGGGAAGGGGAAGGGCTGTCCTCCCCTTGAGAGCAGGAGCGACGGCGGCGCAAGAGGGTGTTTTGACAGAACCGAGGAAGGAACAGGATAGGGAAAGTGATTCAGAAGAAAGCAGGCAAGGGCGACGAGTACCCACCTGATAAGGGGAGGCGAGGCAGGGGGAAGGAGAGAGAGGGGGGATGGGCGGGGAGATTTTACAGGTAGGTTTGGGAGGAAGAGGTAGGAAGCTTTGCAGGTGGAGGGTAGTGTTAGGGGGAAGTGCCACAAGAGGGAGCTTGGGAGAGGAAGGAAGAATGGTCCAATTTACAGGCTAAAAGAACTCACAAGTAGCGCAGAGGGCAGAGCAGATCCGACGGTGCATACGCGGCCTTGTAAGTCATCTTGGGGCAGGAGTGGATATAATACCCCATATAGTACGAATCCAATAAGAGCTCAGGGCGCCGCTGCTGCTCGCGCTGCACCCACTCTATCTCCTTCAGCGCGGAAAACTTCCCCAGGGACAGAAACGCGTAGTCTGGGTCCCAAAAGAGATACTTAGATGAGAGGCAGCGTGGCAGCACGTCCACCACCCCCACGGCCACTAAGCGCCCGTCGATCCGATACTGCTGGTGGAAAGACCCGTACCCACAGGAGGGGAGGGGCGCTGAGGCAGGCTTGGGCGCTTCTAGGGGCGGGACTGAGTGTGGGTGGGGAGTAGTGGAAGTGGGAGGAGCGGAGGTGGAAGGAGCAGGTGGAGGGACGTGTATGAGGGGGGTGTTGACGAGGAAATTCTCGTAACCTCTTCTGGTGACGGAGGAGGGCTTGTCATCGTGCACGTGAATCTGGTACTTGCGGTACAGCTCGTACTCCTCCTGGGTGAACGCCGATGGGTGGGTTGTTATCTCTAAACGTCGTGGGGTGTGCTGTTTCCCCTGCTGCTGCCGCTGCTGGTCCTGCTGCTCGTCCCGTTGCTGCTGCTGCTGCTGCTGCTGCTGCTGCTGCTGCTGCTGCTGCTGCTGCTGCTGCTGCTGCTGCTGCTGTTGCTGCTGCTTCTGCTCTTCCTGCTGCTGCTGCTGCCGTTGCTGATGATTCGTGCCTGTCGTCATGCCACCATGAAGCAGAGCGGCGGGAGCAAGCACGTTCACATGCCCATGCACGGCTCTCACACACACCCCCTCTGGCAGTCCCCCCCTTTGCCACCCCCCCTCTGCTTCGGCTACCAGCTTTGCTGCTAAATCCTGTGCACTAGAGCTTAAAGAGAGAGCGCTTGTGCCCCCTCTTTCTCCGCTTGCTGATTGCTGTGTGGCTGTCACCCCTGGATGCTGCTGCTGCAGTTTCTTTAATCCGGAGCAGATTATAAACGCAATGTTTGACGTCAGCACAGGCAGAGGAGCAGACGCTCCTTTCTGCTGGCTTTCCCCTGCCCCTCCTGCCCTTTCCTCCTCTCCCTTCCCTCCCTCCCCTCCCTTCCCCTTCCCACCCTTCCCTCCCTTCCTTTTCCCTCCCTCCCCTCTCTCCCCTCCCTTCCCCTCCCCGACTCGCGCCCTCACGCTGACAGGAACAGATCTGAGCGTCACAGCAGGCAGCACCAGGCTGGCAGGCAGCATCCCCTGCTCCCTCCATAGCTGTAGCACCCCGCTTAAAGCCCCTTCCACACGCGCCTGCACTGCTGCCAAAGGTCCTTGCTCCAGATTTCCAGTCGAAGCCCCTTCCATCCGTGCATCCCCTAGGGCTTGCCCCTTTGCAGGGTCTGATTTCTGCGGCGTTGCACCTAAATTTGCACCTGAATTTGCACCCGAACCTGAACCTGAACCTGCGCCCGAGTTAAAAGCGAGGCCGGGACGGTTAGCAGGGGAATCTCTAGGCCTGGGGGGCGGAAGGTCGATGTCTCCACTGAGGAACCTCTCCATGCGCCTCAGCACCTTGCGCTGCTCCTTGTTGGGCTGAAACCGCCCCGCCACGAGACGGATGGTGTAGGCCGGGCAGCAGGTGCGGGGCATGTCGGGTTTGTAGAGAAAACAGCCTGACCGACGCCAACCACGGTCCAACAGGTCTGGGAGTAACAGGGGTAAGGGAAACACGGGGGTGGAGAGGAGTGAAGAGTGACGATGGAAGCACTGTTTAAACGTCTGAAAACTGCTGCACTAAAAAGAAAAAAAGAAAGATGTTGCCACACTACCAAATAACATGTTCCTGTAAGCAGCCACTGTACCTTGATAGTCCTGTACGGTCATAGTCTCCGCGGTGATTCCTGAAAAAACAAACAAACAAACAAACAAAGGTTCAATGTATCACATGTATTTCGCAATGGTAACACGGGAAAGGCTGAAAATAAAACTGTGAAACGAACGGAAACGCTCATTCGGAACGCTGATACGGAAATGTAAAACGGAAACGCTGAATATGGGGATCCTGTCCTGACCATGAGAGTGGCTGGAGCCGCGAGCGCCTCGGCAGTAGCCGCAAGAGGAGGAGTAATCGCCATGGTCCACCACGATCGTCCGCTCCACCTCCGGCTGTCGCTCCGCCTCTTCGGACTCTGAATCGGATTCGCGAACCCGCTGCTGCTTCGGCGGCTGCTGCTGCTGCTTGCGCCTTCGACCCAGCATGCTCGCTCGCTCGCGAAAAAGACAAGCAAATGTTAACAAACGAGGGAAGCGAGAAACGGAACACTAGAAACGCTGTCAGCAAACGGAAATCACTTTCGACAGTGCTGTCCGAGTGTATGATCAATCTCATCATTCATGTGTCCGCAGCAGCCATAACTCGACCTTCAACTGAACCCCCAGTTTTCTGCAGGGGAGAGTCCCCCAAACGTTCAAAATTCACAACTTCGTTGGGAAACTAACGGTTGAGTACGTTTCTGAACTCTTTTTAGTGGTAGAGCAAAATAACCGCTCTAAACCGCTAATCACCTTTATAAACACCGAGACTTTAAGAACACACCTATGACACACCCTGGAAATTGCCGTGAAGATCCAACCCAGTCCCAAGGCCATTTGCTTCCGCTTCAAGTCAAAACTTGCCCTCCACGTGTGGAACACTTGTTTCGTCTGTAAGGAAATCGACTTTACAAGAAGTCACAGACAGGTTTGCAAACATTTAGGATGCATATTAACAAAAAAATTCGTTGAAGATGAAGTATAGCATGGTACAAGAAGTCCATGATACAACAGCTGTTGCATGATGCATTCCCACTTATGGTACAAAGGTTGTAAAACCTTTATCTATTGTTAGTCCAGTCGTCGTAGCAAGGAGCAAATCAGTAATACACAACACCATTGAACCTTATTACCATATAGAAACCGTGCTCAATGACCTTCCGGAGTCCCCACGCAGCGTTCGCCAGCCAAGCTGTCTTGGCCGTCCCTTGTTAACCTGCTCCTGCCTCGCGGGTTGGTATCACATTCTCTTTCCGCAACACCCCCATGCCCAGTCTCAGTACTGCAATCCTCGAGCAATCCCCCTCTCCCCACTCCTCTAGCAGCACTGCCAGCGTCAACATTAGACGTAAATCCTTGCATTCGCTCCGTATTTGCTCCAGTGATATCACTGCCCAGTGTATCTACTGTACTTCTATGCATACTCCAGTTACTGTGCACTGCATGTGCGGCACGGGAGCGAGGCTGGGGCATCGCATCCCACTCCCCCACACCGCTCAGCAGACCTGCTACAGCCTGCAGCTCCCGCATCACCTCTGCTACAGCCACAGGCCGCTGCTCCTGCTGCTGCTGACGTGGCGGATGCTGATGGGACTGCTCCTGACGTGTCTGCTGACGTGGATGCGGATGCAGTGGTTGATGCTGCTGCTGGGGTTCTGGAGGAAGCTGGGAGTGTGCTTTTTGCTGCTGCTGCTGCTGTTGTTGCTGCTGCTGCTGCCTCTCCCCACTCCCATCCCTTCCCATGGATTGCCTCTCATCTGGCCGGAGTGATTTGTCTCTTCTGACATCGCCCCTCCTAGGATCATCACTCTCCATTTTCCCGACCTCCATCGCAGCATCCTCTTCCTCCTCCTCCTCCTCTTCCTCCTCCTCCTCTTCCTCGTCCTCTTGCTCCCCTCCTTTCCTTGATCTACCCGTTACTCGTTCTCCTTCTCGTTCCCCTCCTCCTTCCCCTCCTCCTCCTTCTCCTCCCTCTCCGCTTCCTCCCACTTCGTCTCCGGAACTTCCCTCTCCTTCCTCACCTCCCTCCTCTCCAGTCCCCCCTGTCCCAGGAACAGCTCCCTCCTGGTGCCATTCCCCCCCTCCCCCCCACACTCCTCCCCCCCACCCACTCACTTCCCCCCCTCTCCCTCTCCAACCTCCCGCCTCTCCCCCTCCACCACCACCACCCTCACTCACTCTCAACTCTATTGGCCTTCCACCCGCTCCCTCACTCCCTCCCTCCAAAACACGCCTCCTCTTTCCCCTTCCTTCCTCCTCTCCACCTTCCCCTTCCCCCAGCCCTTCCCCCCCATTCCGTCTTACCCCTGCTCTCTCCCTCTCAGCCTCCCCTCTTGCCGTTCCCTCCCCACCCGCCCCCCCCCAACCCACTCTTCTAACCCCCATTCCGCTTCCACCATCCCCCCCCTCACCCAATTCCCCACCACCCAAGCCCCCCGCGCCCACCCTCCCCCGTTCCGTTCCTCCCCCAACCATTCCCCCATCACCTGCCCTCCCCCCACCCTCACTCCCCTCACCAGCCCTCCCCTCACCAGCCCTCCCCTCACCCGCCCAAACCCCACCAGTTCTCCCCCCACCAGCCCATCCCCCACTGGTCCTCCCCCCACCTGTTCGCCCGCCACTCGCCCTCCCCCCGCTCGCCCTGCCCCCACAGCACCTGTCCAGAGCCGCGGCTACAGCCGCCGCTACAGCCTGGCCGGCCGAGGACCCCGGGAACAGCAGCAGATCCTGCAATAGCTGGGGGACACGTGGACTGATGGAGGGGGTGTCAGAGACACGTGGGCTAATGGAAGGGGCTTCAGGCACACGTGGGCTGATAGAGGGCGCGCCAGGTGGGGTGATGGTTGGGGCGTCAGAGACACGTGGAATGAGAGAGGGGACGCTGGGGGTGGTGGGTAGGGTGTGCGGGTCGTTAGGTGCTGGCCTTTGATGTAGCGCGGGGACATCTGCTGGCTGAGGCTTTGCCTGCTGCTGCTGCTGCTGCAGCTGCTGCTGCTGCTGCTGCTGCTGCTGCTGTGGCTGTGACTCCTGGTGTTGCTGCTGCTGCTGCTGTGACTGCTGATCGCGTTGCTGTGTCTGTGGCTGTTGGGCTATTGCTGCAGCAGGAATGGCTTCATCAGCAGCAGCAGCAGCAGCGCCATTAGCATCAGCGTCAGGAGCAGCAGCAGCAGATACAGCAGCAGGGCAGAGAGCAGCGGAAAGCGCATGGGAGCTGGTAGCAGTGCTGCCTAGAAGAGCAGGAGGGACTGCCGTAACTGGCAGGAGTCGAGAGGCGAGAGAGGGGTGTGAAGGGCACGAGGGTTGTGGGTGGAGTGAGGGCTGGGAGGGGTGTGAGAGGTGTGAGGGTGTAGGCGTGGCAGCAGCAGTAGGCTGGGGAGGAGGCATGGAGGCAGCAACCGAAGGTGCTGCTGCTGCCGGGCTTGGCGGGGATTGACTGGGGGGCGGTCGGGAAGGGGAGTAACGGGAGGGAGCGGGCATGACAGCAGGTGCAATGGTCACCATGCTAACGCCACCGCCGCCACCCACGCCAGCTTTATCATCCGTGCCAGCCATGTTAGCCGTGGGGACTCTGCTACCCGCAGGAATTATGTTACCCCTGGGACCCAGAGGAACCACAGGGGGAGAGGCGTCGTGTTCAAGCGTGCTGGTCGCGGGCGGAGAGATTCCAGTCTGCAGCGCAGCACTGTGTGAAGCGAGCGGGGAGACACGAGCGGGCGCAGAAGGAGAGAGCTCGCTCAGCAGCGCGCTGTGCGCACGCAGGGAGACTCCGCTTAGTAGCGCGCTGTGTGCAGCGGGCGGGGAGGCGCCAGTCAGGAGCGCGCTGGTCGCGGGCGGGGAGACTCCAGGCGGAAAATCCGCGTGGGAAGGCGGAGTCGCGCGCCTTCCCGCCACGTTTCCTGTGGGCGGGGAGGCCCCAGTCAGCAGCGCGCTGCCTGCGGGCGGGGAGACTCCGCTCAGCAGAGCGCTGTGTGCTTCAGGCGGGGAGGCGCCAGTCAGGAGCGCGCTGGTGGGCGCAGGCGGGGAGGCCGCGCTATCCGTGGTGCCTCGCGCGGGCGGAGAAGCGCCACTCAGAAGCGCACTGCGCGCAGGCGCGGAGTCTCCGCTCAGCAGTGCGTGTCTGCCTGCTAACGGGGAGGTTTCGCGCCGTACCGCGCGCCGCAAAGGGGAGAGTCGACTCCGCACACCATGCGCGGGAGGTTTCCCCTCCCAGCCACCCTCCCCTTCCGCGCCCTCCGCGCTTCTGCCATCCGCGTTCCGCGCACGTTCCGCTGCTGCCCCCTGCGCACGTCCCCTCTGCTGTGAAACCGCTGCCTCCCCACCCCGCCACCTCCCTGCTCCCCCGGATGTGCCTCCTGGTGCGCCCCTCCCCGCAGCGAAGCTCCCGCGGTCCTGCTCCCCCCACACAAATTCTGAAACCTCTGGCGGCGATATGCCAGGCGAAATTCCTTGCATTAAACCAGGAGATATAGCAGGCGAAATAGCAGCTGACGTGCCACTCCAAGTTACCATGCCAGGCGATACACCAACCCACGGTCTTTGTTCGACACCCGCAGACCCGCTTCCTGGTGTTACCTGGTTACCAGCATCTCCAAATATGGCACCTGAGCCAGTGTCCGTACCCTGCTGCAAAAAGAAACGTCCTCGCTGGTTCCCTGCTTCGCTCATTCTCAACGTAAATCGAGGTGGTAACTCGCCAGTACTCACTTCGCCTTCGCCAGGGCTAGCCTCCGTCCCAGGGTGCTGCCTGCTGCGACCCACATCCTTCGTCGCCTCACCTTCGCCACGGCCGTGACGGCCCCATTCGCGGTAACCTCGTTCAGCCTTCGTACTCCCACACTCCTCGCCTCCAAGAAACTGTTCTTCCCCTATCGCTTCTTCTCCTCCTCTTTCTCCTCTTTCTCCTCTTTCTCCTTCCTTTTTTCCTCCTCTTTCGTCCCCTCCTTCCCCTGATCTTCTTTCTGCAACGTCCTTCCTCTCCTCCGCGGCCGCCTGTATTGCCGCCACCGCGGAAGCCGCCGCGCGCTGCCACACGATACTCTGCGGAGTGGCGACCGGTGTGCTTCCACCGCCCCGTCCCCCTCCCCCTCCCCCCTCCGCCGTCATTGCGCGGAACGACGCGCGATCGAGGACCGACAGTTGCGGACGCGGGGCACACTTCGCGCGAAATCTTTCCGCCAAGCTTCCCCCAATAGGCGGCGCGGAGGATCCTGGGCCAAGCATTCTGGCGGACGGCGGAACATCTGCGGGTACCGGGTGTGTTTCCGCGCGGCCTTCCGCCTGCGCTGATTGCGCTGCAGCGGGGGGAGCCGCGGGAGTATCATCACTGCTATCCAGAGCTGCTATGCTAAATCGAGCGTGCTTATATCGCGGGAGAACCGCTAGCCCTCTATAAAGCAATCGAAAGTCGTTTCTCGTGAAGCAGATGTGAAAATACGAATGATGATAATAACGGGATGATGGCTCTTGAAATACGCCGAGGCAGTAACGGATTCGCAGTCGGTGCGGTGTAGAGCCGCGATAGGTTACTCGCGATATTCGCCAGAGCGAACTGGTAACGCCGAGGCGGCTACTGATGGCTACTTGCCAAAAATTGGGAAGCGCGTAGTCGCAAAACGAGGTCGTACCAGCGGAGAGGCGAAAAAATAGCGCTGAGAGGGAGGATGCGAGCCGGAAGAACCGGGGAAGAATGCGACGCGAAGGGTCGCGGCGCGAGGACAGCGGTACTGAGCGGCTGAATGCGACGCGGAGGGTGGCGGCGCGCAAGAATGATTGACGAGGCGCCTGGAGAATAATTTCAGGGCTGAGCCAGCAGGTTATTGGGCGGGCGGCTTTGAAGCGGATGGAGGGCGCGCGCAGGAATAAAGATGATACACCCACCGCTGCTGCTCCTCCAGGCTCCGTAGTACAAGTCCTAGTAGTCACGCTCCTCTTGCTATAAACATTCTTCTGCGACAAGCGCGCGATCGCGAGCGACGGATCAAGATCCCGGGCGACAGTCTGTGCGACGGCAGGACGGGACGAATGGGCGTGCGGGAAGAAAACGAGCCTTGTCATTACTCTAACGCCTCATAGCTCTTTTGGTGTGCTTGAACCTCAACGGATGGGCCTCCGCGTCAAGGTTCCTCTCAAGTAGCCGGTGTGCTCTCTCCTTACTAGCGCGCGGGTCCGCTAATGCTGCGGCAGCATGGGGGAAGCTCAAGAAGCCTTCCAACGCCTCTAGTGAAAAAACATCGGGGGAGACGCTGGAAAATATAAAGATCCAAGCGGCGAGTTGTCCGCTTTCGGTTTTTTAAACGCTGGAGCTACAGTAGTAGGACGGGATTGGAGAGAAAGCGCGGGATTCTTGCGGATTACTGCAAGTGGCATGGGTGTGGATGCCTGTAGGGAAGATGCGGAGATGAGGGGATGCGGGGGGATGCGGATTCTTCCTGCACGTCCTTAAGACAGGAATTAAGACTGTCTGCAAGCGAAAGTGTTGAGTTGTCCATGGCCCCGCTCGCACGCCCCCTGGTTTCTTCGCACACCCTAGCCTTTCTCTGTTGGTCATTAGAATCTCATGTCGACTTTCCCCTGTGCGCAGCAGCAGCAGGTGAGCCATGGTTCTTCAGGAGAGGCTGTTGCTTTTGAAAGCGCCTTTCCCGCTTGGGAGGAAGAGTTACGTATTCGTTTGCACAAGAAGCATTGAGCCTTGTGATCTTTCTCAAATTTGGTGGGATGGCAAATTTTGCTGGACTTGGGGAGGTGGCTCGAGTACGCTCACCTGCAATTCATGGAGAGCGTGATGGCCGGGATCCAACCAGAACCGCGCCGCATGCGCAATTTTTCCACCTGAGAATCGCAATTGATGGATTTTGCGAAACGAAGCAGCTTGCGACCCCGTCGTTCGCCAGTCAAGTACTCGAATTGGAGTTCGCAGAGGCTCCTCGTTTCGGGGTTTGTGTTTCTGTTCCACAGGCGCCGTGAGTAACGGGAAAGCAGGTTGAACTGGCGAATCGTTGGTGTTGCCTGAGCGTAGTTCCCGCTAGAGTAGCGGGGGGGTTTTCCCGCTCTTTTTGCGTGTGGTGTTCACACGATCAGGTGCTTTTCCTGAAAGGGTAAATCACAATCAGGGCACCAAAAAGGTACCCCAACGGAAGATCTACTTCGGAATATATAGAATTCTGGTCTACCAATGGGAATTTTGCAATGATACAAAACAGCTGGATGCTCCGAAAGCTGAATGAGTTGCATTTTTTTACTTCGAGTCACAGTACATTGTGGCACTTCGTGCCAGGGAAAACGCCACAAAAACCTCGTTATAGTTAAATGCGATACAATAAAGAGTCGTAGCAAATGATGTACTTTATAATGCTTTAGAAGCTTTGGTTTGGTTTGGAATGTTTGTACATGAAATCACTTCGATAATCCGCACATCCAGCTGTTCGTTGGAGCGCGAATCTCAAGTTTCAACGAATAAGCCGCACACCGTACGGTCTCAGCACTCCTTGTACGACTACGCACAACAGTGTAAGTTAACCTAATTCGTTTCCTGTTTGAGAGAGTGCTTTGCGCCCTTCCCGCCACGCCGCTTCCGCCACCGCCCCTCCGCCAGCGCTTTTCCGCCAGCGCCCCTTCATCAACCCCCCCCCCGTTCCAGCTCCCCCAGCCCTCCCAATTTGCCCATCCTTCCTTTCGCGCTTCTTTTTTCCGCGAATTGCGTTGGCTCTTTCGCCTCGCAGCCGTCCCGCTCCTGCCGTCCACCCGCCTACCCTCCTCTCCCCTCCGAAGCGTCCCTAGCTCGCCTAGATTGAAGTCACTCCGGATCGCCTAGATTGAAGTCACATAGAGAATTTATTCTCAAAGGTGACTCCGTTCTTCCCTTTCTCCTTGCGCTCACTTCTCCTCTCCCCCCCTTCTCTCCCTCCCTCCCTCCCTCCCTCCCTCCCTCCCTCCCTCCCTCCCTCCCTCCCTCCCTCCCTCCCTCCCTCCCTCCCTCCCTCCCTCCCTCCCTCCCTCCCCCTATCCCTGCGTATACCAGGGTTGCGGCAATCATGAGGCAGCGAGCAGCAATGGACGGCGACTCGAGCGGGGGCGGCGCCGCTGCTAGGAAGGGTGGCGAGGAGCCAGAGTTCCTCGACTCGCAAGGTTG